ATAGTTTAGCCTTAGTAGTTAATGTAGTAACTATATTCTGCTTGTTTGCTCTTTATGTAATAAGCTTTTTAAAGAGCTTAATTATATAGCTCTACAAGCTTTTGTAATTAATTATATTATTTATAAATAATGCGTTACTTAATACCTTAAGGCCTTTACCTCTACTTAGTTGTAGGGCAAGATTTTTAGTTAATTAGAGAAATAAAAAAATCTTATTAGCTAACTAGTAATATTCTAGCAACAAATTAACTAAAAAGCGTGCTAGTTAGAACACTGCAAATACAGTGTCTAAGCGCGTTGTTATAGTAGTAAAGAGTAATAAGCTAACTTTGCGCTAATACTTGTTAATAGCTAATAAAGTAGCAAGCCTATTATAGAGTTTTAGCTTAATAGTCTCTATAAGAGTATTGTAGCAGACGCTTTAGTTATCTATTAGCTTACTAATCTTCTCTAAGTATGCTAACTGCAATAAATAGATAAATTGCTTTTTTTAGTTGCGGGTAACTTCTACGCTAAGAAACTACTAGAGGCTATCTCTACTAGTTATAGTGTACTATTCTTAGAGTGCCTTTATAGTAGCTTTATAGTAATCTTTACTATAATAATTATAGGCAAAGATAATGTTGTCTATATAAAAGAAAATAATTACCTTATTTTTTATTATGCAATATAGCTTGTGTAGCATAGTCTTAAACTCTAATTATAGTAGAGTAGTAGTAAATTTCTTCTGCTAGAGTAATAGTAAAATGCAGAGGCTATATAGTGCCTTCTTAACCTTTAATGTCTTCTCTAGCTTTTAATAGCTATAGAGCATTCTTATATAGATCTTTCTATTTATTAATGCGTAGATAAAAGCGTTAGTAACATTTTATTATTTAAGATTAAAGTTATACTTAGCTGCTATTATTATTAACATATAAAAAGACCTGCTAGCAAGTGTAGCTGCGTAGGTGTCCTAAGTTGTTATGTTTTATTATTAATTACTATAGACTACTAATTAGGCCTTGCACTAAAGTAGCTAGTAATTTTTATTAAGTTTGTATATGTAGACCTATATACAGTTAAGAACTTAGTGTTCTGCTTATTAAATTAGTAAGGTATTAACTTCTACTTATAATTTTATGTTATAATAGCTCTGCAGGTGCTTTTGCTTAGCTTTTTTAAATTACTTACGCAGTAGATAATTCTTAAGTCTAGAAAAGCTTGTTAGTAAGTCTAAGAGCTTACTAGCATAGATCTTCTTTCTACTAGCTAGTTTATCTTTAATAGTTAATGCTTTAACCTAAGTGCTTGCAATAAATGCGGCTTTCTATAGTACTGTTTTTAATAAGGGCTAATTGCTTACCTCCTTGTCTAGCTTTAAATTGTTAAAGAGCTGTGTTAAATATACTCTTACTAGTATTCTAGTAGCTGCCTTGTCTAGCTGTTGTAGTAAGTTACTATAATCTATAGTGCTACTACTATAATTTAGTTAATTACTAAAGTTTATACTTAGCTTGTCTTTGTAAAATAACTAAGTCTTAGGTAGTTAATAAGTAGGCTCTTTAAGTGCTGCTTTCTCTGCCTATTTAGCAATTTCTTTAGTAGTGCAGTAGAGGAAACTATTTTTAATATTTTTCTTTCTACTGTTGTAGATCTTCTTCTTATTAAATACTACGTTCTAGGTGCTAATAACTTTTCTTAGTAATAGTATCTAGATGCAATAGATGTTTAAGGACTAATACTCTACTAGGTAGCTAATTTAGGCTTTTAAATTAAGCCTTTATATTTTAAAACGTTTAAGCTAAGTGTTGTTAGTTATAGCAAACGCTTTGCAGCTATACGCTTTAAGATAAGCAAGATTTAGCTTGCAAGGCCTTATAAAGGTGCTATTTTAACTTGCAATTTAAGTAAAGAACACCTTATATAGTAATTTCTAGCTATTTTAATAGTTTAGCGTTTAATTGTGTAGGTACACGGTAGCAGGAACAATCTCTAGCTACTAATTTTTTAGCAGTTTAGCTCTAAGTTGCATAGCGCAAGCTTTCTTCTTTATTACTGCTTTTAATTATTTAGCGCCTTTGTTTTAGGCTTAAGTGTTTAGTACATATAGCTTTTTAATAATGCCTAGTAAGTTAAAAAACTTACTACATGCAGTAGTTTTACTGCAGTGCAAAAATATCTTATTATTACTTTTAATAACCTTTACGTTGACATTAGATTACTGTTTAAAAAAAGTAATTATTTGTTTAGACAGTTAAAGTAGTATTAGTTAAGTTTAGTTTTTTAAATTATAGCTCTAACAGAAGCTTAAGTATTAATTAGTAATTAGCATAATGCCTCTGTTACCTATTATTAAGTTATTTTTAAAGTTGTAGAAGTTAATTGCTAGTCTTTTTTCTAAGCCTTTAGTAATTGCCCTAAAAGATCTATAGATCTTTCTTTTAGCTTTTAACTGTCTGCATGCGTTACAATTAATAGTATAGATACTTTAAGTAATTTACACTCTTTTAGCTTAGTGTATAAGTTGCTTAAGAGCTTTAAATTCTAAGTAACTAAGTCTGCAATGCTACGTGTTACTATAAGTAGTGCTTATTTAATAGCTGCAGCGTTATTTTATAGTAATAAACGCAGAGTGTTTTTTAATAGTAGGTATAATAAATTGCCTGTGTTCTTTCTAGAGCACTATAAAACATAATAAGTTACTATGCCTTAGTATAGTAGAGTTGCTTTACGTATTCTAATATATTTCTTGTTGCTTAAGTATATTAAAGGACACTAGGTTTATAACAATATCTAGGCACTAGGCTACATTTTAAAGCTATAGCTAAGTAGGTTAGTCTTCTTCTTGCAGCTTTAGAGTAACTGTGCTATATACTTTAATCTAAAGTTTATTACTACTAGCTTAGATACAGTTTTCTAGTAACAGTTTCTAAATGTTCTAGAGTAGTTTAAGTTAATTTATAATATAGGTTGTCGCCCTTAAGTTTAAGAGAAATTTGTTTTTAAGCAAGTATGCGTTAGTGCTTATGTTAAGAGCAGTGCTCTTTGTTATATAGTTATTATAAATTATAGTAATCTGTCTGTCTACTAGTTAATCTTTAGTTACTTTAGGTGTTAGAGTGTAAGATTGTTTTAGCTTTAGAGTATATAACTTTAAACGCGTTTGCTGCTGTTTAGATAAGCGTAGTTTTTTTCTATTTTAATCTATCTAAAGGAGTTTAAAGTACTCTTTAAGTTGTCTTTTAACACTTGCCTCTACCTAGTCTTTAAGTTAAAACTATTCTAGTGTGTTGTTTAGTAGGTAGTAATATAATTTAGCAAAGTGTCTCTTATTTATATATACTAGGCATTGCCCTTCTCTGTCTTTTACACCTACAAGTTGCTTGTTTAGATAAAAGTTTCTCTTATAACTTGTAGTTAGCAATTTTTTCCTCTATAGGGTTGCCTAGGTGTTATTGTTCTTATAGCTTATAGGTAACTTATTGCTAGGACCTAAGTGTGCATAAAAGGCGTCCTTTTTATATTACATCTTTTTAGTCTATGTAGCATCTATTATAGCAAAAGCTACTTTATTTATCTTTATAGGCCTTGTGCAGTCTATATGTTGTTAGAAGATTTTTATTGCTTTCTATCTATTAGGTTTTTTCTAGCAGTAGATAAGTTGCTTAAATTAATTTGCAAATATTTCATTAATAACTCTTATTACTCTAGCTATATTGTCTAACATAATAGTAGAATCTAAGAGTTCTAGACATTTATAGTATTCTGCTAAAGATGCGGCCTAGTTATAAGCTGCAAGCTAGTTATTCTAGTGTATAGACTTTTTAACTAAGTTTATTACTTGTAGTTATTCTTATCTTGCTTTAATTTTTAACTTCTTACTGTTAACGCTTATCTTATCTCTAATAGACTTAATCTATGTATAGTAGTTATGTTTAGGGAGACAACAGCTTCTAAAAATATGTGTAAGTAGGGTTAATTCTAAGTAATTAACAATTTCTTTAATACTGCGCTGCTCTGCTACATAGCGCGTGTAAGTTATTTAGTATTAATTAAATTAGAGCTTGTACTATTTAACTTGCTTACGCTATAAGTCCTTATATGCTTTTAATACTAGTTAATAAAGACTAGCTAGAACTACTTCTTTTGCTAATGCAAATTGCTCTATAGATAGTAGCTAGAGTTTGTTAGGTTCCTGTCTTAGTGCTGCAGTGCTTTCTAAGTTAAATAAATTCTATACGCTGCTTGCCTTTGCTTGCAACTGTAGGGTTAATAGCTAGTTAACATATTATATTAAGCTTTTAAGGATTTAGTAGTTGTCTTTTAGCATTGTTTCGCGTTTTTAGTTTATAGTAGTTATAGTAATTGCTTGTTAGTAGAGGCAGTAAGACTCTTAATTATTAGATATTACAGTAATACGTAGTAATAATAAAGTTGATAATTGTATTTCTTATAATGTGTTCTAATAATTATGTGTGTTGTCGCCCACCCCCTAGGGAGGAGGGATATTATCTAGTGTAGCTGATCCTTATGCCAAGCACTAAGTTTTTCCCAGTAGCTAGTCTAACTGGGTGTCACTTTGAGACCTCGTAGTGGCTCATAGTGATTCATAGTGCCATATTTGACAAGATACACTTAAAACTAAGATTTAGTTTTTTTTACTTAGCAGAATAGTAAATTGTTGCATTTCTCTGCAGCATAAGCACTTATTATTATAAAACATAGTAAATCTGCTATAAAGCTCTAGGCAGACTAGTTTTCTTTACATTTAACCTTCTAGGAACTAATATTATGCGTTTTAGAATACTCTTAGTCTATTTACGCTGCTTATCCAGCTATATACAAGTTACCTACATCCACAATTAGAGTAGTAAATTAATATTTATATTAGGGTTTAAAAAACTGCAATATCTCTTCTGTACAAATAAAATAACAGAATAAAGTATTGCAAAAACTACCGTGCGATCTCTTTTTATCTAAACTAAACTATAACTGTTCTGGGTTATCGGTCTCTATTTCTATGCTGAAGGCTTCTTGTTGTCGAGCAGCGCTGCTTGAGCGGTCTGAGTTGGATGGTCAATGAGATCCTGTATGGAAATCAGATATCCATTCTGTTGGTAATACCGCGAGAGCAACATCGTGGTAACCAGATCGGCTCGGCAGTCAAACATCGAGCGATTGTCTTCCTGGTAGGTAGCTATTCCGACATCAGACCATGCCTTGACGACCACATGCTTTGATGCCTCACTACTTGGTATACCAGCACGCACTGGTGCATTGTCTTGATCTGCGGGTGTATCCCGTGGAACGGGATAGGGCTCGCTACCACTGCCTCTTCCAACAACACTCACACTGTGTTCCAGCATCCGAGGAATATCCTCCAATATCTCCTGAAAGGTTTGTGTGATCCAACCAATCTGATCTTTGGTGAACGTTTTTGTCGAGTGTACGATCCGGACTACGATATCCTCCCCGACCGAGTTCTGGGTCGATGGCAACGGCGTGACTTCAACCAGTAAATCACCACTCCTGCCGTAACTGCCATATGGTGTCAACACGCACTCTTGATCTTCAAAGACAATATTCTTTTTGAGAGCCTCGTGGTTTTGGTAGATCAGCACAGAGTTGAACCTGGTATATGCCGGCCAGTCCGTGCACTCTTGAATGATGGAACGGAAGCCCTGGTGTTGATGCTGGATAGTGGCGATTGCCTGATCCTGCATCTGCTTAATCAATTCCCCAAACGTCATATTATCGTAAAGACGAGCCCGTGCAGGTAGAAAATTGAGGACGAGGCCGCATACGCGATCCATGTCGGCGAAGGAGGTGAGATTGCGATTCGCATTAGGCGCACCGAAGACGATATCGTGGTTATTTGTTGCGCGGGAGAGAACGAGGGACCATGCTGCTTGAACCACGCTGGATGGTGTTCCGTAGACGTTTGTAATGGTTTGGAGAGGGATCTGGAAGGACGATGTTGCGTCACAGGCGTGTGGTGTTGTGGGAACTGAGGGAGATGCTAACGAGGTCATGGTGGATTTAGATAAGGTACTGCGCCAAAACTCTTGGGATTGCGAGGTCGAGACAGCGGACTTAGCGTGGATAATCCAATCATGAAAACTGGGTCGAGCTTTGAGGGATTGGCTGGTGTAGGCGATGCAGAGATCCTGCAGCACCATGTCTAGAGAGATGGCGTCGTAGAGGGCATGATGTATTTGAAGGCGAACTTGATGACATTTCTTCCCATCATTCGATAGCTTGTTGAAGTGGAAGCGAGGCAAGTATGTTTCCATATCTGGAGTTCTTGAGTTTCCCGTTTCCTCGCCATCAAAGATCATCATATCCTGTGTGGGTACATGCCTCACTGCTATTTGGTAAAGGGTGCTGCCGTGCTGGACGAAGATAGTTCTGAACATTCTATGATGCTTGATGACCGAGACACAGGCCTCTGTGAGCTTTGAAAGGTCGAGGCCATCGGGAGAATCAATGACCATGTCGTTATGCCAGCTATTCAGGTCAAGCTCGCCGCAAGCTGCCATATCTGCTTGTATATCTGTCGCTTCGGAAATACTTTCGATGTTCTGCTGTACTAGATACGTTTCTTTACGCGTCGTGGCGTGGCCAAGGTAAGAAGACATGAACGTATTGGACTTGAGCAGCTCCTTCGTCAACGTCAGGCTTGCGCCTGGCTCATGATCTATGGTTGCCGTTTGGCGGCTAGCTACGGCTGCCATTTCTGAGAGAACAGATGCTTGAAACACGTCAGTCACTTTCAGTTGAATTCCGGTCCTGCGTGCTTCGTGAGACAGTCGCATCGCTCGAATCGAACTTCCACCCATGCTGAAAAAGTTGTCGGTCCGTTTGATGGTGTCCAGCGGGATGTTCAGTGTTGCGGCCCACAACTTTTGTAAATCGGATTCCATTTCCGTTAGAACTTTGTTTCTTTGATCCAATTCCAAGCCGGAAAGAAGTTCTGAGGAATCGGTGGACTCGGAGACGTTATTTTGCGGATTGTAAGAGCTCAATTGTCTCGGAGACTATAGAAAGAAATATTGAGTTAGTACAATCCATGAAGACGTAGACCCTGGTCCAACAAGTATCTCAGAAATGTTTTCCAGACAAAGCAAGATCTGTGCGACTTACTAGTTCGGAACCAATTCTCCGTAGTGTGCTCCTGTCAGTCTTGCCTGAGCTGGTGGATGGAAGCTTGCTGAGTCGGACAAAGATACGAGGGATCATATACACTGGTAGAGCAGACCCCAACGACGTATTCAGTTTCACCGTCTCACCCACAAGCGGTGGCAGTAACTTGCAATCTCCTTTGGCGTTACCAAACCGCGAACTCGAGTCGTTAGAAAAGAAGACAGCGAGAAGGGGATCACCGCTAGGTGGCTTGATGAGCTCGACTGCAAATTCCCATTTTGACGTCAAGGCCCGACCAACGTGGTATTCAATCTCTTCGAGTTCGATGCGCTGGCCGCTCACTTTGACCTGAGTATCTTTGCGGCCGTGGTAGATTACCGATCCATCAGGCAATTGTACTACTACATCACCAGTTTTGTACCACTTTGATGCTGATGCGAACTCGAAATCACCAAACTGTGTCCATGACGGCGGATCGATGAAGGCCGTACTCCTCGGATTCCCCAAATATCCTGGTGACACAATGGGTCCTTGAATGAGTAGCTCTCCTAAACAACCAATTGAAACCAGCTTGTTGTGATCATTGACATCGACGACCCAATATAAGCAGCCCCCTGCACGCCCAATGTTGAGATGATGCTTCCCAGAATCGAATGAGACGTCAGCGCCGGAAGAATGAACTGACGCTTCTGCTGGTCCATACATGTTGAGAATACGGACATTTCTCCACTTCTCAATGATCTGCTTCTCAAAAGGTTCACCGGTAAGTCCCAGAGTGCGCAAAGTAGGCACCTCATCAGGATCCATGAGGGTCGTCAGAGATGGAGTCAAGAAAGCGAAGTTCGCCCGAGTTCTGCGGAACGCAGCTGCGATGTCATTATGCCACTCATCGTCAGACGGTAAACAGACGCATCCACCCGAAACCAAAGTCAAGAAGATATCGAACATCGGAACATCAAAGATCATGTTCAGATACTGTAAAGTTCTTGTATTAGGACCCATGCCGACGAGGTCCCTCCGATGTTTGATGCTTGTGGAAAAGTTGGAGTGGGTGATGATGACACCTTTAGGCTTTCCGGTGCTACCTGAAGTGTAGATAATGTAAACATCATTTGATGTTTTGAGGTCGATTGGCGGAGGATAACTCTTTGGGAAGCGCTCGATAAGTTGTATATCAACCGACACTATGATTTGGGAGCAGTGCTTGTTCTTAACGGCATCAAGGAGCGTAGATGAAGTGAAGATTTTGGAAGCCCCTGTATCGAGTAAAATGTCGTGGATTCGTTGTGAAGGATGTTTGATGTCCAATGGAAGAAGCGTTCCACCAGTTTTGAGGATCCCGAGCATGATGACTATAGCTATTGCTGATTTCTCGAAAAAGTACGGCACAATAGTCCCGACATCAACCCCTTCCCTTTGCAAGAAACTTGCTGCGCGGTCAGCAAGATCATCCAACTCTTGGTGTGTCAGACCGAGGTCTTCTGAACAAACAGCGGGTGCTGTGGGGTGCGCTTGGGCGACGCTACGGATCTGATCATGGACAAAAGTATCTTCGGCGATCGGTGTGTCCGAGTTCCATGCTTGTAACAAAGATACTTCATAGCGACTTAATATCGAGAGGTCTGTTAAAGCCGTTGATGGATCGTGCGATGAAAGTTGCTCTGCAGCATGTTTATATTGTTCCATGAGAATCGCCACAGTTTCACCGGAAATCAATCGTTCATCAAATCGTACAACGATAGATGTTTTGTCGGACATAACTCTGCAGTGAATGACAAGTCTGGCATCTCCGAACGAGGATCCGGAAGGAATACTCTCAATAAGCTGTAGTTCTGGGGTCTCAGAAAGCTCTAAGTCGATGGGACTGGTGTCAACCACCAAGACGTTCCTAGAGTCATGGGCTACCAAGTTGTCATGGTTCACGCAGATTTTGACAAAATTATGTACCCCATGCAAAAGTGATTGGCACGTCAGGTTTTTGAGGTCCATTTCAAGAGAAATGATGGCGCCCACTGGTCCAGCTACGCTGGTGATGTTGGTTGAAGAATTTCGACCGTCAACATGAAGACCGAAATTGACTTTGCTGTCTCCTGTAACCCTCCAAAGAGTGAGTGGCCATGCAGCGCGAAGCACCTCAGCAGTAATAGAGTCTTTCAAGTCGAAAGATTCAATGCCTGCAAGATGTGTTTGAGGAGCATCGACACGGAAAGGTGGGTACTGAGGCGGGTTGAGTTGCCGTGTACTCGAGGTACTCGATGTATCCGTTTCCACACCCGTCGTTCGATTCTGAATTACTCGCCAGAAATCATGCAGAGAAGGCAAGGGCTGCGAATACTGTGTCGAGACTCTTGATCTGAAGGCCTTCAAAAGTAGACTGATAGTCCACGGATCATGTACTGCTTGGTGAAGGGAAAGTACAAAGTAAGTCGTGCCGTTCGACTCTGCCACCCGTCCAAATCTGCAAAGTGGTCTACCGTAGCGTGATGGGAGGTCCCTGTCCCACTCGAGATAAGCTGAGAGAGAATCTTCTTCATTCCAATCTGGAGTCGCTTTGAGTGTAACGACGCAGACTCCGTACGGATCAAGAGATACTATTCTGCTGCGCAAGACAGGGCATACTGCCGCGATATGGGTCCATACCTCGTTCAGTTGTGTTACTGATAATTGTGGGGATACCTTGAAGACATATTGATCTAAGCCCCCTTGAACAGTTGTCTCCATTTGCTCACGTTGAATTGGAAGACAAGGGTAGATGTTCTCAATCATGCTGCTAGAAATCTCACACTGAGAAGCAGCTTTACGATGAACCATTTTGGCGATATCGTTCTGGCAGAGCGCCAGAGACGGCCGTTGTATTTCCGTCTGCAAGGTCTCCAAAGGTTGACTCACATCTCGGATGATCTCTGTGACTATTCTGGCGAGCATGTCCACGATATGGGTGGCAAAAGATGCCGATATCTTTGATGTATCGTACAACAACTTGGAAACGACCTTTTCGTTGTCATATGATACGCCGAGTGTGATAGCATACTGGGCGACGTTAGTATACTGTCACACACACAATTAATGTAAGGCACACCTCTGTATGACCTTGCAACGGCAAGTGATCTATGACGAGATCACCGGCGCCAGCCAGGTTGTCCGGCCACAGGCGATAAATGGTCATGATGGTGTTGAAAAGTGGTGACTGATCCACGCCTAGTGCTTCTTGAATCTCGCTCATGGATCCTGCACCATGTTCCAAGCCACGTGAAGTACCGTCATTCGCCTTTCTTAAAACATCTGCGAGCGTCTGTCCTGGGACTACATCGAATCTGTGAAACAACATCGAGAGCGACGGTCCCATTGTATCCTCGGATCCTTCGAGAGATTCGAGATTGGAGCTCAAGTAGCCGAAGCATAGCGAGTTATTTCCTGTGCAACGCTGTAGCACAATGCCCCATGCAGCTTGCATTAAGTTGGCCACGGTTACCCCGCGATCCCGACAAAAAGAGATCAAGTGATTCGAATCTTTTATGGGTATGTCGCAGAGACCGGATCCCCTTCGCAATAACTTCGACTCTTCAGAATCTAGAGTTGGTATATGGCAGGGACTGACACCTGAAAGATATATCTCCCAGTATCGGTTCGACGTGTGTTTGTTTTCTGCGATCCATGTAACATATTTGGTGAGATTGCTTTGAGGCGCACAAATCAAGTCAGCTCAGCGCACGCAGTAATGTAATTTGTCTCGGATCGGGACATACGCACCGATATATATGCAAGTTCGTTGTGTCTGTATATGCACGACCGAGCTGCTCACCAACAAGTTGCATGGATCTCTCGTCAAAGAGAGCATGATTGATATGCAACGTGGCATACACAACCGTTGGAGAGCATCTGTACAGGTAAAGGTGATGTTGTGGCCGTGCGAGAGGGAAACGTGGTGTCTCAAGGCCATCCAGGAATTGTTCGATGTTATCTGCTTCGCTTGGCTGTACTACTCCAAATGAAATAGAAGGACTGACGGTTTTCATGATTACCTGTTGGTAAGCACACGTAGTAGTTTCATAACCCGTCAAAATAGTTCTCAATATTGGTTGAGCGGAGCAGACAGCTTCCCATGCTGATATGATTCTCTTTTCGTCCATCTCCTCGGCGTTGTTGGTTGGAGTCAGCTTCATGCTAAGTTTCATGAAGTAGTCCTGTGGGTTTTTCAATTGGGAGAACAGAATGCCTTCCTGAAGTGGAGTAGTAGGGATTATAATCTCTACATCAGCTGTATCAACACCGATCGACTTCAAGTGCTTCTGACATTCTCTCAAGTCATCAGTGTTCATATCGATCAAGGGCATTTGACTTTGAGGATCAGTGGAGATCTTGGGCCGACTAGTATTAGTCGGAGTTTGAGGTTGGTTGGGGAGCAATTCACTAGCCGCAGCCACGTTCGACAGACTTTCGCTTCGTAATAGTGTAGCGACTGAGACCCGTAGTCCTCGCTTTCGGCACTGTGTAGCAACTTTGATCTGAATTCGTGTGCTAAATTAGTACCATCCGTAGAAATGATCTCGTTTATCAATTACTGTGTCGAAATGCCGCAACATGTGTTATTCTGGTGTGGGACAACTTTGTACCCGGGATATACATACAGCCAAGATTGAGTCTCCTCCTAACTTGATGAAAGAGCTTTCACGCCCAATTTCAGATTCCGATCGACCGAGGATCATTGCCCATATGATTTGTAAACTTTTCTCCTTAGGTGAATCTGGTGGCGATAATGACTCTTTGTCTATTTCGTTGTCTCGGTTAGGCTGCTGCTGTGAGAGCCATTTCTTTACTGAGCTCCGATCGATCTTAAGTGACGTTGTCCGAGGAAACTCTTCCATTATTTTCCAAGTCGTTGGAACCATATAAGATGGTAATCTCGCTGCCATTTCTTGTTCAATCTCTTGTAAAGCGCGTTCAGTAACCGATTGAAAATCTTGGGACACCTCCTTCAGAGACGTTTTTGTTGGTAACGCGATTCCCTCTAGGGTAAGGATGGCTATCAAATCTTTCCGGCCGTTACCCTCTTTCGCAGGTTGAATTGCTGTGATTGCTTGTTGAACAGCTGCGCAAGAGCCAAGCACCTTCTCGACCTCTCCAAGTTCCACCCGTTGGCCATTGATCTTGACCTGGTTGTCGATGCGTCCAATGTACTGAAGGCTGCCGTCTGGGTTGTATTTGGCCAAGTCGCCTGTACGAAACATCCGACGGGATACTTTGGAAATATCCCCCTTTCTATATGGCGCCCAAGGAGGCGGAGCGATGAATGAAGACGCAGTTTGGATTTTGTCATTGAGATAACCACGAGCTACACCGAGACTTTCAACAACGATTTCTCCTATGCCGCCTATTGGCACTAATTGGTCCTTGTTCTTGTCATCTATCAACCATATAGCGCTGGCAATCGGCTTGCCAATGTTTTCCCTATATGTTGATGCTGGTGTTAACTCAGCCATCGAGCTAATACATGCCGTTTCGCTAGGTCCCCAAGCATTAATGAATCGAGCATGACCAGACCACATTTCCACAGATTCCGGGTCGACAGGTTCACCAATAGAAATAATGCTCTTCAAGGTAGATGCCTCTTGTGGGGTGATCATGCGAAGCACAGTTGGCGTAAAGATAGCGCTGTTAGCCTTCGCCTGCCGGATGAATTCGGCAATGAAAGCCTCTCGCGCTTCATCTGAAGGAACGCAGATGCACCCCCCGAAGATCAACGTGCCAAATGTTTCAGCTAAGCTCATGTCCCACACATACGCGGCAAATTGAAGCATTCGTGTATCTGGACCCCAATTCATCTCTTGCCCGACGGCTGTAATAGAGGAAATTAGATTGCGATGCTCGAGGGTATGGCCTTTTGGGGTGCCGGTGCTGCCGCTGGTAAACAGTATGAAGGCTGCTCTGTATGGATCATCCTCGACTTGCGGTTGTGTGGTATTGTCAGTCGGCAAACGGGACTAAAAATGTGTGCGAGAAGTCAGCTCCGGTAATCTCATGATAAGACATAATACGCCACCAAGGCAAGCCTACGCGCGCTTTCATGACTGACGTACCACTGATTGTTCATTGATAGACTTGGTAGTAACGCCCAATTCGGCCAGAGAACTTTCATGATGTGCCGATGTCAATATCATCTTTGCTCCAGAGCTTGAGATGATTGTCTTCATCCGGGAGGCTGGAAAGTCGGGGTCGATCGGCACACATACAGCTCCTGCTTTCAACACAGCGAGCTGCGCAACGACAGCCCATAAAGACTTTTCAAAGATCAAAGCCACGGTATCTTCTACAGTGATTCCCATTCTGCGCAGGTCATTCGCGACAAGATCTGTGGCCAAGTTGAGTTGTTCGTAATCCATATTACCATCGAGCGCTTCAATTGCCTGCGCGCGGGGCTGAGAATGGGCCATTTCTCTGAACAGGCCTGGCAAGCCTTTTTGCGGTACTTCTGTTGCCAACATATTCCAACGTATAATCTCGTGTCGATCGTACTGGTTGAGAGATGGTAGTTTGTCAAGACGAGTTCCTGCCGGAGACTGGAGTAACAAACACATGACATGCTCAAGTTGCCTCAATATGCGTCGCACCTGGCCTTTTGCAACCACATTTTCGTCGAACAGTGTCTCGATAGAAAGGCCGTTATTTCCGAGGACTATGTTGATGCCTAGACCATACGGCAAATGAGGTTCGTACTCTTCATGAAGTTCCAATTCGGAGGTAGTGTACTCGGTGCCCATATCAGTCGGAGTTCTGAAGTTCAGAAGAGTAGTGAATCCGGTTGCAACTTTGGCCGCATCACTAATCTCACGGATCCGAATCAACCCATACTGGAGGGCAGGACTTCTTAGAGCTTCGCGTCTTTCTTGTGCCCGTTCTTTGATCAATGAAGCGATTGTGGATTCTTTCTTCATATTAGCTTGTACCGGCATCGTCACAATAGTCGGCCCTAAAGTCGACTCCAAACCACCGAGCCCCTGGCTGCGTGCGGAAAGTACTCTTCCAAATACTATACTCTCAGAACCAGTGTAGGATTGCGCAGTTATGGCCCAGGCTGTCTCGATGTAGCATGGCATCAGACCCAAGGAGACACTGACTCCCAAAGCTTCAAGGGAGATTTTTGACTCAATTTTTGACGAAGCATCGGGAGTGTAACCCACGTCAATCTTTGGAAACACGGTAGGGTGGCCACTGAATCTTTTGCCCCAGAATGTTGTTGCCATTTCAGGATCTATCGAGAGGCACTGTTTGACGAATAGTTTGAAGTCTGCGTGAGGCTTTAAAGACAATCCATTGTAGGCACGCGCAATGTTGTCGAACATGATGTGATATGTTCCTCCGTCAGAAATCGCATGGTGAGTCGTAAGAATGATCTTTCGGTCTGCTGGAAGAAGAGCGACCCTGAACAGGGGCGTTCCTAAGCGCATCGAGGATGACTTTTCATCAGAGAGGGCTTCTTTGAGAGGTTTCGAAGGGCGTGTTATCGAAAGAGCTTCCTTCACCACGACTTGCACCAGGCCGAACTCACTATCCACTATCCGCGTCCGCAAGATCGGGTTTAGCGAATAGATGTGACACAGAGCGTCACAGAACTTTTCCGTATCGATTGAGGGGGCTAGGGTCGCATAAACGCAATTGATGTATATCCTCTCTATAGGTTGTGCCATGATTCCATACTGAAGGGGTGTACAAGGGTAAAAGTCCTCGATTGCGGCCAGAGGGATATTGCACACATTAGCTATCTCGGCGAGAATAGCTTCTTCGTCCATTCTTGCGTCAGTTATTCAAGCGGATTGAGAAGGCCCAGGTATGTATATCGCTGTAGGAAATGAGGAGTTGAAAACAAAGGCAACTTCTTACGAGGACGTGATGTAGATTGATTGCACCAAGTAAGTCTCGATGAACACGTATGATGTTAGCAAGTTGCAAGTAGTGCAGAGCAAGACACAGAACGTGTGTGGAGCACCAGCTTCACTCTCCGTTGACCTGCAGAGTTTTTATTGCAGTATGCTCTCTCATCACATATGTGATGAAGGACATGGTGAATAAAGTTTGGCGAAAGTAAACTTGGTTACCACGTGCATTCACCTTCAAGATACCGTTTGGTTGGAACCGTTTTGCCGATGGGACCTAGGGAATGTTCACAGCAGGGGCACGGGTATAGGGTTCAGGGCGCCCGGCTTGAGGGATCAAAGGACAGCCATTCAGTAATTCAGCACCCATGGGTGGCAGCCGATCGGCGGCCTGGGGTCTACCTCGAACGCCAGCAAATCCGAGCAGGAGATTCTGCTATACCGCTGATAGCTTCATGATGATGCATAAGGATTGATCATCAAACAGCCCAACATGCTACACCAGTAGTCGGTATGAGAAGTAAGAGATAGAGATGCAAAACCGGGCTGGCAGTTAGTGCCCAACTCCGGCGACTGGAATGGAATTCCTATCCTCTACGCGTCATCGCATCATAGACGAGTCAAGTACCCACTCATTGCGACAGCACATACCGACTCCTTTTCCGACGCCGATTTGGATTCCGAGATTCATTTTCACGGCTCAATTGCTCTGATTGATGCAGGGGTTGTGCGACAAAAAGTATCATGATAACAATGCTGACAACGGGATATCAATTGATCGTTGATGTCACAGTAAAACCGCGGTAAGTAGCCTAGGCAGGGGTTAGTCAGTGTTGATTGGACAGAGAAAACGAGTGTAGGGTCCTAGTCCAATCACAGCATGGCACGATGCTGTGGCCCAATTCCTCCGGTGCTCCAAGAGTGTATGTCTTGTGGTAACACGTCAATTCTGAGTATGAAATGTCTGGATGTCATGTTTGGTTTCTCTGCACCTAAAAAATCAAACAATAAAAAAGAACTTGGCAGATGTTCATCGCTCCTGGGTGGTTTACGGGTGAACCTTAACCTTGTGCTTGCTCGGGCCATAACGGACGATATCTTTAGACCTACCGATTGCTTACGCAGACAAAAAACTCTTCTTTATTCAAGTCTGTTCCGTCTAGCATTTGAAATTGCAGACCTCTAAGTAGTATATGTCCTATAACTGCTCTTTCTCTACTACTCTAGTATAGCATTTTCATAAAATTATCTAACAAAATTTTTTTAGTACTTTAAAATAAAGCTTAAGTAACTTTATATATAGTAAAACGTATAAGTAAAGAATAAATTAAAAGAATTAATAATAACTATATAACAAATATTTTTTTATATTTACTTAAAAGTAAAAATTTAAAGGTTTTTTTAATACTAGCATTAATTAAGTATTTAAAGCTTATTATAATATCTATTATAAGCTTTATGTTTTTTATTTATAAAAGATAGCAATTTAAAATCTTTACTTATTTACTTTATTATTATTATTTATTTATTTTAAGTTAAAGTTTAAGTAATTTTAAACATAGTTATAAGTTTATAGTAATAAAATAAACTAAAAAATAAGTAATAACTAAAATAACAGCTTATTATTATAAACTTTAAAAAGACAGCTTTTAAAAAGTATTTAAAGTAAGAAGGCATTTTTGTTTTTTAAGTTAAAGTTTAAGTAATTTTTTATATAGTAATAAGTTTATAATAATAAAAATATAAAAATAATAAATAATTACTAAAAAAAAAAAAATTATTTTTTTAAAATAAAGTTAAAGTAATTCGACATAAAGTAATAAGTTATAATAAAAAATAAACTAAAAAAATAAGTAACAACTAAAAAAACTAAGTAAAAAAAAATAAGTATTACAACTTAGTAAAAAGTTAAAAGTTTTAAAGATATGTATAGTATAGTATTATATAAGTATTAAAATAAGTAGTATTCAGAAATTAATTTAATAAATATATAGAACTTTATTAAAATTTAATTTTAGTTTTATAATGAAAAGTAATAAAGATAGTATAGTTTTATTCTTTATAACTTTAATATAATAAGTTTATACATTTTAACTAAATTATTAAGATATTATATATATTAATATGTTAAATGCACAGTTCATTAGTCTTGTAAGAAGAGACAGTAGACAAAAAATAGAATTTGCTGCGTTGTCTTTACAGACTAACAGTATAGCGCGAACTATATGAAGTTTAAGGGCTAATATAATGCATAAGAGATGCGTTGAACTGCACTCAGTCCGAAGAACTAGACTTCCACTGCTATACGGAGTGCTTGCTAGATCTTGTGATTGATTCAAATCGCTGGCGTCTCGGGACATCGTCCTTCGGCAGGACTGCCCGATGTCAGTCATGCAGCCAGTTACCTAGAGGCCGACAAAACCACATGCTACGCATCCACGCTCAGACTTTATCTGGCTGTCAAATTCACCGCTCTTTCCTTCACACGCAATTTTTCGATACTCCTATCAAAACCACGAATCGGTAATACAGGGCATGAGGTCTTTGAACCTTTTTATCGTGACAAGCTCTAAGCCTACTATGTTCCGGGTGACCGGAGGTGCAGATGGTATAGCTCCACATCACCGTATCTGCCATGTATCATTCTGCGTATCCCGTAATCCCTGGACTAGACTTGTATCTTCCTAGACTTTCACGCCTTTATATTGTGTGCGCGCTCGCACTTTTCCATGTTATACTGTCCCTCTACCCATCTAAAATATCGTTCTACACGACAACATGTCTCAACGTCAACCTTTAGCTGTTGTTGGCTACGCTTACAGAGCACCTGGCGTTGGTCGTACGGGTCTGTTTGACTTTCTGGAACAAGGAAAATCAGCTTGGTCTAAAGTTCCGGCTGATCGCTTCAATCAGGAGGCATTCTATCATCCAGAATCTCGGAAACCTGGTTTTATCTCCTCCAAGGGAGCACATTTCCTGCCAGATGATATATACGCATTCGACCCCACATTCTTCAACATCAAGGCTGACGAGGCTCGTGCTCTGGATCCGCAGATTCGTCTTCTTCTAGAGTGTGCATTCGAGGCTGCGGAGAACGCTGGCATTACACTTCAAGAGCTTATGGGAGCCGACATTGGGGTGTTCGCAGCAAGTGATAAATCTGAATACTACAACACGGAAGCGCATGATTTGTATACATCCTCCCTCTTCACAGCCACGGGTGAAAACCCTTGCATGTGGGCTAATCGAGTCTCATACTGTACGTCCTCATTTCTGTTCAGCAGTCTCTGCGTTCATATCGCTCCATACAAATCCAGCATCTTGCGATGCTTTGACGCAGTAGCAATCGAGACGTATCCTAAGCATAGACTTTGGCTAACGTTTTCCTCTTTCCAGTCTTCGGCCTGACCGGTCCATCTGTTTCTGTCGACGCCGCATGCGCTTCTAGCTCGTATGCTATTCATCTGGCTTGTCAAAGCGTCCTGTCTGGAGAATGTTCTGCCGCCTTTGTGGGGGGGGCAAAAGCGCTGAATGGTCCAAACAGTTGGATCGAGTTGGATACTATGGGGTAGGTTTTCTGCTCGCTCTCCAAGTCACTTTTCTTGTCCTAAAATTGTGATCAGTACCTTGTCACCAGAGGGCAAGTGCTTTTCGTACGACGTTAAAGCCACTGGCTTTGGAAGAGGCGAGGGTGCCGGGTGCATTATCAGTACGTACTCAGGCCCAAACTACCGAAACAGTCCTCCTGTCGGCAGACTGCTGCAAAGGAACCTATTTTTCCCAATCATACTGAATTTATTCCAGTCAAGCCCCTCGCCGATGCACTTGCCTGCGGCGACACTGTGCGCGCTGTCATTCGGAATTCTGCAGGGAACCATTCTGGGCGCACACAAGGGATCTCAATGCCTAGCCGCTCAGCACAAGAAGCTCTCTTATCTAAACTACACGTCGATGTCGGATGCGATTTTAGTGAAACGACCTATGCAGAGGTCAGTAGAGAGTCGATAAGAGGGAAATCATTTATTGGCTAACTTTCCACGTATAGGGCCACGGAACGGGAACCCCAGTTGGCGATCCCATAGAAGCCAGTGCTATCGCAACCGTAGTGGCTAGTCGCCGTTCAAGATCGAATCCTCTATACCTCGGTGCAGTGAAGTCCAATCTTGGGTTAGTTGTTCTACTCTGCACCAAATTGATGATTGAAAGACTGACAACGTTGTTGGTAGACATATTGAGAACGCTAGCGGGCTACTATCATTCATAAAATGCGTCATGATGCTCGAAAACGACATTCTCTTCCCCAACGCAAACTTCACTGCGTTAAATGCGTCAATCGAAGGTGGCGAGCGACTGAAGGTATGTTAATGCGGACGGCCTGTCACTGCACCACGCTAACCTTGTTTTAGGTCCTCACCAAATCGATGCCCTGGCCTCCAAACGCCGTTAAAAGAGTCTGCATGACAAACTTCGGTGAGCTTGTTGCTGGAAGCTGTAGCGCTACTCTCTCTAACACAGCCCCAAGGTTTCGGCGGAAGCAATGCAGCTTTGCTACTCGAAGCGGCCCCGAAAGCGCCCACAATCACCCTTACCCATGGAAGGAACAACCTTAATGTCGACTACTCTGATATGAATCCCCGCGCAACTCCCGGTAGTGGTGAATTGGAGCAGTTATTTGTACTCTCTGCGAGATCGCCCATCAGCCTCGACGCTTACATCTCCTCATTTCAGGAATACTTAAAGACGGCACCAGCTACTACCTCTTTCACCAAGAATCTTGCCTTTACCTTGGGAACGCGAAGGACACACTTTCCCTATCGCTTTGCCGTGACAGCGCATTCGGCAAACTCGCTACAGCAGAAGATTGCATCAACGCCGGCAAACTTAAGATCAGGAGTGACCGCGATCCCAACTGTGGCATTTACATTCACTGGCCAAGGAGCTCAGCATCATCAGATGGCGACGGATCTTCAACATTATAGTGAATTCCAGCAAAGTTTGGCGGCAGCGGACAAGATCCTTTCACGTCTCGGAGCCACATGGCGTTTGACCGAAGAGCTGGCCAAAGGAGAGCATGAGTCTCGCGTCAACGATGCGGAAATTAGCCAGCCTGCTTGTACTGCAGTGCAGCTTGCGCTCGTGAATCTTCTAGGCTCATGGGGAATTGTCCCAAAGGCTGTTGTCGGACATTCAAGTGGAGAGATAGCCGCCGCTTACAGCGCAAGCATCATATCTTTCGAAGCCGCAATAGCGATCAGCTATTTCAGGGGAATTGCCGCCAGTAAAGTCATTGCGGATAGCACGGTTCACGGAGCGATGCTGGCCTTAGGCACTTCCGCCGAGGATGCTGAAACAATGTTCCCACAACATGATGAAGGGTACGTACATCCCAAGCACATAGCCGTTCAACGTTTAAGATGGGGAATGAAGCCTTTTGGAATACTGCTGCTACATTATCAGTGATTTTTTTGCGGTCAAAGCTAACTTCTTATCCGCGAACTAGGTATGCAGTCATCGCTGCGATCAACAGTCACGACAGCGTAACTGTTTCTGGTGACGCGTCTGTTATTGCAGACATCCAAGAACAAGCGGAAGAGAAAAATCTCTTTGCACGCAAGTTGAAAGTAGGTGTCGCATATCACTCAAAACATATGCAACGGGTAGCTGGTTCGTATCTGGCTTCAATTAAGACTTTAAATGCGGCCAGTTCCACCACGCCTAGGAGAAACGCGACAACGAATCCTCGTTTTTTCTCGACTGTCACTGGTCGTATGGAAACTGTAGAGACAATTGATTCCCAGTATTGGATAGAAAATCTCCTCATGCCTGTTCAATATGTGAAAGGTGTGGAGGCTCTGTTCGCGCACTCTGGGGACAACATCATCACTCCAAATATTCTTGTCGAAATTGGTCCCCACTCAGCTCTGCAAAGTCCGACCAAACGTATTCTAGAGAAGCTTGCAGTTTCGAAAGATAACAGCGCACCTCTGGCTTCCGCGATATATCTTCCCTCACTTATGCGCGGCAAAAATGATTCCGCGGCTCTACTTGACCTAGCAGGCAAGCTCTTCTCACTAGGGTCGAAAATTAACTTCGATACGATCAACCAGACGCAAAAACCTAGTGTGAGGGTACTGCGTGATCTGCCCTCATACGAATGGAACAAGTCTGTGAGATATATTCACCAACCTCGACTTGGAGCCGAGAGGCTTTACGGTGGACAGAAATACAACACACTGCTTGGTTGGAAAAGCCCGTATAGTGAAGGAGACGAGCAAGTATTCCGGAATGTCTTCACTTTGGACGATCTCCCTTGGATCAGAGATCATGTTGTCATGAAAGAAATTCTTTTCCCTTACACTGGATTTGTCTCATTGGCAATTGAAGGCTTCCGTTCAATTTCTGTTAGCACTTTGCAAACAATTTCGATACTAGAGCTTCACGTCACTACTAGCCTCAAGATTGAGGAAGACCAGCTTGTAGATGTTACTACCAAGTTCCGGCCAGCAAAGATGGGAACCAAGGCTAATTCTTCCACCATCTGGAACTTTGAAACGCTATCTTGGACCGAAGCACATGGGTGGACACAACACTCTTACGGAATCATTGAAGCATCAAACTCCAATTTTACAAGCGCAGCGGTCACATCTGCCGTTGAAATCCTCAAAGACAAATCTCGGCTCGATTTGCTCAACTCCGAACATGAGTATGAGCTCTTACAAGACAACAACAATCTTGATTATGGACCATCCTTTCGCAATGCTGTCAGTTTCTGGAAGTCTCCAGGTGTTGTTATCCACGAGGTTCTCGTACGCGATATTGAGAAAGAAATTAACGAGAGAGGATCACCAGTTACAGTCCACCCACCCACTCTTGACGCCATGTTCCATTCCATGGGTGCAATTCAAGGCACTAACAGGTCCCGGGCTGTTATAGTTCCAACATTCTGCCAGCAGTGGCGGATATCCAATGGCATTGTCACACAACCTGGTCAAAAACTGACTGTTGTCAGTAGACGCACAAGCCATGATCCGAAATCGAACAACATGGATATGGATTTCATCATGTTCGAGAATTCTACCGGAACTCCTACTCCTGTCGCAGAGATTGGTCCTGTCAAGTTCCAATGTATTGCCCGATCGGATGAGAACGATATGCGCCTCCCAAGTACATTTTCTTTCAAGAAGGTCCTTCATCCGGACCTAGTTGACCCAACAGCGCTGGCCCGCATCATCAGGCAAGATATTCCGGAAGAATGGGACGCTGAGGCCGAGATCAAGCACCGTAAAGAGCTCGATCGCGTTGGCATGTACTTTCTTACTCGTGCCATGGAGCAGAAATATGACCTTTCTGATGCGGCGTTTCCTCTGCAGCACTTCATGAATTGGGCTGAGACTACATTGGCCAACAATCCACCGGTATCTGAAACAGATATAGGCTTTCTCATAGATCGCGTTGCATCATCTAATGCAACAGGAGAGCTAGTTTGTTCGGTCGGAAAACAGATGCCGGAGATCCTGCGTGGAGAAAAACAGGGTCTTGAGATCATGCTAGAGGATGGGCTTCTATGGCGAACTTATCACGAAAATCTAGCAGGTATTCGTTCAAATGCCGCCCTGGCCAGCTACATGGAAAGATTACTGGAGTATAATCCCGACGTCAAGATACTGGAACTTGGTGCGGGAACCGCTTCTGCAACACTTTCAGTCCTTGATGCCGTACAGGAACGAGTGAAAGACACCGGTTCCCAATTTGCATATACCTTCACAGACATCAGCGCGGGATTTTTTGGCAAAGCCCAGGAGCTACTAAAGAGATGGTCGGACCGGATGACTTACACCAAACTGGATATCAGTCGAGACCCGCTATCGCAAGGATTCACCGCTCACTCTTACGATATCATCATGGCTAGCAACGTGCTTCACGCCACAGTTGATATCACTGTGACTTTGAACAATGTCAACAAGCTCCTGAAACCTGGTGGTAAGTTGGCGTTGATGGAAGGTGTTGGAAGCCCCCCTCCATCCTTCATGCCTTACTCGTTACTCTCCGGTTGGTGGCTTTTCGAAGACGAGTATCGTCAAGATGGTCCTCTCCTTACCAAGGACGCATGGAATAGTGCTCTCAAAGCCACCGGATTCTCTGGAATTGACGGATGTATCGACGATTACCCGGGTCGGTCGGAGCAACTTTTTTCGGCCATGTGGTCCACTCGACTTGACGAAGAAAGCTCACAAAAGAAAAGCCAATCCATCATGGTTTATCGATGTTCCAGTGACAGTGAGAGTGAAAGGTTCTCTAACGATTTGAACAGCCAGCTAGACCGTCCCTCAATGATCAGCGACCTTTCGCATCATTCCGAGGTCCACCCCGACATTCCGTGCATCATCCTCGATGGTCCATCACGCAGTATTTTCAACGATCTATCGTCGGAGCAGTACTCTAGGTTGAAAGACATTCTTTTAAAATGCCGGACCCTCCTTTGGGTTTTACCACATAGTTCCACTCCGGAAGCTTCGATGATCAAGGGTCTATTGCGAACATTGCGCCTCGAGCTGCCGACCAGCAATCTTGTTGTACTCGAATTGGACACACCATTTGACGGCGAAGTCGCCTCTGCAGTCGTAAAACTTATCGATCATATCGAGCGACATCCGAACTCGCACACTGAGCAAGAATACCTTTTGGTCGACAACATTCTCCATGTACCAAGACTTGAACGTGTGGAAGCTACGAAAGAGATATTCGCCATTGAAGCTGGAGTGGCTGTCAAAAACGAAGAAAAGCTGTGGCAGGACAATTCATGGCTCGAGATGACTATAGATGTTGCGGGGAGCCCTGACTCTGTCCATTTCCGACACAACCATCCTTCTATTGCGGTTTTGGGTAATGACGAGGTTCAGATCGACGTTGACGCCGCGGGTTTGAATTTCATTGATCTGTTGACAATTCTGGGAACATTGTCGTGGAGTCCCCCCGGACTCGAGGGATCTGGTATTGTCACAGAAATCGGATCCAAAGTAGAAGGTTTCCAAGTTGGTGACCGCGTATTTTACGTTCTCGAAAAAGGAGGCATGGCAACAACTCTCAGGCTGCCCAGTGCCTATGTTCACAGAATTCCAAAGGAACTCAGCGCTATCGAAGCAGCTTCTCTCCCTGTTGCGTACAGCACCGCACTCATGAGTCTCGTGGATGTTGCACGTCTTCGCAAGGGAGAGAGTGTCTTGATCCATTCCGCGTCAGGAGGGACTGGTCAAGCCTGTGTTCAGGTCGCTCAGCACTTGGGTGCGGAAATCTATGCGACTGCCGGAACACCCGAAAAGAGAGAGTTTCTTACTGCAATGTGTGGTATTCCAGCGCACCGAATATTCTCCTCGCGCTCTGCCGATTTTAAAGATGGCGTCCTGAAGGCAACCGGCAACCGCGGAGTGGACGTGATTGTAAACTCGCTAAGTGGCGATCTCCTGCAGCAAACCTGGTCATTGATCGCTGAAAACGGAAGGTTTCTTGAAATAGGAAAGAAGGATTTCCACGAGAACACGTACTTGCCGATGCGAAACTTTGCGCCAAACGTCACGTTCAGTGGTATTGATTTGAGAAGAACGATTGCCAAAAATCCTTCTTTGATCCAAAAATACCTCTCTACCATCACCGGGCTCATCGAGGGAGGTAACATCACGCCCATCTTTCCCATATCAGCCGTATCAGCTCTCGAAGTCAAGACAGGCTTGAGGAAGCTCCAAGCGGGTCAGAATATTGGCAAGATCGTTGTTACATTTGGAAAGAATGAGAATGCTGTCGTACAACGCCCTTCGCCGTTACAGACTGCTTTAATCACACCAACACTACTGCGCCCGGATGCGACATACGTGATCGCGGGAGGAACTGGAGGAATTGGTCGCGCCCTGGTACGTTTAACATTTTCTCTGTTGAGATTACCCACCATTGATTTTCTACTTCAAATACTAACCTCCTGTCCCCTTAGGTGCCTTGGATGATCGCGAAGGGTGCCAAGAATGTGATCATGCTGGGTCGCAGTGCGATGACCAACAGCAGAGTTAAGGCAATTGTCAAGCAATACGAAGGCACCGACATCTGCGTCAAGGCGCTCCCTTGCGATGTCGGAACACGTTCTGATATACTCCGCGCCCGTGAAGCTCTTCAAAGCCTTCCAAAAGTGTGCGGTATAATCCATGGAGCCATATGCTTACGTGTAAGTTAATCGAGCTCGCTTTATGCCTACGTTTTCAAGCTAACGATTATGTAGGATTCCATCTTCGCAAACCTCGATTACAAAGATTGGCAGCTCACGTACAAGTCGAGAGTCGAAGCTGCTTGGAACCTTCACGAGCTGTTCCCAAACCTCGATTTCTTCGTACTATTCGGTGGAATGACTGGTGTGGTGGGCAACATTGGCCAGTCTGTATATACTGGTACTTCGGTAAGTTCTATACAAATGCATGAGTATCTTGCGTGCAGCTAACCGTGGCCCCTAGACATCACTTGAAGCCTTTACAGATTACAGACTGAAACAGGGGCTACACGCTGCCATCATTCAACTACCCCCTGTCACAGGCATCGGCCTTGTAGCGGAGCGAAATATGATCAGCCAACTGAAGCGCACAATAGGGTGCACTCTCAGGGGAAATGAAGTTCTCACAGAGGTCGAAGGTGCCATCATCGGAGAAAATTCTGGCATTGGCGTCGATGGCAAAGTTCTAGGATGGTCAGTAGTCTCCACATCCGAAGCAGAAGTCCTGCCTTGGGAGCACTTCCAGCCATTGGGCGTATTGATGCGCGAACGAATGGAGCGTGCCGGCACAGGTATTTCCGGAGGTAATGCCAATCAAGGTCAATCCGAGCTGAAGACCGGGTCCTCGGAAGCCGTCCTGGATACTCTGAGCGAAAAGATCTCCGTAATGACGACTATCGATAGAGAGGAAATCACACCAACTAGAGATTTGAGCGATTACGGCCTGGACAGTCTTATTTCGCTTGAACTACGGAATTGGATCCGGAGGACCTTCAATTTCGACATGCACGTGGACGAGATAACCAAGTCCAAGAATTTACAGGCCATTTCCGATGCTATTTTTGCCAAATCTAAGTAGTGGACTTAACAAAACACCGCATCTTGGGTCAGATGAGAGCAACTGAGAGCGATTCTATGGTCGGACTCGTAAGATTAGATATAGATAAAAGCTTGCAGTTCTCGTCGGAGAAATCAATTCACTTATCATCTGCAGCTTTCCGTCCAATTTCAACATGCTATACTATCGTGATTCTTTCAGAGACTTATTACGATATTAATTTCTTAGACATCCAAGAGACTCTGTGCGCGTGCGAGGGGGACAATCGGGTTTTTTTTTTTCGTAATGCATTCGACTAGAGATCAATCAGTTTAGTTCACGTTCAATCCAGATGCCTGACATTTCCAAGTTCTCTCGCCATTGTAAAGATGCGTTGAGATATTAGCGGTACACTCTAAACACGGTGAATTATCTGAGTGTTCTACCCAACAAAATACCATGGTATTAACACTTAAATACTATAATCATTTGATTAACTGCCAGTTGATTATTGGGATTGGAAGGCGAAACTGTAACGTATTCCGTTGGGGCAATACCTTATTTCAGCCGAAATAAGAATGACTAGATTTATGACGTAGTTTGATTATTACGTCTGTCAGTTGATTACATTCGTAAATTAGCATACTCAACTGATTTGGTAGTTGATGATTGCCGATAAGCCATTTCTCCTACTTTTCAAAATGTCTATCAAATACTTTCAATTTCTTGCGATGAACAAATTATTTGGTCATGAGTCAAACCACGCAATATTAACGGGTGTCTTATGCTATTAGATAGCCTACAGATCGGATTTTTATATCATTTAGGCTAAGATGGAAGAAAGAGCGTAAAGATCACGGCGATTTCCAGTGTCATGAACAAATAGGTATGCTACGCTCACCACACTACTATGATATTGCCTTCAAGATGAATGTCTGCATAGCAGTGGAGGCGAACGAATTTCGGTATAATTTTGCAGGTTAAGAAAGTTTTGACGAGAACAAGTATTGAATGAATAGATTGATTTGCGATGATTACCCCAATGTTGAGATTGGGGGTTAACAAGAAACTGGAGTCATAACGCACCGCCCTAATTTTGGCACCGTATTTCTTGCTAAATGGTGCTCAGTAGATCGTAATCCACCTCGCCATCATCTTTTGTGGGCATTTCGTCCACTATCCTGATAGAGCTAGGGAGAAGATGCACAGGTAATTCTGATTGAAGATGTTCATCAATCTGCTCCCTTATTGCCTGTCTGGACTGCAACAGTAGCGGTTCCATTGCGAGTTTCGATCGTTCAACCTTCCCATGATCATTTGGGAAATGGAATTTCACCTTTTCACCACCTCCACACGTCTTGCTTTTGTGAAATATTGCATCCATTCCTCCTCTTTGAGATCGTTCTCTGGCGCTGCTGATTTCAACTTGATGACCGGCCTTTTCGGCTATTTCGAGCAAATCAATTGTAGAGAGCGATGGCAGGGCCTCGGCGTCCTTTCGAACTGTCGCAAGCCAATGATCAAAACCATGGTCCTCTGGCTTTTCGGTCTGTTCACGAAGGCGGTCGACCAAGAGGCTTTGGAAAATAGTTTTGCTATTCTTGATATTGCTCACAGCCACAGTGCCTCCGGATTGCTGTAAGAGCCGCAGCAGGCTTTCTCGATCCATTTCCCGGTGTGTAAAGTCAATCCAGGCATCTTCTGCGATCTTGCTCTCATACTTATGACCCCGGTTTTTCATGAACACGACGGCAGCATATCGAAAGCAGCTCAACTCATTGACGGCCTTCAATCTTTTGGGGTGAATCTCTACCTGAAAAATACGCCCAGGAAATCTTTCAGACAGACTATTGAAGAAAGCTGGGTCGATGAGCAGCTCGAGCTCCTTGTCTAAGAGTTCATTTATGCGCATTGAGAGATCAGCTTTGCTTGTTACTTCGTCGGGACCATTAAGTATCTTGCTGACCAAAAATTCTTGGTGTAGCGCATATGACCGTATGTCCCCAAAGTATATTGTTTCGACCGTTGGAATTTGTAGAATTGCTTCTATTACATCGATAAGGTATTCTTGAGATGGAAAGTACTGGGCAACGGAGTTGATTACAACCAAGTCGGGGGCGATAGGAAGTTCCAATGATCTTATGTCTGCTGCCGAGCCCTGGAACATATGGATCTTTTCGGAGAATCTGGGCATGGATTGTGCCGTCTTTTTCACAAAATCCACCGCTGTCGGTGACATTTCCAGACCAACATAAGAGCGAATCCCGCTGATCAAGTTGAAGAGAATCATTCCAGATCCCGTCCCAACTTCAAATACGCGACTCTCGGGTCCATTTGGAAGACTTTGTATTGTTGCTATCGTTTCGTCCAGCCATTCGTTCATTTCGTCTATAGCAATCGGCTCTCCGTCATACATCGAAGTCCAACCCAAGAAATCCCTGCCGATATCATGTAGAGTAAGCTCATCCATAGCAGTGTATGTGCAACCATCCCAGTAGCCATCCCAAAAGTGTACTTGTTGCTTCTCATCATCCCATTCTGATTTTTCGGGCTTTTCCTGTGTGGCTTTGATATTGGATTCTTGAAGCTTGATGAAAGCGACGATTTCTTCGAGTCTGACTATCGCCGCGGCGTTTTCGACCGATTCGTGGAGCTTGATCGTTTGTTCCACAATTCGCAGCTCTTCTCGTGGAATCAAACCGCTGGATTCGTCTAGATCCGGTCGCATCTCCAAATACTGGCTATGATGATTATTTGTCTTGTGTTTGGCGTCCTTGCGCATGTTGCTCAAACCCCACAGCTTCTGAATTTTGGAAGTGTCCATAGTGTTGGAAACAAATCAATGCGCATGAGACTACAAACAAATTGACGAAACTTAGAGAGTGTATTCGAGCTGGGGGAAAGCTGCTGTATGATTACTTTGCTATTATAATTAGTGAGATTGAGGTGAAGTGATCTCTCCCTAACCGTAATCAGCATAGCAGCTCCCTAGAACGAGCAGAATGGCCAGAAAGAACGAGACTCTCTGAAAAGCATTGAAAAAGAAACGCGCATCAATGATTTCAGCTGACATGTAATGCGGACGTTCGTGGAGGGCCAATACTATGTGCAGGATCACATCCCAACCTATCGCAAGTCGTCGTTTGGTCAAAGATCGGCGAGCCCAGGCTATACTGTGGCCATTCAGATCACATGTCATATACTTCCTCCGAACTCTGTTCTTAGTGCACATGTGCTTTGGTCCCGTTGTCACTCTTTCTGACCGCCTTTCCAAACTTCCGTGGCCTTCCCCCACTCGGGTTCCCGAGCGTGCATCTACATATGTAATGTCGTGAAACCAAGTAGTCATTATCTGCACAAAATCCCCGACTTGACTTTGCAGCGCTAGGGATATGTATCAAGTCTGCAGTCAAGGCGGTGTGCAAACCTTGCTTTTGAATCGTGGTAAAATGGACAATGGCCCTCGTCGCTCCTTCCAGACTTCAGAGTTGATAGACGGGTCAAACCCTTAACTTCACTCGAAGTGCTGGAGTGGGTTGTTGCTGTACGCTCCACAAGAGACCCACCCACTTCCTCTCGCCAACTACCGTAGGAATCAACACATAAAAGACGCGCCGACGCTTCTAGCCGCATATAAAAGTCACTAAATCTAGTAATAATGATGAATTTATAAACATAAAAATATTAATTTATTTATTTTATTTATTTTGAGTTGGAGTTTAGGTGATCCTACACACAGCGATGGGTGACGATGATAAAGAAACTAAAATAACGAGCGATAACTAAAAGAACGTTAATATAAATATTATATCATTTAAGACTTTAAAGATTAGTACTTCAAAATTTATCTTTCTAAGTGCCTTATATATAAATAATATTTCATATATTTAATATGATAGATTACACCTTATTTTTCAGCTCTTGTAAATAGTAATTTACAAGTTCTACAATAACTTTAAAACGCCATAAGTGGCAGGATCATCTTCCAATCCGGCTAGGCTGATGTCGTGACAAGCAGACGGTTTATGGGATGTGAGACGGCGATTGAATTCACATCTTTGCCTTTGGTTGCGGCAAATTCGTGGGCTCCGAGCTTGAGTGCTTGAACCTTCTTGGAGTCGGTGCCGGAGAGCACAATCACTTTGCAGCCCATTTTAGACGCAAATTGAATGGGAATGTGACCCAGACCACCGACACCCATTATCCCAACGGTGTCGGTGGGTTTCACTCCATTAAGGGCGGTGAATGTAGTTGCACCGCCGCATTGCTGCATATGAGATGTTAGCTAAGATGCTGCAGTTTTTTTTTTCGCGGTGTATTTGCTTGTTTACCCAAGCACATCCTAGAAGCGCAAAAGAAGGTAAGTTGGAAAAGGCGAGTAAGACTCACCAAAGGCGCGGCTGCTTCGTCACTCATACTTTCCGGAATCAAATGTAAGAACGCTTCACGCCAAATGGCGTGAGTAGCGAAACTTCCCTGATCCAAATTTGCAGAACTATACATCTCGCGTTCTGGGCAGAATGTCTCAAACCCCTGGATACATTCAAGGCAGTGGCCGCAGCTATTGGTCTCATACCCCCAACCAACACGGTCTCCGATCTTTAAATGCTTGACTTCCGGGCCGATGGCCTGAACCACCCCAACACCTTCATGGCCGAGTACAATATCTTCTGTTCTCTTTCACACATGTGAGTCCGCGTGAAAGCGAGTTAACATGCAATTCTTTGCGGGATGACTTACGAAGTGAAGATCTGCATGAGATAGTCAATGCTAATAACTATCAATTTTCCAGACAATGAGCTCACTTACCTGTTCCACAAATCCCAGACGCGGAGACACTCATCAGAACCTTGTCTCCAGTAAGCTCATCTGGTTTTGTAGTGGTGCTCTTCCTTGGGATTCCATCTTTCTGGCCCTTGTAAACCGTAAATGTAGGCATTGGAAATAATTGGAACGATGATTTGGAGAAGAGTGGGCGGAAGAATAGTGACTTTTTGGATGTTTCGAGAGTTCTCAAGCTATGTCTCCAGTCAATACTTATATCAATGAATGGGATTCGGACATGTAGTTGCATGACATTCCTGCATTTACGAAGCCAAGGACTACCCCTCGATCGTGTGCTTACTTTATGGTCCCGTAAGCTCATGGTGCTCAAGATCGGTGCAATGAAAGCTGCTTGTCTTATCTCGCCGAGCATGCAGCTATATAGCAGTTTGCGGCATAGTTCAGGCTTCTCGCAGATGGTGTGTTTCGTGCAGCCATCTCATTCCAATGCAGCACAAATGGCAAATGGTCATGACTTCACGCAACTCGACTAACAATATTACCCATCATCTTAGTTCCTATCGTTCGTCCCTCCCCTCTCGAAAGAATGATATTGTCTGCATCAGCTCTAAGTTCCAATATGTGGACCTAGCAAACATCACCTATTGTCCGTGATTGCGAGGAATTCTATGCGTTTTCTTGCCTTCATATCAAGCCGTCGCATCATATGCCGTGTGTTACAGCGTTTCTGATTTGAGGGTTCGTACATTGCGATCTATGCACAGTCATCGCTTCGCATACTGCGGGGAAGCGTGCGACATCGCCAGTCAGTTCAGCAAGCCACAACCGTTTTTCTCTGCCAAGGAGTTCCGAACGAACGACCTGTAGCGGCTACAGCACTACATTATTTTTTTACGTCATCTCGGATGTTTATAGGTCAAGTGAAAAGGTTGTCTTCTATTCTCATAAGGATTAGTATTAGCTATTTAAAGCCGATGCAGATGCTTTGCCATATTGCAGAGCGAGTTTTTCTATCCTATAATCTTTCAGTTTTCAAGCAGTATGCTAGGGGTACATTCATCGAGCTGATAAGACGCGACTTACATACCACTCGTATTTTACTCTTGCCCATATACTAATAGCTAGCAATAGGTCGTGAAAAAGGCCATCGCTGACCCCTATTATAAGCAATTTGCCCTATGTCATACTTGTAATCAAGTACTCAACTTTTATACTTTTTTTCGACATCACCAGCCTCCTCTAGGGGGGTGGTAGAATCACTATTCAACTATTCAATTAAGCGAGTTGGGGTACTTTGCAATGCCAGATCTCTTATTAGTCAACATACCCTCAAATCTAAACAAGCGAATATTGAGATCTAGCACCACACAGTATGAAACAAAAAAAGCGCATTGCCTAGGGATTGTGGCAAAGACGTATATTACTTAAGAGTACGTGACACTGTGAAGGTAGAGAAGGTTATAGGCCCCTGCTTTAAGGGAAGAATTATTACTATCTGCCAATTCTTTAGCTCTTTATGCTCTGTGGTGAAGTTATCTTCACTAATTAGAAAACCCTATAGATACCTAGGTAGTTATCTTACTATCACCTTATTATGTGCTTTTTTGCTTAGAACAGAAATTATATCAAGCCTCTTAAATGTGTGAGTTACAGCTCTTATCTTTAAGAAACATTCAACCCGTTCTAATTTGCTCTAGCTACCTCTATTCTATTAAGCTAAGTAGGCTACCGTAACGAAGAGACTTAAGACTACTTTCTACTTAGTTTGAGTACGAATGTGCTGCAAAAGTGCCTGTAAATTTTGCGTCCTATTGATCTCATCAACGTGGACATCAAGATCAAAGTTCCTCCGAATCCAATTGCGCAACTCGATGGAGATAAGGCTGTCAAGACCGTAATCTTTCAAGTCTCGCGAGGGCGAAATTTCGTCCTTGTCAATGGTTGTCATAGCGGAAATCTTGTCACACAGAGCATCCATAACCAGCTCATCGGACCCCGTCTTCAATTGGCCTTGTTTTGTGGCGTCTTTGCCGTGGGAAGCGCTCGCATCAACCTTTCCATGACGTTCGCGTCTCATAACAGCCAATGGCTGGAAATGTTCCCAAGGTAGGGTGGCTGCCTCTGAAGTAGTTACCACTGACCATCCTAGGATCTTCCCATCTACACCGAATCCAGAGCGCGGTCCGAGTATGGCGGCCTCTACTTCGGTAAGAAGTTCCTCTCCGCGGAGGTTGCAGCCTATGGTCTTTTTCAACGAGGCTCCCATATTTTCCTCTGCCACAAGCCCGATGCCCTTGACGGGGGGTAGTTGAATGACCGCAGCGTGCAATCCTTGCTTGCGCCGGTGGTCTGTGAAGGACTCTAGAAAGGTCTAGAGAGTGTGTCAGCTTCATCAACAGTTGCCAGAAAATGATAAGGGAAAGAGAAAAACTTACGGAAGTGCCGGTGTATACGGACTGTCCTTTGTTGCCAATAATACCCGACGTACCGCCGAACGAAACGAAGAAGTCCAGATCAGGAAACAGCTCGTGTAGGTTCCACGCGCCGTCGAGCTTGGATTTGCAAGTAAGTTGCCAGTCTTCGTATTTTAGGTTGACGAAAGCGGAATCCTGGCGCATATGATTAGCTATAGCAGCGGGGGGAAGGTGAAGACAGTGGAAACGTACGCGCAAACAGATAGCTCCGTGAATGATACCACGCACTTTTGGCAATCCCCTCAAAGATTCACGAGCATGTTTTAGGTCAGAGCGATGGCCAACATCGCACGGAATAGCCCTCACGCACATCTCAGTCCCCTCGTACTGGCTCAGCACGGCCTTGACCCTCTTGTTGGTCGCGGCACTGCGACCTAACATAACGATGTTTCTTGCGCCCTTGGCAATCATCCATGGAACCAACGCACGTCCAATGCCGCCAGTACCGCCTGAAATCAGGTATGTGGCGTCCGCACGCAATAGTTTCGGCGTCGATAGACTTGTCTTCAGCGGCGAGGGGCACTGAACAGTGACTTTTTCGTCCTTTCCCAAGGTGATGACCAGCTTCCCTATATTTTGCCCCGTTTGTAGTTTCCGCAAGCCTTTATTGATCTCCGATGCGTGGATCGTTGAGATGGGGCGGACAGGGGTTATCATGCCTTCTTCAATCAATCGAGAGATGGCGGACAAATATTTCCTGATCAGAGCTGGCTTTTTTGCACAGATCCTCCGTAGATCAATACCGCTGAAGGTGACATTTGGCGCAAAGTTTCTCATGGGCAAGAAAGTGTTTTCTCTAAAGTCCTTGTTGCCGATTTCAAGAAACCTTCCGTTCTCAGCTACCACTTCCCATGTTTGTTGGAGCAGGTCGCCACTCAGACAATTGACCACAACATCTACTCCACGATTTCCAGTTGCCTTCAGGATTTTGTCTCTGAAACTAGGCGTGCGGCTGGAGAATATTCGGTGTGTCGCAATGCCGTACGTGTGCGTAAGAAATTCTCGCTTTTCAGGGGTGCCTGCTGTGGCAAATATCTCGGCCCCGAGATACTGCGCTATCTGGATGCAAGCCTGTCCAACAGCGCCGGATGCGGAATGAATCAGAACACTTTCCCCTTGCTTGAGACGGCCGACGTCAAACAGACCCATAACGGCTGTGCTGTAGGCAATAGGCATCGACGCTGCCTCGATCATACTTAGACTGTTGGGGATCGTGTGTGCGCAGTCGCTAGGAATTCGCACACGGGTCGCGAAACCAGCCTTCTCAATAGCATAGAAAACCCGATCGTTGATTTGCAAGTCCGTCACGCGAGACCCAACGCCGATAACCCTTCCTGCACCTTCCAGCCCTGGTGGATTCCACTCCAGATTTCCAAGGACCGTGAGAAGATCTCTGAAGTTGATTCCAGCTGCTTCAACCTCCACCAGAATCTCGCTTTCGCCTAGAGCCACGCCATCCACGTTGGTGTGCTCAAAGAGGATCGAGTCAGGGCTACCCACCACGTCCATAGTCAACCCCAGAACCTCGCCTTCACGCCAGAGATTTTGCTCTTGCTTGAGCATGAGCCCTGCTTCGATTGCAAAGATTGACTCTGTAGCTTCGACACGCTCAAGCCGCGGGACATGCAGCACCTTGCCGATCAAGGAATACTCTTGCTCTGTATTCAATGTTGAGTCTGTGTCGAGCTGCATGTGTTCAATGAGCTTCACCGCAGCGTGCGTGTTTTCCATATCTAGTGTAGTCTCGAGTAGAACCAAGTTGCTGGAAGATCGTTCGAGCCGGAGTGTGCGCAACAAGCCTTTGATCATCGAAGCCTCGGGGGTTGAAAGAGTGGGTAAAACCCAGAGCACGTTGGAAGAGTTCAGCAAGATGTCTTTCATCTTGAGATACAGATCCGACGACAGGTCATTGAATATGCTGCGTTTTGGACTATCTATCATAATGCATAGCGTATCGGGATGGACCTCGCGATGCTGTGAAAACTGTGCGAGGAGTGACCCGCCGCTCATTTGACGCTGCAAATCTTTGGCAAATTCCTCGCTTTCCCCGCCATGGTAGTAAATGACAGCCGGGGAGTCGGCAGCCCTCTGAGAAGTCCCCTTGTCCAGGCATGTGGACCAAAGCGCGGAGAAGAGCTGGTTAGCATGACCTGGATGATCCTCTACACTTCCGTCTACACCTGAGAATCCAGTGTCTTTCAGCGCATTGTTCCAAGCCTCCGTGGTAAGCAAGGGACCATTGTGGCGATATTTGTCTTCAAAAAGCCACCATCCATCGATCAGAGCAAACGGCATAAGAGACGCATGTGGTTCCTGCACGCCTTCAAGGAGCACGAGTTTACCACCTGGCTTTAGTAGGGCATTGATGTGGTTCAATGTCGCGACGATGTCAACTGTAGCGTGAAGGACATTGCTAGCCACAATTACATCATACACACCGCCATCGAACCCCTGGTCAAGTGGATCTTGACTAATGTCAAGTTTCTTGTATCTCATCCTTTCTGCCCATTTTGCCAGTCGTTGTTGCGCTTTGTCGAAAAATCCGGCGCTGATATCGGTAAAAGTGTAAGTGAACTGAGAACCACTGCCTCGCACTCGACCATCAATGGCCTCGAGCACTGGAAGTGTGGCCGACGCGGTCCCGGCGCCGACTTCCAAGATGTTGAGGTCTGGTTTGTATTCCGCTAACCGTCCCATGTAGCTCACCAGGGCTGAATTCGGACGGAAACCCAGGAAATTTTCGTGGTATGTTCGCCACAGCAGACCACCATCCAGCATAATCTCCAACACTTTTCTCTTCCCGCGAAGGATGTCGGGAATAAGTGCACCGACTACGCACAGCAGCTCCCCAGTCGCATTGGAGGCGGAGACACGCTCGATGAGTGGACCGATATCCTGAGGCGGCGTGATGGAGGTGCTGGCCAAAAGATTGCGCGTCCATTCAACAAACTGCGGAATTGGGAACTCGGCATTTGACAGGTCGTATTCCTGTTCCATGGCTTTGGCCAAGTAGTAGACAGCGACCTCGTTATGCTCATCGCGTTGCCTCATTTCGCTCTTAGAATCCCATTCCCCGGGAATATCTTCTTCTATGATTTCTACAAGGGCATGCTGATCTATCAGTCCAAGGTGCGGTACATGCTTGAAGGAAAATGTGCTTGGGAGCCTCATTTGTTCTTTGTCAGAGCGAGTGATGCATTGGAATCTTACGGGTCCGATCTCAGCTAGTACCCTGGGTGCTACTCCGGAACAGCTGTCAATGACGACAAAGTCCATCTCCATGCTGTCTGACTTTTCATCATGGCTTACTCGTCTACTTACGACAGAGAGTTTATGACCGGCTGACAGCGACATTGTATTCGAGATTCGCCATCGCATACAGAATGTGGGCACAATGACGGCTTTAGATCTGTGAGTACCCGAGATAGCGCTCATGGAATGGAATATAGCGTCGAGGGTGGGCGGGTTCACTGCGACCGAGGAATCACTGTTATCTATTCCCAAGTCGCGTACGGCTATGTTGTGAACAACGCATTCGGGTCCCCTCCAAAAGTCTATAGCATTTTGGAAAGCCGGGCCGTAGGAAAGGCCATTGTTCTCCTTCAGAAGTTCGTATTCGTGTTGTGCGTTGAGCAGATGGAGCCTTTGGTCGTTGCATGCATTCAACGCAGCTTCGACAGCAAGGCTATCAAAAACAGCATCCCCATTCTGATCTTCTTCAATCGTACCGTAGGAGTGTTGTTTCCACCCGTGACCTTCAGACCAGGATAGTATCTCAAACGACCAGAGCGTTGAGGAAGTTGTCTGGGTGCCAGTTTTTGCTCGGCGAAATTTGGTCGTAATGTCCACACGCTGATCCTCCTCAATCCTCAAGCTAGTAGTGACGTGAAGCTCGCGTATTATAATTTTGGACAGCTCGCCCGCTGTCAATGATCTCAGACCTTCAATGGCCAAGGAAACGAACGCAGTGAAGGGAAACAAAATTTCTTGCATGACGACGTGATCCCGGATCCAAGGTAAGTCGTCTAACGTAAATACGTTTCGGAAGCTGCACTCTTCGTCTCCTTCGTTGTGAGAGTTTTTCCACCCGAGCAAGTTGTTGAATCTCTGCCCGCCAAACAGCTGTTCTGCTCCCACCCGAGGTTGGTGGAGGTATCGCGCAGTCTTGTTCCATTCGTAAGACGGCAGATCATGCAAGACTGCTACATGAGAATCTGAATTTTGGTTTATTACATCCAGATTGATTGTTAATCCCATGGTAAAAAGCTTGCCTGCCAGGGCAAGCAGGGACGACGCGGCGCGTTTACCACGCAAGAGAGATGGAAGACATGTTACTGAAATATTAGAGCTCCTGCTGTCGGTTGACGCGGCGATTCGTTCAAGGACTTGCTTTGTCGGACTCTGAAGCGCGGAGTGAGGTCCGATCTCGATAAGCGCATTCGGAGCTACGACCTTGAGCTGCGCGTCCTCGCAAGTTGCGAACATGGTTTCCAGTCCTTGGAGATATTGCACAGGTTGTAGTAGATTTTTGATCCAGTACCGAGAATCTACAGTGTTTGACGTTTCGACACGACCGGTAACCGTGGAAACGAACCGCGGTGCTTGCGGCTTCTTCTCAGGAACCGCGAGGCTAGGGGACGAGCAGAAAGGCTCGATGTATGTTAGATACATATCAGCTATTTTTTGCATGTGTCGAGAATGGTACGCCACTCCAACCTTCAACTTCCTCGCGAACAAGCCCCGGTCTTCTGCTTTTTGTTGGATGTATGCGATAGCAGACTCATCCCCAGATACAGTGACGCTTTCGTAGCTATTTATCGCTGCTACCACTGCATAACCTTGTTCTGGGGTCGGGAATAACTTCTCCGCTTCCTCGGCGCTTGCTCCCAGGGCCAACATGGCCCCTTTCGCGGTCGGATCAGCAATCAACTTGCCAGCGACTAGACCTCTGAAATAGCTGATAGCGACTGCGGCTTCGAACGATATAATGCCAGCTGCATATGCGGCTGCAATCTCTCCGCTGGAATGCCCCATTACAGTTCGCGGGACTACCCCCCACGATTGAAGCAGAGCTATCAGTGCCAATTGTACGGCTGTACACGCCGGCTGAGAAATTTCCGCGTCGTTGACTCGAGACTGCTGCTCTTCTTTTGCGAGTTCTTCGGATAACCTCCATGTGGCACCAAGTTGCAAAAGGATTTTCTCTGACACTGCCAATGATCGCTGAAAGGTGCTGTATTCTTGGAGTCCAGTAGCCATTTGATAATATTGGGCTCCTTGTCCTGTAAATACGAAAGCCAAGTTCAGGCTGTTCGTTATCCCAGACTTCATGTTTGACGGTAGATTGACGAGTTCTTTCTGTAAAGAATTCATCGAAGTGGCAGATACAGTAATACGGTGAGGGAAGTGGGTTCTTCGCTGCCCGAGGGTGTATGTGAGGTTCCTCAGAAATACATCAGACGATGGAGCTGTTTTCAAGTATGCCTGGAAAGAAGAGATGTATGTTTGGAGACTGATTGGAGACTTGGCGGAGAAGACAAGTAAAAGCTCTTTGCTATCAGCCTCCACGATAGCTTGGTCATGAGCAATGCCGGCCTTCTTGGCATTCCGCGTATGAGAAGCCTCAGGCGCCGCGTCAAGGAGTACTGCCGCATTACTGCCTCCGAAACCTGTCTCATGTTAGCAAAAAGTAGAAAGACAAGATAGCGAAACTCTACCGAAGTTCGTCATACAAGTCCTTTTGGTAGCACCAAAAGGCCATGACATTGGTTTGAGAAGTATCTTCAATTTCTCGGCGCCTTGGATTTCCGGGTTGATGCTCGTGAAGTTGGCAGTTGGTAGAAGAATCTCATTTTCCAGCATCATAACACATTTGATGAAGGACAAGAAACCACTCGCATTCTCAATATGTCCAAGGTTCGACTTGACTGATCCAAGGTACAGCGGATTCTGCGGTGAGCGGCGACTTCCCACAACCTCTGCTATGGCACTGGCCTCGATAGGATCGCCTACCGGCGTTCCCGTGCCATGCCCCTCCGCATACGTTGTTTCGTTTGGGTCCAATCCGACTTCTTCGTGTAAATTTTTAAGAAGAGAAACCTGGGCTCCACGCCCTGGCATGGAGATTCCTTGAGTGCGTCCCGAGTGATTACTTGCTGTGTTACGGATAATGGCTCGAATGGGATCTCCACACGCTATTGCATCGGACAACTTCTTGATGACCACACACCCGGCGCCTTCGCCTCTTCCAAAACCAGTCGCTTTGACATCGTACGAATAACACTTGCCCTCTGGCGATAATGTGCCCATAGTATCGAGTTCCACCCACTGGTTTGGTCCATTCAGGGTTTTTGCCCCTCCCACAAAAGCAGCAGAGCACTCTCCCGAAAGTAAGCTTTGACACGCTAGATGGATTGAATAAGAGCTAGAAGCACACGCAGCGTCTACCGAGACACTGGGACCCGTCAAGCCGAAGAAGTAGGAGACACGATTGGCGAACATGCTGGGATTCATACCGGTAGCGGTGAAGATGGACGAAGTATGTAAATCCTGGGCCGCTGTGTTGTAGTATTCGGACTTGTCACTAGCTGCGAAAACGCCGATGTTCTTGCCCATGAGTTCACGGAGTGTGATACCAGCATTTTCGGCGGCTTCAAAGGCACATTCAAGGAGGAGACGGATTTGAGGATCGAGTGCGCGGGCTTCGTCTGCTTTGATGTTGAAGAACGCTGGGTCGAAGGCGTAGATGTCATCCGGTAAAAAGTGCCCGCCCTGGGAGGAAATGAAGCCAGGTTTGCTCGATTCGGGGTGATAATAAGCCTCATCTGGTTGCAAGGGTGAGAGTTAGCAGATTTCCAAGAAGCGGTTTGACAAGGCTCCTATGCCTAGCCTTGGCACGTACGGTTGAAGCGATCAGCAGGCACCTTGGACCAGGCACACTTTCCCTGCTCCAGAAATTCGAAGAGACCTTTCCGACCCACACCAGGGGCACGATACGAGTAGCCAACGACGGCTAATGGTTCTTTTTGAGACATGAGCTCCGGTAACAAAGTATTCCCAAGTAAATTCTGAATTGACTGGCTTGATCGGAATCGCAAGAGAGTGATGGAAGTGTTCAGAATGGCATCAAGGAAATTCCATCACTACTAATACTACAGACTGCTCTCTGACACGCATCAAATCCCTGGGTCGTATCCTTCCCTCCCTGAGCCTGGGCGTCGAATATGGAGCACCTGCTACGACGTCGCATTGGACACGCCTTAAAACGCCCTGTTAAGCTTTCTTAGGCTTCATGGTGTCAATGGCGGTGAAGCTGATAAGCAATTTGGCGAGATATAATACGAGGAAGCTACACAGGGCGACGACAAAAACTTTGCGGTGTGAAACATACATGTGCTTTGGTGCGCTGTCGTTATAAGCTTCGGGTCGGCTCGAAACTCAACCACTTATGACCCCTTGAAAGATTGCGACAGGACTGCCAGCTAACGAATCATTCAGAGGCAAGCAAGACTTTTCCAAGTCATCACAGCAATCTGATCTCGTGTACTGCTGTGCTCCACCAAAATTATTCAGAAGAATGGAGGCACTGATTCTGAAATACTCTACAAACTTCACACCTTCTTCAAAACAGCCCCACCCCCAACAAAATACCTACTTAAAGCGAAGAAAAATGCGGCGCCTACAATCAATACCCCCGCAAATACTTTCATCCTCACGTACTCATCCCCCCTGATCAACGAACTTCCAATTGGGATCCCCGCGATGGCCCCGATGGAGGATGTACCCCAAACCACCCCCACTCTTAAGCCGAGCTCCTGGAACTCTGAAACCTGGCTTACGAGGACAGGGACGGCGGCGACAACAAAGTTGAATGCGAAGCCGAACAGGACGGCAAAGACAACCGCGCCTGCAGTCCCAGTTCCCAGAATCCAAACCACCAGCACGATCAAGCTGCAAAGCAGCGTGAGGATAACAGAAACATTGAACATACCAATGAGTGATCCTAAAATTCCAGAACAAATACGACCCAAAAATCCACCAGCGTTGAGAATGCAGACGAGGTACTGCGATATCTCTATTGGCATGCCTCCGCTGACGGCAATCTCAGTGACGTACAGTAGTGGCAGTAACCCACCGAAGGAGAATAGAAAAAACGCAATTGTCAGTGACAAAAACTCGGGCTTCAGGGCTCGCTTAGCGATTGCCATATTTACTGCCTTCTTGGCCGGTTTAGAAGGTAACTTGATCGTCGCGATGGCGAACAGCATGAGCGCTAGGATGAGGAATGCACAAGCACGCATTGCCCAACCAAAACCAACTCTTCCGATCAGCCGATTTACAACAATTGGAAAGACAATCCCACCAATGGGAGCCCCAGATGCTGCGATGGCGACTGCAATAGGTCTTCGACGCTGAAACCACATGCTTACGGCCGTTGCAGCAGGGTTAAAGATGAAGCTCATTCCTATACCACTGCAGACACCTTGTGAGAGAACTATCTGGTAGTACTTAGTGCTGATGGAAGTCATCATTAGGCCGAAGACATGAAGAAGCATGCCGATGACGAGCGGAATCGTGGGCCCGACGCGGTCGAAGAGAAAGCCGACGAAGGGACTACAGAATGGGAGGAAGAAGTTCTCGAGAGCACCGATCCACGATACAGTCGTTGCAGGTAGTGATGCTAGAGGAACACGCCTGTAGTATTCTTGAAAGACACCCATAGAACTTTCGGTGGTGTCAGAGGGGGCATGTGAAAGAGAGTGATTTCGGATGGGATGCTGAGAACTCACTTGATCCATCCATACGAACAGAAATACAAGGCGGCACAGCCGGCGACGCAAAGCCAAGCATCGCGACCGCCATCGGGAGTCTCAAATCTGGGCGTGGTGGGGTCTTCGGACAGTTGAGCCGGGTTCTCGTCTTTCTCTGTAGGAGAAGATTCGCTGCCATTCATTCTTGCCTATCTCTTGTCTTTTGGGTTCCAGCAACGAATTCTTCTTGATGTTCTTGATGTCCTTATTATGGGCTTAGAGAAGAGTCCAGATGCGTCAGAATCAGTGCTATAAGTATATGAAAACATTGGTAAAAACAAAAATGGAGCGTGCTCCATGATGTTCGCAAACTCCGTCAACACCGGTAATGCCGAGGACAAGCAAACCTACTCTGCCACACGTAGGGCCGAGAACTTAAAGCGAGATTGCAAAGTGACATCCAGATACAAAGTATCGGCAGAGTTACATCTGTCGCTATCTATCATGATCTCTGTGTACATAATTGGCGAGATCTAACTGCCTTAACCCACTTTCCTGTGTTGTACACGAGGTGTGCGCACACTTTAGCCCCACAATTATCAAGATCTGCGGTGTTGAATGACAGGTTCATCTACGAAGAAACCTTAATTATGCAGTTGCTACATGTGCAACTTCATGTGCCAAAACGAAGTTTCGCTAGCCATGCTTGTCGGTGGGATCAATGATAGGTTGATACCAGCGGAACCAATTTTTCTCGTCGTATTTTGCCTTCAGTCCCCGAAGTCTCTTCATCCGCCACTTATCATATCCATAGAGTGCTTCCACAGGATCCTTCTGGTTTGTTCCGTGACCGTAGTTTGCGTACTGCTGCAGGCGCGGGTATCCTGACTTTGCGATCATCGTACGTTTCCATTGGTTAAGCCACTCGGCACAGGCGTCACTTTTTTTAGGATCTTTGATGGAGACTTGCAACATTCTGTATCGCGTTAATGGGATTGAGAGTCTCAATACACAGCTGGCTGAGAGCGAAGGCTACTCACTGGAAGATGTCTGAGCCATGTCTCCATGGAAAAGCTGTCGCGTCATCCGGGATCTCCTGCGCGCGGTGATGGGAAAAGACTTCAAACATTGCCAGTGCGCGCAGGTTGTCGTCGGCTGTCATACTCTCCAGAGCCTGGAAAATATCGCACATAGTGTCAATGTCGAACGTTTTGGCGCTGGCGGCAGCGAAAAGCTTATAGGGATAGAGGTTCCAGGACTCGGGACTACCAAGATACGTCCTGTTAATGCCTTGTAGAGCTATCCAAGATAGTTCAGGCCATTCTACTGTCTGAACTGCGGAAGGAACAATGGGGGAGATGGCGTGGAGCTGCGAGATGTATTCATCGGCCTCGTCAAGTGGGCCAGACCATACGGCATTTACCAAGATAACGTTCTTGAGCCACTCTGTTAGCATTCGGGAATATCGATCTAGCTAGAGTGAGATCGGGGGGGATTACCTTGGCTCCAGAAGCAGCAACACGTTTCCATAGAACAAAGACTGCCAGATTTGGAACCATCTTGCCGACCCAGCGGTTCAGAACCTCAAACACAGCCCTAGCCTGGCCTACTTGGAACTCGAAATCCCAGTTATGGTGAAGGCCGCCATGTTGTTGGGGATAAACTTTGAAGGTTGCCTCTACTACGATACCAAAGTTATGGCCAGCACCGCAAACGCCCCAGAAGAGATCGGGATTGTTTGTTGCTGACGCTTCAACTATGCTACCATCTGCCAAAGCAATCTTACATGAAGTTATGTTATCGCTTAGGTACCCATACTTGCCTTGAAGACGACCAATGCCCCCTCCAATGGCGACACCCATCAAGCCAGTCGTGGGGCACGAGCCGACGTCTGCAGATAGTTCGTGAGCTACAACATCATGGAGCAAGTATTACAAGAAAATTAATGGGGATGATGATAATGAATGATAACGTACTCGTCTCCATGTTGAAGCCATGAATATAGTCTAGGAATTCGCCGCTCAGAACCCCACCACCCGCTGTGACTTCCTGATTTTTCTCGTCGTAGTTCATTTCCTTGAGTGGCTGCAAGTCGATTACTATACCATCTTGAAGCGTCTGCATCGAGCTAGAGACGCAGTGACCGCCGCCTTTCGCAGTGCACGGGATCCCGCGTGTGTGTGCGTAGCGGATGCTATTGGCCACATCAAGATATGTTTTGGGATATACAGCCGCAATGAATGTCTGTGTTATTTTCATACAGGGAACATGTCAGTGTATGGATTTTGAAAGCAAATTGAGGTAGAAAGATTTTGAAAATCTTACCGGACGACCATATTCGGTAAACCGGAACTGCGAATCTTCGAAGCGTTCCGAACCAGGCAGATATACCTCTGCTTCTAGGGATAGTAGATTGCAGAGTTCCTTTTGTATGGAAATAGCCAGGTATTGGCGGTATGTCTCGTCCAGTTTCGCCATTCTCGACTCTGGAAATGAAAGTCGTGAAGACGTTAGTGACACGAGTGTGAATGTAGGCGGTGAAGAGCAATGATACTGCGTACATCATCCAAGTGCTAACGATACGCTCTTTGTAGCTGTCCGTAGCACCCTGTGTTATCTAAAGGCTCGGATTGATCCAGTCTCTTCACCAATTGTGTTCGACCACGAGCGGGAGGCGACATACAAGTGCTGTAACCGCGGCCCCGCATTCCGAAAGGCAAATGGCGAGAAACAAATCACCTCAGCACTGAAATCGCGGGTATGTGCTGTCTCTTCGATAACCGCTTTCGTTATCACACACATGATGCTAAACTGTGTGTCCAATAGCGCTTGATCTATATCGCCCCCCAAGTTGAGTCGACGCTGTCGGAAAGACAACTGCGATCGTAGAAGTTTCTGGAATGTTCATGACGATCAGCGCGAGATCTACCCTGAGTTTATTCCTACATTACCCAGGAAGCTCAGGCGGGCGTAGGTGGAGTGCTTCGTCCGCCTCTTGAGACAAGTGCTTTTGGATCAAAGATTGATATGCTTGGTATTAGGCCGTATGACAGGCTTTGCCTTATTAAGATGGCATGGTTAGATTGTTTGGATCTCTTTCGCTTGTTTGTCTGTTTGGTTTCAATTACCTTATTTCGTGTATTCTCTCTTTCTCGGAATTGAGGCTATCGGCTAACTAGTCATTGCCTATTGGTAGTGACTGACTGTGTAAGGAACTTTGAATAATTAAGTAAACTGCACAAAGAACTTTCTCTAGATTTCTATGCTTTTTTTTGTTTTCTTTTTTCTAAGTTAGAGTTTAAGTGATCCTGCACACAGCGAAGGGTTTACAGCAATAAAAGTACTAAAACAACAAGCGATGCCTAAAAGAACAATTAGATTTTGCCTTTACACAAGCTTACTAAGCAATTAAATGTCTATCATTTATAAATAACTTGCTATCGTGTTAATGATTTAGCGTTGTCACAAATAAAATAATTGGTAATCGCGCAGTGCGTCGAAAAGCAGGATTGATCCAGCGTAACACACATAATCCGCCCCAGTATCCAGTAAATCTATACAATTCATCCAGAACATACCCCATCCCAACCAAAACCTTTGGGCAATATCCCCATCTAAATACAAACAGCCGGTCTCGGCATGAAACCCACATTCCAAGCGCACTCGACAGTTCTAGCAACGGCTACCAACCCACTCATCCCACACCTCCAACTTCCCCTTCACCCTCGCGCCCCCCGTAGGTGGAGGGAACAAATCGCGGTTCTGACTCATGAAGTCATCGATCTGCCTCCCCATTACCTGTAGGACATTTTCCCGATCATGTATTCCAAGCTCAGCAGTCTCCCCTTGCGTGACCGAATCAGGACCAGGACAAGTCGAGAAACACATCGTGACGAGCTCAACCTCCCCAATAATACATCCCGCACCCTTGCCTTTATCTTCGCCTTTTTCAAATGTGTGGATGTCGCCGTCGAGTCTGAGGAACTCTACATCGTCAATGACAACAGTGTATTCATCAACGCGGAAGATGTCCCGTGTGGTTAGGAAGTCAGACACCGCTCTCCCCGCCCATTGTTCCACCTTTTTCTCTTTATCCTCGTTCTTCATCTCCTTGTTCATGTCATCTCCTCCATCTTCGTCTTCTTCTCCGGCTGGCTCGACAACAGTCAAGCGAGCAAGAAAAGGACGGGCGAAACCAAGATTCAAAAGAAACGCATACACAGCCTCCACACCAACAATTTCCTCCGCCAACGTCCCACCCGCCGCATCGCCAGAGATCTTATGCTTAATCTCCCACCCCCCGTTGCGCAGTCGAAGATAAACATTTCTACCCATCAACGTGTTCTTCCCCTCTTTTCCGTGAACTTCAACAGCGGGGTCGGCGCTGGTAGTGGCAGGGCAAGGAACGACAGGGTCGAAATACACATCGCGAATCATCTCGCGTCCTTTGTATTGCACCACCGGTCCTGCTGCTGCTGTCTCTTCACTGGTGTTGTGCGCTACGATGACAGGGCGATCGTGTGCAAGCGTGAGTTCGCCGTGTTTAGCGCGCTCCCTTAGCAGGGATAGAGAAGTCGCTGTAGGTAGGAATTTCCTTTCTGCTTCTAGGACTGTTGGGTTTGTTTTCTTTTCTGTCTTTTTCTTTGCATTCTTCGTCTTTGTGGCCTTCGTTTGTGTGGTTGTTGGGATGTATACCCTCGGGGGTGGAAGTTCAGGCGCAGGAGGAGGTGGTGGTATTGGTATATTCGGGACGATGGGTGAAGTTTTCCGATTGCGACGAGTCGTTAGAGGGATAAAATAGCGTTTGGATGTCAGCGGTAGAGCAAGGACGCGGGTGGTTGACAGAAGCGTAATGCGGAGGTGTGGATGTGGGCGGCGGAGAAGGAGGGTGCTGATGGTAGCGGATTGTGGCGGCATACTTGTTCCTCTCTCTCTTCTTTCCTTCCCTTCTCTGTGTTTGTCTTCTAAATGTCTTTCTATCTATCCTCTTCTACTCGCCCTTTTCGGCTACGCGGTGGTGGCTGGAGGTTGGTGGATAAATTCCGTGTCAAGGTTGTGGCGCGGTTGAGAAAAGTTAAAGGGCGATTTTATATCTCGAAGCCAGGGAATAAATTTGAGTGAAGAATGCACCGTGAGTGAGTGAGTAACCAAGCGAATGAGTGAATAAGTGAGTAACATAGCGTATAATTCCGCGCTTCAGACAAGAATCCAAATCACCGGCCAGTAAGAAAGTCCCTCTGCGTTCGCCATGAACTTCTCTCACTATGCTTAGTTATCTACTTTCTCAAAACATCCGCAACTACATCGCCAATCATCTCACCCAGAATTAGACACATCACCGGCCCATACAGCCATCACTTGTGATTGAGTCGTGAGGTTACGGCGATTGGTAAGTCCAAGCACAGATGGCCAACAATACAGAGTGAGCACGAGCGGATTCCCTCAGACTCTGGCAAAAATGCAACTATTATGAAAGCCGAGGATCAGCTTTTTTCGTTCAAGTTTTTTTGATTCGAATTTCAGTGTTTCCTACACCTAAGAAAGGCTGATAAAAAGTGTTAACAAAAAGTAGACGGGCACAAAAAGGTTCACAGCTTCTTTCGTTCACAGTAAAATAACACATACCTCCCCACGCCTCCCTCTCCCTAGAAACCAAAATTCTCCAGAAGTGATATCCACCCCACCCCCTCACCCAACCTCTCTCCCCACATATACACTCCCCACCAAAGGAAGACAGAAGAACACAGCAGGGCAAAACAATAGTACAAATAGCATCTAATCGCGATTATTCCACCGCTACGAGTCATATATAAAACGCTCCACCCCCTTCCGCCCTTATTTCTCCCCCTTTCACTTTACAGGAAAAAAAATACATAAGGGAGAGCTAAAGGCAGAAGCGGAAACTAATCTTATAGAAGAAGAATTGCTCGGTCTCACGTTACAAACATATACATGTAGTTATGTAAGAGATGAGACGGATAACGCATTGCGTTGGTTTACTAGGTCTTATAAGTAAGCTCTTCCTACTAGAAATAGGTGGTGTTGAGTATGTATAATGTTTGATATATTAATGTACTTGCACTTTGACACATCCGGACGCAGATATACGCAGTATAGATAGATATAGAAGTGATAGCTCAATCTCTCTGTACATGCTGGGATAATGGCTGCTAGACTTGTATAGACAAGATATTGATGTAAGAACCAAGCAACCAGCGTAGTTGAAATGAGAGAAGCAGATAGGGAAAGAAGAGGGATAGGAGGATGTAGAGGGGTGTTTAGATGATGGATTAAATTAACTTTGATAAAACTAAGAATGGAAAGGGAAAGAGAAGATAAAGAAGAAGAAGAAGAAGAAGAAGAAGAAGAGGGGTGATTAATCGCAAGTATACGAATTGCCAGGAAAAAAGAAGAAGAAAGATATCGCAATCCACGTATTTGAAGATATTTTCCTTGCAGTCTATAGGGTCTAATACTTCACTCGGGCGGTAACCTACATTTACTAGAGGCAAAAAATTAAAAAGAAAAAAAAGAAACGGAGGGCGATAAACAAATACCTCTTTTCTCCCCTCCTCTTCCTAGAGAAACACTTAAGCCAAGCCAGCCCACCTCTTCAATTCTTGCATCGTAAGATAATAATGTCGTTCTCTCTCTCTATATTCCCTTTCCCTCCCTTACCCCCATTCCCCACCAAACCCAAGAACCTCCACAAGAAGCCTTACCCTACCCATAAAGCAACCCCAAATAAATCCCCCAAATCATGCCCGCCGCACACCCAAACACAACTCTCTTGTCAACCGGGACCCAAAGAAAGCTCGCCAGACTAACCGCCGGCCAGAATTTATACCCATCGATAGCCATTGGGACAAGATTAGTTTTGATGTAAGCCAGCACGGCTTCGTATGCGCTCGCCGAGCTACCAGAAGAGAGATGAAGCGTGTACCCCATGAAGGCCAGAAACATGAGGTTATTGAATAGCGCGCCAAAGGTTTGGTCGAGGAGGAATTTGAGGAAGATGTTTAGGGTGGAGCGCTGTGTTGCGTTTTTCTTTTTTTCAGAGGGCGCGACGCGGACGTTTGTTGGGAGGATGTCTTCTAGGAATGACTGCCAGAGGATGTTGGGCGGGCTGCTGATTATGCTGAATAGCGCGAATTTCAGGATCGGGGATGGGTCGAGGGAGAAGGTCGTCTGTTTTTGTCATTGCTGTTGTTAGCTTTCTTGTTTGTTGTTTTTTTTTTTCTTTTAATTCGGATACGGGGTGGTGTGAGAGATGGAAGGTATTGGGCGACGGGACGGAGGTGCTGAGGGGAGTGGGGGTGGCATACGTCGTTCTTATACGCAGCGATGGCTTGCGCGAGGACGTTCGACGTCGCGCTGAGCACGGCGCCTTGTAGCGTCTGCGATATCATGGCCGACATTGTTGCTTGCTTCTGTTGTTGTCGTCGTTGTAGGACTTGCAGGGCAGAGAGGCGCGTGGGGTATATGTATCCGTATATGTCTCTGTAGTAGTATGCGCTGTGTCGCAAACTCCCAGTACGCAAATTGCCGTAGAAGCAAAAGAGACAAAACCTTCAATTTCGATAAATCAGGGAACAGGAAGCAGAGTGCCAGAGGTTTGAGGTGAAGCAGGACGAAAAGAAAGAGAAAAAGACGTCGTGTTCGTCGAAGCTCTCAAGCTTATTAAATAAAAAAGGGAAATGGACCCGAAAGGTCTCAAGAACGTTTGACGTTTATGCAGTTAGTTCTCCGCCCTCCAGCTCCGCAGTATCGCGCCGACCCCCACATAAATCGCCATTGCGTCCGTGCTGGCTGCTGCCTACAGCTTTCCGGTTACTTCTTACCGCCGGGGCAAAGGTACCATCTGGGGGTTTGCAGCAAAAAGGAGAGGAATGGCGGGTTGTTGTCGCATACGTGTTGTCACCACAGTCTGATTATCAACACCTCGCTGTGTCTCCGCGTTATGGACGCGACGAGATGACGTAATCACTCCGTATCTCCGGCGCGAATGTTGACAAAACAAAGCGAAGCAGAAGATGGACAGCTGGCAAAAGAAAAAAGCAATCCAATGGATTTTGCTATGGAAAGATCTAAGATGCTGGTGGATATGTCCGCGCGCCTTTCATCATTCATCTAATCTTCCTCCCTCGCTCCTCGCTCTCCAGGACTCTAGTAGTTCTTGTTCACATACATGTCTACATACTCGTCAATGTCCATGTTGTCCAGCGTCTTTGGGTCTTCGGCGAGCTTGACGAGCTTGTCGACGTGCTCGGCGGGGAAGTGAGGGCCCAAGTGGCGCTTGAACTTGGCCAGAATCTCGGGCTTGGCCTCTTCGCGGCGCAGACGGTGGCCTAGGGGTGCTTCGACAACCTCCTCCTCGAGCACGGTGCCATCCTTGAGCGTCACCGTCAGGGCGTTGGAGATGGTACGCTTCTCCGGGTCATGGTAGTCCTTCGTGAATTGCGGGTCCTCGACGCACGAAATGCGCTGCCTGAGCGACTCGACGAGGGCTGAGGTGGCAGCTTCGCTGTCATCGGGGTAGTCGGTGGCCTCGAGGCGGTTGAAGACGAACATGGTCGAGACCATGTACTAAGAGCGGCGTCAGCGGGAAATCAAATGGCATTTCGAAAAGAGCTCAACTCACCTGCACGCAGTGGTCTCGGTCGGCGAAGTTCTCCATGGGCTTGAACTGCTTGTCGATGATGCGAATGCAAGCCTCGTGTGTGCGGTTCACGACACCCTCGATGTCTTCGGCGCTCTTGCCCATGGCCTTGAGCTTCTTGTTGATGCGCTGGGCAGCTTCGACGGCAGTTTGCGAGTGGAACTCAGCTATGAGAGATTAGCATTTGAAACTGAGCACAACGAAATCAAGCCTTACCAGGGTAGGAAACCTTGAACAGAACGTTCTCCATGACGTAGCTGCCATACGGCCTCTGGAATTCAAACTTCTTTCCGCCAAAGTTGATGTCGTAGAAACCCCATGTGGGAGCAGAGAGGACAGTGGGGAGACCCTGCTCGCCCTTCATGACCTTCAGGACTAAGTTGACCGCCTTCTGGCAAGCATCACCAGCGGCCCACGACTTGCGGGACATGGTGTTGGGAGAGTGCCTGTAGGTGCGGAGAGACTGTCCGTCGACCCAGGCCTGGGAAATGGCATCCCGGGTCTGCGCCTCGCTGAGGCCCATCATCTTGGAGACAACGGCAGTGGAGGCTAGCTTGACGAGAACCACGTGGTCAAGACCGACCTTGTTGAACGAGTTCTCGAGAGCCATGCAACCCTGGATCTCGTGGGCGCGGATCATGGCCTCGAGCACGTCTCTGACCTTGAAGATCTTGCCGTTGCCGAGCTTGCCTCCAGCCTTGTTGGTACGAGTGATCCAGTCGGCCACAGCGAGGATGGCGCCCAGGTTGTCAGAAGGGTGACCCCACTCAGCGGCCAGCCAGCAGTCGTTGAAGTCGAGCCATCGGATCATGGCGCCTATGTTGAAGGCGCCATTGACAGGGTCGAGCTGATAGTTGGTGCCAATGACCTTGGTACCGTTGGGAACGACGGTGCCCTCGACAACGGGGCCCAAGATGTTTTTGCACTGCTGGAACTCGAGCGCCTTGAGACCGCAGCCCAGAGTGTCGACAAAGACCCAGCGGGCGGTGTCGTAGGCCAGCTCGGAATCAATGGGGGTGTTGTGGACGTAGCTGGCTACATCGGTGATTTCGGGGTCGAACTCGCGGTTCGAGGGGACAGGCGGGGCAGCACTTTTGAGGGCAGACATGGTGGAGAAGGAAGATGCAGCGGCGACACGGGCAGCAAATGGGGATGATGAAGCAACAGCAGCAGCCCGGGCAACAATCGGTCTCGTGGCAGCTCTGCAGGCTTGCGGGCTACGGAGGCTTCGTCTGGCGGCGCTGCACAGATTGCGACTGAAGGCCGACATTTCTAGAATTAGCTTCCGTCGCGCCGGGGTGGAGGACGTGGGGAAGAAGAGCTGGAGAGGCAACAAACGACGCAACGAGAAATGACAATGACGAGGAAATGTGTCGTACGTTTGTGGGTATCCCAATTGAATGGAGAGAGGGTAGAGAGGAGAGATAGAACCCTGGGGATGGAGAAGGAGAAGAAGACGGAGAAGAGGAACAAAAAGAGAGAAGAGTGCAAGTATCTCGGCTTTGGTGCAGCTGGGATGGAAGTGCGGGAGGGAGAGTCAAGGCCGTCTAGAGCCGAGGCCGTCGGATCTGCTCAACCGCGGGGAACTACCCCAGATCCTCTTCTCTTCTCTCCCATGTGCTTGTTGCTCATCCGCCACCAACTCTGTTCGATTCCAATTCCACAATAACATTGCTGGACGGCGTTGAATTGACTTGGACGCAGCATCGGTCGTGAGCGACAGTGGGCAGGCGAAGCCGCACAAATGCTGTGGTTGAGTGAACCGTCTGTTGGACCCCGCCAACACCCCCGGCTCCTAAAACACGTGACGTTCCGCCTATCAAGATCCGTGCATGCATCCAACATGCACAACGTTTGTGCATAGCAGCCAGGACAAGTTCGACTCCATCCTGACATTCGATCTTCACTGCAACAAAAAGTAAGGAACCGAAGAACCAGGCGATGGGGGGGATTCTCAAAGCTTGGTGTATATCGGCTGGTTGATCAATCGTGGATTTTTGTGAATATACAAGGGAGAAGGCTGTAGCCCTGTGCTCCGTATCTCTCCCTTTTGCCAACATGTAAACGCTAACATCGAATGCTGAGTCTCGTCGTCGTCGTCGTGGAATGGTGATGCTACCGGAACCCCCTTCAATCCCCCTTATCCCCGCGCACATGGCACATGGCCGCGGTTTTGAGATGCCACCTCGCAGTATTTCTGCCCACATCCCGTGCATATGGCAATCCCTCGCTCACTCAGTCAAACTATGTCCGTCAGCAATCATTTCATGACTATGTGTATCCCAACCGTGACTTACGGGAGTAAGGAAAGACTCGGCAACAAATCGGGCTCGCGCGTTAAGCTGCATCCTTGATTAGCTTGATGTTCGAGTCGAATTCAATCTGTGCAGGAGCTGCCATACGAAAAGCTTCATCTCGGAGATTTCCTTGTCCACCTCCTCCATAAACTGAATGATGAAATCCACCAGCTTGTGCTTCAACATCTCCTCGGTGTGGAAATTCGTGATCAAGAATGAAATGTCATAACCCTGCTCAGACATCAGTTACATCTAGCACCGTCCAAAACACACCGCCCGCATGCATGCATACCTTGACCGGTTTCCGCCGCAAGATGAAAAAGGCCTCCGCTCTCTGTGTCAGAAACCGCGTGAACTTGTGGACCAGAATGTTTTCTATCTCGTCGGCCTGCTTGATCTTTATGCTTATCCGCACACTGTTGATGCTGGGCTCGATCAAGACCTTCTCGTTCTCGTTCCTCGACACGGTAAGCGGGTTCAGCAGGACCTCGGGGGAGCTGGCGGCTTCAATCTCGGGCACATTGTGTCGTTCCGAGGCTTGCGACGCAAAGTTGGCGAGGGACAGGGCGGCCGTGAGCGACGAGCGCACGCATTGGAGGTAGGGGCGGAGGGATTGAGACTGTAGGCCGGCGTGAGCTATCTCTGCGGGACGTCATGAAGGCTGACCCGGCGAGGGTGGGATAGCTACCATTTTTCCTTTTCTGGTTTGTTTCTGGGGGGCTCTCCTGGTCCAGCGGGGTCTCAGGCAGCGCGCAGATAGCGAGAAGCTGTGGATGTTGTTGTTGTGTTGCTGCCGCTGTCAATATTCACGGAGGGATGAGGCGCTCGCTGCTACCTGTCCATGGTCCCGTCGTAGTCGCTGGTGGTGGGGGCTCTTGAGGCTGGAGCCACGGCAGGGGTGCAAGCCTAGCGCGGCTTGGCACCGCTCGCCGCTTCCTCATGTTTCTGTGATATGCCATGCCACCAGGCACGTCAACCTGTCTGTACCCAAGTCCACATTTGCCTGGCCTATTACAAATTCGCCATAATCCTCTCACCCTTCCTGTCTCTTCTCCACCCCCAAACTCCCCTTCCATTTCTTCATTGCTGCCTGATTTCAAATTCCATCACCACAATCAATCGCCATGGCGTCGATACCAGGTTCGTTGGTCCCCGCACTCTCCCATGCCTCATGTCTAATCGCCTCCGCTAACACCACCACTTTCCCCCAGTAATTGTGAAGCATCAAGGCAAGAAACACGAAATCGAGGTCGATCCGAGCTCCGATGGCGCCACCTTCAAATATCAGCTTTTTTCTCTCACTGGAGTCGAACCGGAACGTCAAAAGATCCTCGTCAAGGGCGGCCAGCTCAAGGATGACGCCGACATGTCCAAGCTGGGTCTCAAGCCCAACCAGACCCTCATGATGCTGGGCACCCCCTCCGGAGATAGCGCGAGCAGGATTGAGAGGCCAAAGGAGAAGATCAAGTTTCTAGAAGACATGACCGAGGCCGAGGTTGCGCAGTCGGAGGGCGCCACACCATCTGGACTGCAGAACCTGGGAAATACGTGCTACATGAACTCCACCCTCCAGGCATTACGTTCCATTCCTGAGCTTCAGGATGAGCTTCTCAAATACTCGGCAGGGTGAGTACTGTCTTCTCGACATGCTAAGCGTCACATCTCTAACGGCATACAGCAACGCTGGATCCAGTTCAGCAGATCAACTCAGCCAACTCGGTCTCGGTGGCCTCGGATCTTCTCTAGACCTCACATCTTCCCTGCGCGACCTCTTTAAGCAAATGTCCGAGACACAGCAAGGCTTCCCACCCCTCATGTTCCTCAACGCCCTTCGCACCGCCTTCCCCCAGTTCGCGCAAAAGGCAAAAGACGGCCAGGGCTATGCCCAGCAAGATGCGGAGGAAGCTTGGTCGCAGGTCGTATCACAGCTGAGGCAGAAGCTGAAAATCACCAACGGCGAGGGCTCGAGTTCGGGTGCGGAATCTGCCAAGGACCAATCGTTCATCGACAAGTACCTAGCGGGCAGATTTGAGTCGGTCATGGAGTGTGACGAGCCCGCAGCTAAAGAGGGCGGTGAAGAGCCGGTACGCAGCGAAGACGTTTTCCTCAAGCTCAACTGCCACATCAACGTCGAGACGAACCATTTGCGCGACGGTCTGGTTGCCGGTTTGAAGGAGCAGATCGAGAAGCGATCCGAAGCTTTGGGCCGGGACGCCGTCTACACTAAGACCTCACGCATCGCGCGTCTACCCAAGTATCTGACTGTACACTTTGTGCGATTCGATTGGCGGAGGGATACGAGCAAGAAGGCCAAGATCATGCGCAAGGTCACATTTCCGGAGGAACTGGACGCGGTCGAGTTTTGCACGGACGACTTGAAGAAGCTCCTGATCCCCGTTCGAGACAAGATTCGCGACATTCGTAAAGAAGAGGAGGATGTTGAGCGTGCTCGTAAGCGGCAGCGACGCATGCGGGCTGGCGAAGAGAACGATGCAGGACCCAACGTCACCAAGGAGCCTCTCCAGAAGAAGTCGGAGGCGAAAAAGGCCGCCGAAGCCAAAGCTGCGGCTGAAGACGTCGAGATGGCTGACGTCGAATACAAGACGGAGGCTCAGATCGAAGAGGAACGGGCAGCATCCATCCGTGCGGCCAAGGAGGAGCTCCTTGCTCTTGTGGATCAAAAGTTGGGCGCCGACGACGGAGCTAACCAGACTGGTCTGTACGAGTTGAGGGGTGTCATTACGCATCAAGGCGCCAGCGCAGACAGTGGGCACTACACGTCTTTCATTAAGAAGCAGGGCACCAAGGATCCTGTAACTGGAAAGAGAAAGGCCGAGGATGGCAAGTGGTGGTGGTTCAACGACGACAAGGTATCTGAAGTAGACGCCGAGAGGATTCAGACCCTATCTGGAGGAGGTATGTTCAGTTTTCCACCCGTGATGAAGCACAGCTAACATGTATGCTTAGGCCAGAGTCACTCTGCTCTTATCTGCTTGTACAAGGCTGTTCCCCTCAGCACCATCGAGGATGAGGACGCGGCGAAGCAAGCATAGGCGTGTCCTTGGCTCGTCTGCTACATCATCGCGTGATAGTGAAGTATCTATTTGGCGTTGCACAAGAGGCACTTTGCATAGCACAGGATAGAACTACACCGATTTTACGGCTAATGCATTCATGTAATACTACGAACACACGTTGATATGCTATCAAGATCCTCTCCCCCCTAATATAGTTCCCATGTGCATCCTAGACCGGTGTTGTGTTCGGTCGGGCGTAGGAGTCATGAGACTGTCCTGTCCGCGACCGCGTGCGCCAAGACTTGCTCCTTCCTCGAATTGTCCTTCCTGCTACACTCTTCCTACACCCGCCTCCTACAGTCTTCTTTGCCTCCATCTGTCTTTCTCGTAATCTATATGCATCTCCCTCTCCTTTCGTTCGCCTTGTATGATACTGCATCATGTTTTATAGCCACGAAAGTATGTCAACCACATTTCGAATCGCTGCGACACTGGCTAACAGTCTCAGTTCTAACGTCCCGCAAGTACGGCATTGCAACTGTCTGGTATGTTCACGTGGGTTGGATCATCTTCATCACATCGTCTAGCTGCTGACCAGAATAAGGCTCGTAGCGACCCTTGGAGCGAAGTCCAACTCCAAGAAAGTCAACCGGAAAGCCATCCAAGATGTAGACTTGCCAAAAGCATGCGAGACCATCAAAAACCCCGCGGCGCCCATGGCACTGCGTTTGCAGAGCAACTTGTTGTAAGTGCTCCGGCGACGCCTTCATGGACCGTATGGATCTAAAGCAATCTCGCTAGGTACGGTGTAATGCGCGTGTGGTCGCAGCAATCTGAATATGTCTTGTCCGATTTCGAATCTTTCCACAACGCCATGTATATGATGCTACGCTCAATGCACAATGATTCTCTCGATCCGAATGCGGGCAAAGCGAAGTGAGCATCCCACCCAGCACTCGATATAATGACCGCTGACTGATTCCATACAGACCCGAACAATTGATCCTTCAAGACGACCCTTCGTTTCTTCCCGAGTTTGCTGCTCCACCAGCAGAGCTGCTCGCTCAACTGAATATTGGTCTACCGATCGATCCTCCTTTTCACGTAGGAGATTCTCAGTCCCTGACCCCCTTCGGCTCACAGCAGGATCCATCCACGCCCGAACCTCCCATCGGCGGTCTGATTCTACCTCCCTCTTCCTCTAATGGTGCATTCGATGGTCCAGGTGTTGTCGGTTTCAGCAGTGTCGGGAGAGCAAGCGGCGGACTACCAGATAATGAAGGTTTCGATGATGCCATTTCCGACCCAGGCTTTACCTTTGACGAGGACGGGAATCTCATTGATCTCATCGACCCGGCCTCGCATGTAAATGTGGCCGCACAAGGTGATGTGAGAGAAGCCACGATGCAGAGCGATGGCAGGGCCAGTTCCCGAGTGAGACAAGAGCACGAGGAAGGATTGCATACCGGTGCAGAGGTAAGTTTTACTTGAGCACGACTCATTATTCTCACCTATCACTTCCCTCCCGTTCCTTCTTTGCTCTGCGGAATATATATTGCTCTCAATCGTCATCACCCTAACACTAACTTACTTCTCACAGCAACTCGACGACCAAATGGATCTGGACTTTCCCATCCTGGACGATGAACTTCCCGATGCGGAACCCTTTGCTTCAACGGCCCAGCAATCACTTCATCATCCGTCCGAAGCTATTGAATCCAGCCCAACCGTTGTCGCGACTGTTCGCCGCAAAAAGAGAACCGCACAAGTTCTGCCTGTGGATACCAACAACGAACTTCGCAGCAAAGATCTCATGGATTGGAACACCAATTACGTTGCCAACATGCAAGCTGCATCTCAAGCCAAGAATCAAAAGCTTCTTGCGAAGCAAGCGAAGAAGAACGCCGAGTACTGGGTTTGGGGTGCAGGCATCGGAGGCATCGGAGCACGGCTTCAAGGCACTGCTGGACCGACACCGTTTGACATGTTCATGGGAGATAAGTTATTCGAGCACTTTACCGGACTCAGCCGCCACGTGTCTAGAGGAACAAAACGCGATCGAGATAGTGGGATTGATGACGTGACGCAGGAGGAGTCGCGACGCGTGCGCAGGAAATCCGACGAATTCTCAGAGCACATGGGCCGAGCAGTTGAAGACGAAGCCATGTTCATTCCTGGAGGTGACGATGTAGAACTTCCGCGTGAAGCTTCTGCGGCTCTTGACGAGAACCAGCTCTCTTCGGCCATGCCATGGAACATATCGGCCTCGCTCCGCGGGTCTTCCGCCGTGCCACGCAGCGCACGTGCTCTGTTGACAGGTTCTATGGGCGCAACTTCTTCGCTGACCGCTGCACGTCGTGCAGCTCGGCTGGTCTCTGCCTCTCCACTTCATGGACGCGGTCAGAACAACGATATGCAAAACCTCATGCAGGGTTTCGATGAAGGTATTAACAGCTTTGATGATTATGCCGGATTTGAAGGTCCTGGCTTCAGCTCTGATATGCCGGTTGCTGCTACTGCCCCTGCAGATAGGGAAGAGGAAGAGGAAGAAGGCGGAGTTCGTGAGGTTCTGGGCGTCGAGGGCGAACACTTTATTGATTTCGTAGCCGATGCGATTGATGAGAAGCGCCGCGGCCGAGAGCAGGGTGCTGACAAGCAAATGCCCGGCGTTGAGAACTCTCACAGTGTGAATGACGACGACAGCGAAGAGGTACTGTTCGAAGAACTGATTCCCCCTCAACGGAACAACAAGGTCGTTGCCTCGCAGGCTCTAATGATGGCTTTGACGCTCGGTTCCAAGGGACTTCTCCACGTGCGCCAGGATGAAGAATACGAGGAGATTGGTCTATCGCTCACTGACAAGGCCAAAGCCCCACTGCTTGCGGTGCCTGTTCGCGCAGACGATATTCAAGCCCGTCAAGACCAAGTTCAAGACAACGATAACGTCGGTGGTGAAGACGAGGGCAGTGTAGCTGCAGATGATGCAAATGCGGCGGCCGAAGAAGAGAATGTGGACGGCGGACAATTTGAAGAGCAGTTCGAAGCTGGCCGGGGAGATAACCTTCAGGGAGTAACCGGAGATGACTAGGATTCTCTTTATGGCGATTGATGGGTCATGAATACCCTCTTCATACATTCTCAACTCATCGACTCGGAAGTATGACGACCTCCATTTTTTCCTTTCTTTCGGCATTGATGTGGGAATTATGTTTATGGCGTTCCATTCTCCTCCCTGTCTCTTTTTCTCATGTTCCTCCCCATCTGTGCCCTCGTTTCCTTGTTCTGCAATCTCCAACCTCCTCTTTCCGGTGGTAAAAGTTATATGGCGTTCTATCAGACGGCGGGATGGGATGATACCCCTGGTTTTTTTCTTTTTTTTTCTTTTACTACATCTGCCTGTTGCTGCGGGCTCATATCAGATTTCTTCTTTTTCCACCTTCCCTTTTCAGAATGTTTTGTAGGAATAGGATGAAGACCAATCTTCTTCATTGCGAGTACACATGTACATGCGTGTGCACATATACACATGTCAGTACCTAACTGTGCTCATGCGTGAGCAACACCATGGGCAAAGAACTGTTATTTCCTTTCCTGAGCTTTCCCCCCCCATCTTCTTCCCCTCGTCTGTAAGGAGGGAAAAGTGCATCCAGCGAAAGATATGCATTCAGGCATGCCATGGAACAACTGAATACATAAGAATTCAATCTGTAATGTATATCAATAAAATGCTTCACTCCGCCCTGCGTCGTGGCATCTTTGCAGCTAATGTCTTGATGAATTATATTTTCTGGGCGTTGCACGTCGACAACTAGCTACTACTCTTCCTCCTCCTCCTCCTCCTCCCCCTTACAGAAAAGAAAAACACGTACAGTTGTACATGTATATATGTATGTGTATACACATGCAGGGCAGGTAATTACAACACGTACGTACATACATACATATACAACTTAATAGTAAAAACTAAAACCCCTAATAGAGTAGAGTAAATAAACAGATTTAATAAAAGAAAAGTTAGAATAACTTACACACACTTTACACGTATATAGTTCTCTTCTTTATAACTACTTTCTTATTTTATATATATTTTTTTTTACTACTACTTTTTTTTTTTTACTTCCTTTGTTTTTTTATTAGGAGGGAAAGAGAGGGGGTGGTTTCTTAGGGAGGGCATCTATGTATTTACTTATATATCATGTATCTCCTTAGTTTCTACAAAGTGCTAGAGAAAATAATAGACAGATCTATATATATAAAAGAAGAAGAAAAGAAAAGGTAAAGAGGAATAGAATAACAAGACCTTTTCTCTTAAGTGTCTTTAAAGTATATACAGACGTTATACAGACGGATCTATAAAAAGAAAGCAGGGGGGAGGGGGGGGAAGGAATAGGATAGAATAACAGGATTGCGTACAAACTCACTACTATGCGCAGAGTTGTCAAGTATAATTTAGCATTAGCAATTAATAAACCAGTAGATTGTTCTTTTTATTTAGGATGAGAATTTGATATATTTTTGGTTTTTGTTTTTGATTCTGATCAAATATTATTATATATATATGTGTATGTATATATGCATATCCATGAATAACATGTCTGCTAATACGAATATAATGTTGCGAGAAAGCTCAAATCGACAATGCTAAAACGATGACAGCGATGATGATGATGATGCTGATGATAATGCCAATGCAAGTCTACTCAGCCTTCCTATGCAAGTAACTAGATAAAAGAAGGAAAACGAAGAAAGAAGAAAAAGCCTCTTCCCAAAGTTTGTTTGAGGTGGAGAGAAAGAGGGAGAGAGAGGGGGGGGCTGGGGCTGAACCGAAACGCCCAATAAAAGAACAGCCGGCCTTCTTTCCCCCCAATGCTCGTGGTATCATGAGTGTGGAATATATAAGACATAAGAAATAAGGAATGCGGAGACAGACATGAGAGGGGGAGAAGGAAAGAAAGAAAGAAAGAACAGATAGCCTCGCCCAAGCGTGCATGCATGCATGCATCCTCACAAAGGATGATGATGATGATGATGATGATGATGATGAAACAAGAAAAACGCCTCGGCCAGATGCAGATGTGCAAACATGCGACAATAAGGAAGAGTAAGACAAACACTCATGAAACCAAAAACCAAAAATGTTACAAGATGGGGGCAGGGCTAGAGGGACCAAGAAAGAAACGGAGATCAAACCGTGAAAAATAAAAAGGTTTTGAAACACACAGCCTCAGTAGGAAGAGGCACAGCTGAAACAGCAAACGAACAAGAAAGAGAAAAACAACGCCGGAAGCCGATAATAATGGTTGGCCTGATGGTAGGATGGGCCAGGAAGGATTGCATGGGATTTTCCGCCCCCGGCCCCACCGAGAAAAGAGAGAAGACACCGATACAGGGAACAAGGGCAAACTCCGGGTCCAAAGTTGGCGATGCTTTCCAAAACGCATCTCCGAATAAATAAAGAAGCGAAGTGAAGAATAAAAAAAAAAGATGGCCCGCTGTGAAACGCCGCAGATGATTCCGAAACAAAACGATGGGGTGAGATTCGGATCTAGGGATTGGGAGAGTAGTCATCATATCATCAGCGTCAGCAGCTGTCGTGCTCGCTACCGGACGTGGACGCAGTAGCCTCGCTAGCAGAGGAACCAGGCGAAGCAATATTCCTGTGAGATGACGACGACGGCGGGAGAGGGCCTAGAGTCCATCGCCAGTCGCGCCGCCTCTTTCGGCGCCCCGCTACGGGGGTCTCGGGGCACGAGTCATCGCTGTCTGACTCGGAGGAATCGCGCTTGTCGCCTGCACGGGCGGCGGGTGCGCCTCGTGGGCGCGGGGAGTTTTCGAGTGACAGGAAGCGGGGATTCGGCGTAGCCGTTGTAGATGATGCTGATGATGCTGATGACGGAGAAGAAGAGGATGCGGCGTCTTGGGGCGCAGGAGTGATTTCGATCGAGGCTGAGACTTCTGATGTGGCGTCTTGGTCGTCATCTTCGGATATGGACGAGGAAGAAGTGGTGGAGAGGGAGAGCGACGAGATGGTGGAGGATGAGGATTCGAGGTCCGAGTGGGCCAATGTGTATTTGATGGTGGTGATCTCCTCGTCGAGCGGGGTGCGGAACGAGACCTTCTTCTCGGCGGGGAAAAACGGGCGTACGGCGGCCATGTTGCGCGGCGCTCGGGTGGCGGGGGCCTGGCTGTTGCGAAGGATGGAGGTGAGGTTGTGGGGTTGCTTGTAGGGGAAAGGAGTCGTGGCGGAGTCGTTGGAGGCCGAGTCCAAGGAGGAGGCGGGAGTCGAGGCGGAGCTCGGGGTGCAAGTGGATGCGCTGCTGGCTTGGGAGACGGTGGAGTCGCAGGTGGTGTGCAGCGAGAGGCGCGGGCGGTGCTGGGGCGGCTCGTAGGCGTTGGAGAAGGTGTTGCGGACGGTGGGCGAGACAGCGCTGAGGGTGTCGAGGCGGAGACTGGTCGAGTTCTTGCCAAAGCAGCGGGGCGGCTGGGTGTCGAGGCGTAATTTGGGGCGACTTGCCGAGGGAAGAGCGGGCGACTTGGAAGACGATCGCTGCGAGGAGGCAGAGGAGGATAATATGGGGAGAGTGGCCATGTTCAGGTTCATGGCCATGGTCATGTTGGCGGTGGTGGTGGGGGGGTCGCGTGGGAGGGAGCGTGAGGAGGGAGGCGACAGGACCAGCATCATGGGACTCGGGGAGGTGAGGTCAAGTGGTGGGAGAGAGGTTATGTATGTACGTGTGTGCGTGTGTAGGTGGATGGACGGGGGTGGCAGTCAGCAGGCTCGTATTCTGGCTGATGATGGCGTCCCGGTGATGATAGCGAGTAGATATAGTTTGGGGAATAAGAAAATCGAGTACGAGGAGCTAAGCAAGTAAGAGAGGTGTATGTACTTGCATATATGCAAGTAGGGAACCAAGTAAGAATAACCGCCACGCATGCACGGATTGATTCAAACGCACAGATGATGAGGGTTTCCCCGTTGCCAGTCAGTCAGTCAGTCAGTCAGGCAGTCTGATTGAACATGTTACTGCGGTCCACTTGTTTGGCAGCAGGGAGGGATCAATGCACGGATTCATGTCGTACCCATTCTTGGTTCGGATTCGATGGTTAGTGGGAGTTAGTCAGGCAGTCTGTCTCGCCGTAGACAATTGGAATAGAGCAAGTGTAGAGGAAGTGAAGAGAGGGGAGGATGGATTAGGCGCCGCCAATCGAGTCCAAAATAGATTTTCCCTTTGCTTCCATGGGTCGTTGCTCCTATTCTTGGAGACATGGGTGGGGCCACGCGCTAGCCCGCTTTAGGCAGCGATGACCCTAGTGACACCTGCTCCACCCTCCCTCTCAACCTCACTGACCATCCCATCCCCCCCATCACCACCACCACCACCACCACCTTCATTTACACGACGTATTGCCAATACCAAGATTGAATGAATATATACATCACTCGGTGCACTTGCTCATCATTTCTGGCCTCTGGCTCCCCCTTCTCTCCTATGCCCTCGCCCTCGACAGAATCGTTTCACACTTCGCCGCCCGCCAAGCACCACTCCGTTGAAACGCCAACAAAACTCCATCATCATCACCCACTTTAAAAATAATCCCTCCTACCGACCGACTGTCTACGTACCCCCATCCACTCATCCATTCAATCATTCATTCATTCATTGATGCTGCTCATTTCGGCCGAGGCTTCCCGTACCGCATCTGCCCTGCACCGCCCTGTCCGAGTAATCCTCACTCCATTTCCTCGTCCTTACTCATCACCCATCCGGTCCCTCGCCCGCCAGTCCATTCGTAATCCTAACCCAAACACTCCGCGGTAGCCCATCTCATCTCATCTCATTTCTATTCTGTTCCCCGGTTGCGGCTACATGCATTTCATGCCCTCTCTCCTGTGCACTGCACTGCACTACCTCCATCTACGCATGTATGCATGCATGCATGTATTGTTACTAAACACCGCTACCTCTGTTCCCCCCCCCAGTCGTTGTCTCGTACATGCAAGTACTGCAGCACGATGATGATGCCTTTTACGCGACACGGCTTTCCAAGCTGAAACCTCATCCCTGCGCCCTCTCTCCCGCTGCCAGGCCAGGTGGCTTGTCCCATCCATCCATCCATCCATCCATCAGAAACATCCTCATCCCACAATCCGATCGATCGTCGTTTGCCATTTCGCATCCATCTGTTTTATTTCCATCTCTCTGTCTCGTGTTTTTTTTTCGCCACCTTTCTTTTTTTTGGGGGGGCCGCGTGCTACGTACACCTGCATGCATGACCTTGCTACGCTACGAAAGCGTAGATATGTAACGCCAGTAGACCACTCCCATGTTACCGTATATTCTTCTTCTACACGCAAACAAAACTACCATTTGAACAAAATGCGCCCATGCGTGTGTGTCTGTGTCTGTGTGTGTGTGTGGGTGTGGGTGTGCGGAGTCAAATCTTCAAAGTGGAGAACACAGAACGGTCCCAGAGAACCCACGAGTGAGTGAGTGCCATGTGGAGACAAACCAAGTCCCCATTAACAATTAAACCCCCCCCCCCCCCACATAGGCACGTTTTTTTTTTACCCCATTATCCTATTCGGGTAATTTCTCTCTCTCTGTGTGTGTAGGACATTGTGTTCGTATTCATGGCTCGTCTTTTCTCCCGCGTTTTTTTTTTGGCTGACGTACTCTTTTTTTTTCTTTCTTGGGTATTAAACTAGACTAAAACTAAACTAAACTAATAGGTTTATTCTATTATGCGTGCGTGGTATTACCAGGGTTCCTTTCTAGGGGGGGTCTTATGTATGCGCTGCGCTGCTAGCTAGCCTACATATATGTGTGCACAATGTTTCGTCCTAGTAGGAGGGGGAATAACGTCTTGCTCTTTTGTTGTTTTGTTAGAGAGATGATTTAGGGGGGATGAGGTTAGGTAGTTAGGTATTAGTTTTATAGTAGACGTGTTTGTTTGGAATCCCAAACTCTCATCACCACTATTATTATAATTTAAAATGTTATTATTGACCGTCACAATCATTGCGTGTTTCGAACCCGTTGCTGTTACTGCTGTTAACTTTTAGAGATAAAGCTGAGGACAACGTTTTGTTTTTTTTTATCTGTAATTCTTCTTCTCCTTCTTTTGGTGGCCAAGAGGGCGGGGGAGATTCAACGCATAAACATTACATATGTTATGTATACGCATGCATGCACGCAGGGTAAGAACCATCCAGAAACATTTGACCAATATCCTTAAACCCTCATCAAAAATCAAATAATACAACTAGCTTGAGAATCAATACTGCTCTCCACTCTACCTCCAACCTAAAATAAAAAAAGCAACAAACATTTATCCTGGATATGCAAAAAATAGATCACAGTGATTGTTCTTTTCTACGTTTTACCCGTTTCATGTCAACCGAGTGGCGAAACGGGCAGGCGTACGTACTTGAACTACTATGTTTTGTCTGCTTGTTCTCCACTTTGTGACTGGTGTGATGGGGCCGGGGGGGAAGCAAGGAGGATCAATCGATAAAGAAAGAGAGCATATCCACACCGACTAATACCATTTCGGGCGGGAATGGGAATGCGAATGGGGGTTTGAGAATCGCGTTGCAATAGTTTGACGTGAGCCGATGAAAGAAGGATGGGGCGAATGAAGTTGGGAACGACTGACCAACTGACTTGACAGCTAAGTCGTCGTTGCGAGGACTGGAGGGAACTTAGCTCGGCCATTTATTCCTTGATACTCCTATCCCCCCTCCCCCCCTCTCTCTCTTCTTTCTTGTTACCCCTTCTTCCTTTCCTGCAATTGTTTCGTTTCCCCACTAGTTTCTCTTGCAGCGCCACTATGTCCCCCCCCCCCCCCCCCCCCCCCCCCCCCCCCCCCTGCCCTACTTTCTGTCAACCTCATGAAACCACTTACCCCATGAATTCATTCATTCTTTTCCATGAAATCTCCCCCCGTCGCGCATATGTACGAGTGAGAAGGTGTCGCGAAACAAAGCCGTTTCGACACTGTGGCTGGTGGGGTTTCAAACCAGAACTGAGGCGTGGGGAGGATACATGCATGCGCAGGGGCGAAAAAGAAGGAGAAAGAAAGTAGAGGTATCCCTACTATATAATCAATCTTTTGTACCAACCTGTTTTGACTCGTTGTGGGGTTGTTTCTGGATTTGTTGGTCGGGCTGGCTGTTTGGTATTTGGGATTGTTCAAACACGCTGGCTATATATATATATATGTGTGTGTGTGTGTGTGTGTGTGTATGCATTGCGTGCATGTATGATCTTGGTCATGGGTATGATGTGTAATATATCCCTTCCTGTCCTTATTTTTTTCTGCGCGTATGAGTGAGTGGATGGGTGTGTGTGAGAGAGAGAAACGCTGATATTGATAGATGTTTCGACATGCACATGATGTATATGCATTGAGTGTCAAGGGAAAAAATAGACAGGCAGGCAGGCAGGCAGGCAGGCAGACGGCTCTAACGACATGCCATGAGATGAAACTCTGGGCCGAAAGAATTCGAACAAACAAGAAAAAGAAGGGACGAAGAATATGAGAGAAGGATTGGGTTAAGAGGGGGAGGGGAAGGGGAGAGGGGTTCATTCATTCCCATACCCACACTTCCTCAACTCCTGCGTGGCTGAACGCAACGCAACTAGCAAATTCCACCTCAGCAAATCAATCAAACAGCCCGGTACAACGGCAGAAGAAGAGAAAAAAAAAGCGATGATAACCGTCGTTCAAAGGAGCAGAAGAAGCAACGGACCATGCCAAAATCCCGCCTCCGTCGGAGGTCTATTCCAATAACACCAAAAAAGAAAATAGATAAAAGTAAATCAACTACCGCGTATGCAGCGTCAATCACGGCGTCTCCATTGGTTTCCGCTTGCCGCGTCACTCTTGTGTGGCTGTGATAGGGTAGGTAGACGTATGCCTGGCCTACCTACCTAGGTATCTACCAACCAATACCTTGCCTCACGGCTTGCTGTGTCCGGCGATTCGGACCTACCGCGGTCGGATTTGGGGGCGGGATATATTGTAGTCTCGTCAGATCAGGGTGTTGCGTTGGGGGTGATCCTGGCTTGGGAGATGGCCGAGGGGTGCGGAAGGGAGGTGGTTCGCTAGAGTGATGATGGAGAGGAAAAGGTTGGATATAGTTGAGGGGAAGGTGAGTAATGTATTGGTGCGGGATTATGAGGTCGGAGTGCGTATATGAATATGTGTCTTTTCAAGTATCCTATAGATTCTGTGTTTTTGGTCATTGGAGACATGGAACAATTGAAGACAGAAAAGGGATTTCTGGATTGATAGCTTGAATGTTGGCGTGGTATGGGAAGTATGACAACGCGTGGAGAATGCATGCGGACTAGAGGATATCAGGTTGTATGATGTTGCGTCTTGATTATAGTGGCCCTAGTATATGCAAGTATTCGAGAGATATAGTGGTACCTGCTCCTTTCGAAGCGTACATGATGATATCGCGCATCGATGTAGCTGCAGCCAGTAGAGATGTCTCCCCAGCTACGAGATGAATGTCCTCCTAGTACACGCAGGTTTTGACAGTCCAACATCGCTTATAGCACGGTGGCGATGAACTTCCCTGATTCCCACTGCAACAGCCAGAACCACCGGGGTATGCTGTCCCAAAGAGGCGTTGATTTATGGATTGAGCGATCCAATATAGCGAGGTGAGGTTGAGATTGGCATTTGGACCTCGGCATCGCTGGCCAAGCGGGCGCCGCGGATCGCAGGGCATGTGAAGGCACAACTACAACTTGGCCCCGACATCGTCACACGACGAGCTTCCACCGCAACAGCACGAGCTTCTTTTCTTTTTCCCTTATTGTTACTCGCCAAATATCCTTCTTCTGCTGCCTCAATTGCAGCCATCCAGCACCGAATGCCCGGCTCATCCAGGCTGCCCGTCAGCCTCCGCGACACGTTCAATGCCCGCGCGGGCTCTGTAAAGAGCGGCCAGCTCGCCGCCCTCAACGTCGACCTGGTGCGCAACATCATCTTCATCCTGTTTGTGCTGCGCTGGACCCGCAAGCTCTTCTACCAGCTCAAAGGCCGCGGCCTCATCGGCTCGTCTGTCGACATCTACACCTACGTCCGCCGCACGCTATACGGCCTCTTCCTCCGCGCCCCAGGTGTGCGCACCAAAGTCCAAACCCAGGTCGCCGAATCCATCCTCAAGCTCGAACGCAAACTCGTCCCCTCTGGCCCGGGAATCACACGCATCACCTCCCTCCCCGCCCAAGGATGGACCGAAGACGAAGTCCGCGCCAAACTCGATGAATTGGCCCAGATGGAACACACGCGCTGGGAAGACGGCCGGGTCAGCGGGGCAGTCTACCACGGCGGCGACGACCTGATGCGCCTCCAGACCGAAGCCTTTGGCAAATTCACCGTCTCCAACCCTATCCACCCAGACGTCTTCCCAGGCGTGCGCAAAATGGAAGCCGAAGTCGTCGCCATGGTCCTGTCCCTCTTCAACGCTCCCGAGTCGGCCGTGGGCGTCACCACCAGTGGCGGTACCGAGTCCATCCTCATGGCCGTCCTCTCTGCCCGCAATAAAGCCTATGCCGAGCGCGGCGTCACCTCCCCCGAGATGATCCTCCCGGAAACCGCGCACACGGCTTTCCGCAAAGCAGGCGAATACTTCAAAATCAAGATACACCTCGTAGCATGCAACGCCCCCTCGTACAAGCCCGCAACATCCTCCATCTCCCGCCTCATCAACCCAAACACAATCCTTCTAGTCGGCTCCGCGCCCAACTTCCCCCACGGAATCATCGACGACATCACCTCGCTTTCCCGCCTCGCACACAAGAAGAAATTGCCCCTCCACGTAGACTGCTGTCTCGGCTCCTTCATCATGCCCATGCTCTCCGCCGCAGGCTTCGACTCTGAACCCTTCGACTTTGCCCTAAAAGGCGTGACTTCCATCTCCGTCGACACCCACAAATACGGCTTTGCCCCCAAGGGCAACTCAACCGTGCTCTACCGCTCCGACGAATACCGCAAATACCAATACTTCATTGCGCCCGACTGGCCGGGAGGCGTCTACGCGTCCCCTTCAATCGCCGGATCCCGTCCCGGCGCGCTGATCGCCGGATGCTGGGCTTCTTTGGTAAAACAAGGAACAAACGGCTACATCGATGCGGCGCACAAAATCGTCGGTGGCATGAAGAAGATCGAGGCTGCGATCCGCACGCACCCCTCTCTATCCTCTGACCTCAAGGTCGTGGGTAAACCTTTGGTTTCAGTCATTGCGTTCCTCTCGCCTACACTGGACATCTACGACATCGCCGATGCTATGAATGACAAAGGGTGGCATCTCAATGCTCTCCAGTCCCCGCCCGCCATACACATTGCCGTTACTCTCCCCATCGTTGCCGTCGTCGACAAGCTTGTTGAAGATATGGTCGAGGTCGTCGAGGACGTCAAGGAGAAGGAGCGAGCGAGGATTGCGCAGGGAGGTAGTGGGAAGGGGGCTGCCAAGGGGGATACTGCGGCGCTTTATGGCGTTGCGGGGAGTTTGCCGAATAAGAGTGTTGTTGTGGACTTGGCCAAGGGCTTTTTGGATACCTTATATAAAGTTTAGAACATGACGGGGGGGTTGCTGCTTGCGGTTTGGAGAAATTGGGAATCGTGTGCGAAACTGAAACTCTGATTATGTTTCCAAGGCGACGGAGTTTATTATTTTGGGTTTGTAGCAATGGCGAAGGCGTTTTCTTGTCTTCTCTGTCTGAACTCTCTATCCTTTCTTCTACGTTTTGAGATGGAAGAAGAAATCATACGTCCATATCACAATCATTCATTCAACCGATCAATCGCCCTATACTCTCTTTGCTTGTTCCACCCGCTTACTGCTTATACTTTCAACGTTGTAGTACTTATATTAGCATAAGCATTGATCCTGAGTAAACCGACAATGAAATGAGACGGAAACACGCCAAATTCCATATAACTGCCTACAATCTGCGTCCCCAACCTTCCACCTACGCTGACCACTAAATACAAGAGAATCCGCCTTGCCAATTCCCATGTCGAAGGTGACCTGTCCTACCACATTTTATATCCTTGAAAAAAAATGTCAACTGAAGCCAACGTAAAAAAATTACCACAACCACGAAGCTTCCCAGTGCTTCGGTGAGGGAACCCAGAACCCCATATTTCAATGGCAATATCTTGCTCTGCCGTGTTCAGCAACTATATAGCTGGAAGGAAGACAAAACTTCCCTTTACAGACAATAGAATTCGCGGAGATGATTCGCGGGGTCTTCGGAACGAACAGAGGAATCGAAAAGCCCGCAGCCGTTGATTTCGGCCATCTCGCCTACCGCGTACGATTTCGAACGTCTCTGCCCCTCGTTGATGACACCGTCGTTAAAGTCGCCTTTGCAGCTTTGGATACCCGCGACGCGGGGCGGACAGCCGTCGTTTTAGCACTGGACATGTTTTTGCCTGTAGGAATTACCGTAGTTGCTGAAGGAGTGTATTTAGCGATACGAGGCTATGGCCGTGGTGTTGATGAAGCCAGACAAAAAAAAAAGAAGAAAATAAAGAAAACTTTATATAGCCTCCCAGTGGCCTGATAATGCGTCGGCTTGATATTTTACATGATTAGTTTTGATAGTAGAGTTTTGGTGGTTAAGATGTATTTTGTATGTCCGTATTATTATTCTGTATTATCCAATTTTGCCGGATTTTTTGTTTCCATATCCATATCCATATCCCAACAATCCTCCCACCCATTACCCATTACCCACTGCCCCACCTCACACTTTCTCTTCGACACAAACACAAACGCACAAAACCATATCCTTATTAACCCTCCATCCCACAACTGTCTACAAAAGCGCAACCCCAGCGAAGACAGCGATAACCACTGCGCAAACACTACCCATCATCTGTGCAGTCGCAGCGGCACCAGTGAACTGATCCTCGGGGTTATAAGGCGCCGAAAGATTCGAGAACGTGTTGTTTCCCGTGGCAATGGGGGCTTGGGGCTGTCCGTCACCGATCTGAGATACGATGGGGCCGGTGGGGGAGGGGGAGAGAGTCGTTGGGGCGGGAGCGGGGACGCCTGTGTCGACAGGAGCTTGGGGCTGGCCTGTATGTAGGTGGTTAGATAATGATTATGCAGGGGGGAAGTGGAGAGGAGAGAATACCATCGTTGATTTGGGAGACGAGTGGGCCTGAGGGGGCAGGGGCAACGGGGGCAGGGACCTCGGGAGCAGCTGGGGCTGTTGGAGCGGGGGCACCGGCATCGGTGGGCGCTTGAGGCTGGCCTGTTTCTATGCTTTAGCTAGAGTTGAGAATATCAGGGAGTGTGATAAGAGAACATACCATCGTTTATCTGAGAGACAATTGGGCCCTCGGGAACAGGAACTGGAGCAGGAGCACCAGTAGGAGCTTGAGGCTGTCCATCATTGATTTGGGAGACGATTGGGCCTTCGGGAGCAGGAGCAGGGGCGGGAGCTTCAGGAGCTGGAGCTGGCGCTTCGGGTGCAGCTGGGCCAGTTGGCGCGGGAGCAGGGGCGGGAGCAGGAGCGCCAGTGGGAGCTTGAGGCTGTCCATCATTGATTTGGGAGACGATTGGGCCTTCGGGAGCAGGAGCAGGGGCGGGAGCTTCAGGAGCTGGAGCTGGCGCTTCGGGTGCAGCTGGGCCAGTTGGCGCGGGAGCAGGGGCGGGAGCAGGAGCGCCAGTGGGAGCTTGAGGCTGTCCATCATTGATTTGGGAGACGATTGGGCCTTCGGGAGCTGGAGCAGGCGCTGGCGCTTCAGGTGCAGCTGGGCCAGTTGGGGCGGGAGCTGGGGCGCCAGTGGGAGCTTGAGGTTGTCCATCATTGATTTGAGAGACGACTGGACCTTCAGGAGCGGGAGCGGGAGCTGGAGCGCCGGTGGGGGCTTGAGGTTGTCCATCGTTAATCTGGGAGACGACTGGGCCTTCAGGTGCGGGTGCGGGAGCTTCAGTCGGAGCAGGAGCAGGAGCGGGCGCAGGAGCACCAGTCGGGGCTTGAGGCTGTCCATCATTTATCTGAGAAATAACTGGACCTTCGGGCGCGGGCGCAGGAGCATCAGTTGGTGCTTGAGGCTGGCCGTCATTGATCTGAGAGACGACTGGGCTTTCGGGTGCAGGAGTATCAGTGGAGCCTTGGGGCTGCCCGTCGCTGATTTGAGTAACGGGGGCGCCGGTGGCGGTAGCTGTTGGAGCATCGGGCTGTCCATCAGGTTGCTGGTTCTCAAGTTAGAAAATGTAGATTGATGGGATGTTGACAATCAACGTACCTGTGAAACGGGAGCTTCGCTACCACCAACAGCAGACATGTAGATTGGGTTGCATTGCTCGCCCTGGGACTCATCGTACAAGTTGTAGAAGGATCCCGACAAGCACTGATACCAGATGGCAGATCCCTGGTGGGTAAGAGTACCGTTCTCGCAAACACCGAAGCCATCTTGGTAGAGGGAGCCGTCTTGGATGGGGCTGTCGAACTGGAATTGGTGGTTCGCAACGACGTTACCCGTGCGACCAGCTTGATCCTTCAATACACCATCCTGGAGGCTGACGGTAAGGGTGCCGTCGAGCTGACGAGCCGAAAGACTGCGCTTTGCTTGCGAAGAGGTGACGTTGGTGATTTGGATGTTGAAGGTTCCATCACGTGATTCTGAGCAAGACTGCGCAACAGCAGTGCCCGCAAGAGCAAGAGCGGCGACGGTTTTCATATTGGCAGTTGGTCGTCGTCGGTTGTAATAATATTATAACAGATAGCGAAAGACAATGAGCCTGATAAGAGCGATTTCAGTTAGTGACTTATTGAATATGTCAACTGAATCAATACAGGTAACCACGACAACGAAAGTGAAGAGATGATCCTAAAAACACAAGACAAGATGAGACTGTTAAATACCTCGTAGACACTGTGACTTCATACCGGAGCTATGACATGTCGATCCTAGTGGAGCATGGAGTACAAAGCGATTACATGGGTGATAATAGATGTATCACGGGTCCGCTGAACAAATAAGCCAACTGCATCCGAGCTCCACATTCCTAGGTACCGACAAACGTGGACTGTCTTGGCCTGTTTATCGATAATCGATATTGTAGTCCTAGGCGGAAGACCCGAAAGGTGTATGATCGGTAGAAAGGGACACTAACATCAGAGCAAGATGAAGCTAGCGACGAATGGCGGGGGGAAACGATGAATGGTCGTTGACCGGCCCAATCAAACCGCTCACACTCTGAAGAATTGAGCTATGCTTGACTAACTCATCCGTTCGAGCCTCGAGGCATTTTGCCGTTCACGCCTGTTCGAACCGATTTGTGCTGACGCGTGCTCATTCGTCTCCTGGCCTGGACATATCTGCTCCGGGATGATGTGCTGGTAGTGTCATGGCCTTGCAGGAGTTGGAACCATGGGAAATTCACGATATTGTATGTTATGACCTGAAAGTTTGCATATTCAGGGCCGATTGATAGCTGTCAGAAAATTCTATGCATGACAGGGCACAGGTACCGTGGGTGATGTAAGGGTCGCTCCGACTTCGCAAAGTGACATGCGTGAACTTTCGCCGAGGGCGCTTGTCAATATGCAAATATGCATGACGGTGTCAAAGTATTATGGCCCGTAGTGCGGCTTATTGGTTATGAAGAAGAAGAGAATCGAAGCTCAACCGCGCTGATTGGTGGTAGTTGACGGATGAAGGCGGTTATGCGGAGGTGCGCATCACGATGAACATTCGGCTTAGCGACAGCTCATCGCTCAATGTGGGGTGCATACTTCTCTGCGCAGTAAGAATCATGAGCTCAGTCAAGTATTGAACGGGAACACTCTCCAAGGACCAAAATCTTTCATGTTCATCAAAAGAAATCCACAATGCCTCATCAGCTCCTGCCACCTCTCGTTGGCGATTGGTAGTGGAGTTGGCTTCAAGAGTACATTGGGGGTCACTGATCGACGGATTGAAGTCAACAGAAAAGCTTTCAGGGCGGCTTACTCAATGGTTTTCCTTCTCTTATTGGCTGTTGGCGATCCCAATAACATTTGACAGGCGGCAAAGCGGAGAAAGAAGACGCGGCTGGGGAATAATTGTGGCGCAACGACGTAAGCTTGTCGAGCTTGTTCCGACTACAATGACGTCCTTCTTGCTCGTTAACTTCGATAGTGCGATCATGGGACTTTTTCTGTGTTTCTAATGGACTATTAGGATAGCTTGATTGTGCATTTCCCGTTTCTTTTTCAAATCGTTTCGCGTTATTGAATATGGGAATTCCGAGGCGAGACCGGGTAATATTGGAGTCTCATAACTGTTGGGTACATGTAGTACACAACATTTTAATGTACCATTCCTCGGGCACAATGGTGTTAACAAACATAACCCGCCCCTTTACACACACGCTTAGAAGCAACACTGTCACTTGAAATATTGATCTCTAGCTGCCTGTGCAAACACAATTTGTATCATTTATAAAATGGTAGTCACGTGACCTCGAAGCAGACCCAGTACCCAATGAGGATGAGACAGGCGGAAGGACACTCACCTTCATTCCTCTCGGCCTTACAAGAGATGTCCAGTACTAACAATCGTAATTTTTTATAAGGATAATCTTGTCTCCGAAGTTTTCGACATAAATGGGCCTGTTCATTGACCGCTTCCTTCATACTTGCACAAACACTCTCACGATATCTGTTTGCTACGCCGGATTTTTCTATTCAATCTACGAAGAATTTTGAGTGATCCATACGATCGCGATGGTGATAGTGGACGTAATGGATAGTGAAGCATCATTTAGTTTATTCATAATAGGTATATTCATCAAAACCATAAAAGCACCCCATCTCAACTTGAAACTCTCGAAGACATCCAAAAACAAAACAAAGCTACAAACAAGCTCTACTTCGACAAGAGAAACTACAGGACACCCGCTTCATTCCCACCAATCTCACGTAACATCTCTATTTCCCCTCTCCGGCCCTCTTAACCCCACCAGCGATCCGGTTCGCGCCATCCTCCACGCTGCTCGTTGCATCCGAGATGCCCCTAGCTACAGGCCGTCCAGCGCTACCCGTAGCACCCTCAAGCGTCTCTCCAACACCTCGACCCAAAGCACCGACAACTCCGCCCACTGTCGTGTGCTTGAGTTAGTGGGGCCTGCAACGAGAATGTGTTTTGGACTGCAAGGCATCGGACATACCTGTGTTGGTTACGCCTCCGACCGTGTTTCCCACGGTTGACGTGACGAATTTGACGCCAGAGGTCACGCCTGATTCTTGCTGTCCAACAGGCATTTTCGCTTCTTCGGGGTCTTGGAATGAAGGGTCGTGGGTTCAGAGCTTAAGACTAAGATGCCTTATACGCCGTTTACGGGGAAATCAGGCAATTATTTTGGTTGAGGGGTGGATATTTTCTTCTAGATGGTAGAGTGTCTGTAGTTCCTTTTAGCTGACCAGAGTTGAGAATGGAAAATGGTTCAGGTAATTGTGGGGAAATAAATAGTATGATGGATGGACGGAGCGGGCTTTTTGTTATGCAGCGCTTGCTTGGATGGAGGAGATGATGTCATAGGCATGTGGCCGCGTACATCACGTCTTACACCACCCGGAGGCGCAGCCACAGACCGAGCGCAACCCTTCATTCGCTCGACTGTTTTCGATTTGTTTTTGCTTCTTGTAAAGGCGCCACTGCCTTGCTTTTGGTGTGTTTCAGATCGCGTGGTCGATCTTGCAATCTGGCTTGCCACGGGGCTGACTGTCGATCTAGACTCCAGCTGTTGCAGTCAACCAGCCCATCACTGGGATCACGAGCGCCTCAATTACTTGGGTATACTATAGGACCAGCATTGAAGTTTTTCCATGTATGATGCTGTTTCGTGACGTTGGTGTTGAAAAGGAGCAAGTAGCTTATTCGTATGACGTTGCTCATGCTGCTTATCCGTTCTCCTGAAGCTGTACTTGTCTTGGTGGCAAGAATTTATGCACTTGATAAGTACATATGTATGGATCCCTGGCGATACATGGTTATTCTACTCTGTAACCGAATTAGCAGAGGTGCTTGTTTATAGAGATAATTTCTAAGGGGACATTGAGTTCAAAGAATACACAAGTTCAGATGACGTCAAAAATATCTGGGAAATCGAAAGGTAGATGGTTCACCCTAGGAATATTGTGTCCCGCATACATATTACTCGTCGATGTCGACGGACATCTCCTGGCTGCCATGACTTTCGGTGGGTTTTCCCGACGCTGCGCAACCTTCAATACAGCCTCACAATCATTCACTTGTTGTACGAGGACTTGATGTATCTGCCACGCAGCATGATGATTCCTGTCAGGTGTGGTAAGCATATATCAGACATTGATATACGCAATAGCTAGCTAGATCCACCCCTCATTCATTGGCTTCGCAGGTGAAAATCCAATAATCGATAATAGAAGATACCATGGGACAACCAAAGGACGCTCTGTGCTTCTCATACAGCAAATCCCTTATGATGGAAATATTGCCATGCAACCTAGAACAAACCAAGTTGCCGATCCAGCCCTAAATTCTTTCCACTTCACTGTAAGACCAAAAAACCGTACTCAGTCCCCTCCCTGGCCAAGCTCTTTTTTCCACTCTTCAATAAAGCTCCTCGTCATCTCCGCCATTTCCACCGTCCAAGAACTTCCTGGGTCCTCCATGACCCTTCGTTCAAACCCTTTATTAGCCCACACACTCGCCATTTCCCAATCCTGCACTCGAGCATGGCTAACAGCGACCGCTCGATACGCTTTAGCGTAGTAATCTGCCAACTGCTCCCGCTCGAGGAGAGATAGTAGATGCATACTTTGATTCGCAGCGAGCCTAGCTTCCTTCATCTGAGAGGAGGATGTAGAAAAAGCTACAGTTAAATTACTCTGCACCGAATCTTCCAGCATTTTGAACGCGCTCGCAATTTCCATGCGCCGATCATCAGATTCCTTTAACTTCTTCCCCGCCAACGAACACGCTTCGCATGTGCATTCAAACCCATACCGCGCAAGCCGCTTCCGGCGTTCCGCGCGCGGCAGTAGTAAAGAAATATACGAATCCGAGATCTCTTCGCCTGCCTCGATGGCGCGACTTGCGTATACAATGCGCTGCCCGCTCCGTGCGTTCCACGTATAGGCCGCGTTGGGGCGACAGCTATGGTTGATACGTGCAATGCGTGGAAATAGACCAATGTTGGTGCCGGTGTTGTATGCGTTTGTGCGGAAAATGTAGCCAAGGATGTCGGTCCAGCCTTCACCCTTTTCAGGCTCGCCTGGGAAGGCATGGTGGTGAAGAGTTAGAATTTCGGATTGAGAAGAGGATGGGAGATTTCGGAATTCGGCGCGAACGGCTGAAGAGATGGCGGGCATTGGGTAGCCGGCGCCTTTTTTGATGATGGGTGGGGGGATAGTGAGGATGGGGGTTTCGCGGAGGATGATGGTTCCTGCGGGGAGGTTGGTTCGGGCGAAGACTCCGAGTCCTTTGCCTTTGCTGGGTAGGACGATGTAGGGTTCGGGTGGGAATGGGCATATGTTTTGGAGTTCGAGAGAGGAGGGCGGTTTGCATGATTGTTGGGAGGCGTGGATGGATGGGAGAGTTGATAGGGACATGAGGAATAGTGTGAAGGAAATCATGATTCCCGTGCCTTCTCAATTGACCTCTCGATGAATGACTGATGAGCAATTGTGGAATTGGGTGGAACGATTAGCATAGTGGGATCGGATCGGCCTCATCTCTTTTTGAATGGAGAGGAATCTGGAGTCAATCGAATGAAACATGTTTCGCTCCAACGCCGTCGCAACATCCATCCGTCAGTCTGCTAGTGCAACATCCCAGAAATTAGCTGCACAAGACGATCAAACAGGCACCCATGGAGTAAAAAGTGACGAGGGTGCAATTGTCAAGGATGTGATGAGGCTCCGCTCCGCATCTCCCATGAAAGCAATTACACCCAAGCAGATTGCTAACGGGTAATCTCCATCAGAATATTGTACACAATCCAGAAATAATACCAATTGTAACGCCAGGTATATGCACGTAGCTGTTTTCCTCACATCCGCCTCGCCTTAATCCTACATATCACTCCTCGCGTCCTCGTGTCCTGTCGGCCCTGCTCATAGATTGTCGTATCCCTTCATAGCCTTTTCACCCCTCTTTTCGACGAAGTATCCTGGATCTGGCCGTCTCGCAGCGCGCTGCTCTTGTTTGCTAACGTATGAATCGACCTCCTTGACATCCACCAACTCTTTGATGCGCATGATTTGACCGGCAACGGATGGTGTGACGGGGTGGTAGACGGTGGTCATGCGTTTGCGGAGGCCCAGCGCTTTGAGAACGCCTTGCACCTTGTAGGGCATACCGATGCCGGATCGCATGAGGGTTATACGAAAGTAGGGCATAGTGTGTGGAATGGCGTAAAAGTCAAGGAAATGAGGTGTATAGGTGGTGGTGGGTGGGCGTGCAGCGCGTTTGATGGGGTAGCTATGGGCGTGTTAGTTTGCTTGCTTCAATTCATATAGTTTTTTTTCTTAGAAACTAGATTGAAATACTGACGCTTTGAAATTCCCAGTACCCGACAATGGCTGATGTTTGCGCTGGACGTGAAGTTGCCGTCGTCGTCGTCTCAACTTTTCCCCGGGCCTCGCTCGCGTGAGAAAGCGAGCTATCCTATTTTCCGCCTAGCGTCTAGTGCGCCCGATCACGTGCATCACCCTTCACATCAATTGATTGATTCTACAACCTTGGAAAAACCTCTTCACTCATCTCTCGAATCTTGGCACCAGAATTATGCCTTGACTGATCGTCCTGAATGTCAGAGTAGCGGTGAAAATGAGCTGACATGTGTCCATACATCACCTTGAGCAGCTACCCGTTCCCGTCGTACCCCCTTGCCATCTTCCCGCCGGCCAGGGTCTTTACCTTTTCTCACCCCGTAAATGGTTACTTCAAACCCAGGGCAACTAACACTCTCACCTGTTGAAGCTACCTAATTATTAGGAGAGTGTAATGAACCACTTCTCCTTTGCTTCGATTCTGGCTAGGAGCTACAAAGTTACTCGCTTCAATTTTTGCCATCTTCAACACACTTAGATCACGAACGAGACAAAGCTCTAATACGACGATCAAGAAATCCATGCAAGACCCGGGTCAGCGGTTGCTAGCCTGAGTACACATGACGGTTTCCTCTTGTTCGGGTCTGCCGTTAAAAATGTCCGCACTAATATCTACCTTGTCCATCAATTTCTTGAGCAAAGTGGACCACCAACTCGGGAACGTTCCGAAACATTGATACTGTTTTGGGCTTCAACTTAGGTATTTCGAGCAGCTTCTAACCATATGCAGTGGACTTTACCCTGCCCCCTCTGTCTGAAATCTCTAAGTCGACTAACCGCTCATACAGGGCGCTGCCATTGATCTTCCCACCACAACGGGTCGGAACCTCGGGAATGCTCCGATACATCAACGGGTTACTTTGACTTGCATTTCTTTCTTCTTTGCGGCAGTTTTCCGCTCGCATACACCCATCTGTCAATCCCAAAACCGTCGGATGGTGGATGCTATGCGGCTTCCCCCCGATCCAATGAAGTTGCTTCCAATTGAGTCTCTAGTCGGCACACATTGTCTTACGATCTGGATTTGTTTCATGATTCTCCTGAGACTCATTTCAACCCAAAAAGTAAAGTAGAAAACTATGCTCGACGCTATCAGCTTTGTATCCATTCCATCCCGTCAAGCTTCCGAGGCAGATGGCTATCACTGCATTGTGGTATTTCATGACCACCAACATTTCCTATAGGGCTAGAGATCACCTAGGAAGATACAGCATCCTATCCTGTGTGGTACTGCCTTTAACCACGTTTGCATTCGGGAGTTAGCTGTACCCCTGTACGCACAGCTCACTGACAACGGCTGTACAACATTTCCGGATCTTCAGTGCAGCAACCCGAGCTCCGACTCATCGTATCACACTACACTTGCAAAGATTATGCAAGAGCTTGGACGGCTATTTCCAACTTACAGGTTCATGTGAGAGTAGTGCTCGATCCGTGTGGTGAATTCATTGCCTGTACACCGACGCTTCGACGCATTTCCTATCTTGACGGTTTTTCACCTCGATTCATGACGCTCGGCAGCACGCATCATGGACTATCCGAGACCTTTATGTCCCGTCGGCTTGTGGGACTTCTTGGGCGGAGAGAGAGAACATATGCAGGGAGGCGAGGGGAATGAAGAGCAAGTGAGCTTTGACACGCTGGCAACAGAAACTTGTATTCATGGTCCGTGGAGTTGATCTGACGAAGTATTTATTTAGAAGCCAAGTATGTGTAAGAATAGCACACTTTCTTCGATCCAAAATCCTATCTCAATCCTCAAACCCCTCTCTTGAAACTCACTACATTTTCTACATAAGCGACTGTTGTCCTCAGAAGTCTGTCTGCATTCACACACTTCAACATTGCAGAGCTTCCAAAACAGTCCTTTGTTGATGATTCGAGGCTGTCGAGATCACCCAGATCCGGCACAAACACATCACTTCCTCTTCAATTGATGTTTGGGCATCGCGATCAATAAATCACTTCCTCGAAAACAAAATCCACCAACGTCTTGCACAAACCCGAAATCAAACATTACCTCTCCACCTCTCAAGAGAGCAAACAATCATGACAGGTATTCTCCTTCTCCCTCTCTCCCCTTCTAGTAACCTGCAAAAAATCTCACCCACCACCCTGTCCAATCCAGGCTTCTACCAACCCCTTCTCTCCCCCTCAACATCCATAACCTCACCCCAACCAAACTCCCACTACACCACATCATCACCACCACCACCCCCAACCCCAACCGCGATCCCCGCCTTCGTCTACCGCGTCCACCGCGCACGCGCACAAACAGCATTCAGCTGGCCAAAAGGCTTCAGCTCCAAAAACCAAACGACCATCCTGCACCAAACCTCTGACCTCTCCAAATTCGGCATCGCCCATCTCCACCACCAAACCAACATTTCCTCGCCCTTCATCTCCGTCTACGACTCCGCGAGCCATGCCGAGGCCGTTGCGGCGTTCTTTACGGCAAAGTATAGGGAGGATTGCTGGGTTGTTAAGATCGATACTAGACATTTTGCGCGGGGGCCTGTGTTTCGGGCGGTGGATTTGCTTGCGGGGATGAGGGTTGGGAGGGAGGCGGCGAGCGGGAGGGAGGCGGCGAGCGAGAGGGAGGCGGAGTGGTTGCATAGTGGGGAGTATCTGGTTACGTATAAGATCCCGCCTGAGGCGATTGTTGGGGAGACGATTTTTAGGAGGGGCGGAGAGAAGTGGGATTCTCCTGGGGTTATTGGGGGCGGGGTTGCGAAGAGGTGAAGTTTTTTGGGGGGCTGGTATGGGGGATGGTAACGCTTCTTTTATTCAATTTCTTATTTCTTATCATTTGTTTCTTTCTTCCTTTCGAGTTTTGCGACGGTCATTTCTGTCTTGCTAGTTTCCGCGTTCTCGGTTCGTTTCACTTCACTCTACCGCCACTCCTTCTCAGCATGTCCATCGGTATTTCAAGCAGTCGTCATTACATTACTATAAAAACACATCTGGTATATTCCACACATCTCGAGACATTCATTGCTGCTTACAACCCTACTCTAATTCATACATACTCCCATGACCCAAATACACCTACACAGTGCTAGCCATAGTCGCGATCATCGAAATCAACACAACACACATCACGTCTTCTAACTTCAGAGACCCAAGTTGTTTCGCTGGATAGATGTCGAATTATGGTGCTGGATTGAGCCGGGATATGAGTGAGTATGAAAATATCGACGCTTTACATCAAAAGATATGAATCATCTGAGATCCACCAATTACCTTGTCAAACTCTATAATACACGTAACAGCTTTTCCCGAGAATATAAGAAACAAAAAATGCTTGGTGGCGTAGATTTCGAGGGCAGAGGACAGTCCCACATTAGTCATCGACAATCATTGAAATTCGTCACGTCACATCACATACATCGAGCGAACAAGGCGAAAAGAACACAGGCCTTGAAAAGCAATGCACGATGGTTATTACAAAGCATACCAGTCGATCTATCTGATTGCAATTCCCGAACCTCACCAATGCAAAGAAAGAAAAAAAAACGAATGGTGCCCATAGTAACACGAGATACAGACGAATCAACCAATCAGTCAAACATTCATTTCGTCCACACGAATCACATCACTCTTTGCTGATTGGGTCCTCACTCCTCTTCCTACCCAGTAACTTCGGATTACTCGGCTTGCGACTCAGTCTTGGTATCATTGTTGAGGTCGCAGTAGCTTTTCTGCTCACAGTGGGCTTCGCGCTTGTAGTAGGTTTCGTGCTCGGAGCCGGGTTTGCGTTCTCAGCAGGTTTTGCACTCTCAGCGGGTTTTGCGCTCTCAGCGGGGTTTGCTCTCTCAGCAGGTTTTGTGCTCTCGGTGGGTTTGTTGGTAGGAAAAGATCTTCCCAATTCGGCCACCTCTGCGCGGGTCGGTTTCCTCCTGAGAATGGGGTGTGGCGGGACATAACGTGGTTGCTCTTCAGGTGTATCGTCGCTGAAGGACCACTCACTGTCCGTTTCTTCCTCGCCTAGCTTGTTGATATTGTCCATTCCTTGTGGAAAAGGGCATTCTTCCTGCCACGGCTTCACCTCTTCCTCGGCTGCGGCGAGGCGTTCCTCTTCAATGCCGCGACTAAGTAAACTTACCCTTTCCCCAGCTGGATTTGGAGGGCCCGCTCTACGCCACAGCTCGCCGGAAGGCTCTTTTGCTTTGGCTTTTCCTTTCCCCTTCCAGTCACTCGGCCCAGCTATCACTGGAGCTCGCGGATTATAGCCAAATTTCCTGTTCAGATACTGGTACTTCGCAGACCATTCGTTTCCAGAGGGCGTTCGGACAGGAGATGAACGTGAGACTGACGGCGACAACTCACACACTTCAGCGACACGCTCCTGTTCCTTTTTATCCGCCAATGCTTGTGCAGCTAATAGTCGCTCTTGATCCACATAGTACGGGGCTGGGCGTTGCCCCTTCATCTGTTGTTCAAGTATTTCTTTCTCTTCTTCTGTGGGCTGGTACTAAACAATTTGTTAATCTACAATAAATCCAGGAGTGAATGTAATTTTAACTTACCTGCACCGCTGGTGGACGATTGGCAGCACCATAAGGATCTAATACAGGCCGCCTTGCGGAGGTCGAAGATGTCTTTTCAGGTATTGATTCTTGTGGACGTTGCTTCGCAGAGGTTGAGGGTGAATTCTCAGACATCGACTCTTGGGAAGGCTCCTTCGAAGAGATTGGAGATAAGTTCTCCGATATCGACTCTTGTGGAGATTTCCTCGCAGAAGTAGAGGATGTTTCTTCGATCGCTGGCTCCTGCGCAGGTTGTTTCGCAGAGGTCAAAGGTCTTTGTTCAAACGTCGAATCTTGTGGCGATTGCTTCGCGAAGGTCGTTGATGTCTCATCAAGTATCGCCTCTTTTATGCTGACCTTTGCGACCCCCTTCTGTGGCGCTAAGGGCGGCTGGATTTTGAGAATGGAGGGTCCAGGTGGAGGTTCTACTGACGTCTGCCTCAGTTCCTCTGACTTGGTCCTCGCCACATTCACGTTTGCACGCGACAGTCTAGAGGCGTCTGCTTTGCCCCATTGAGCTTGCAAATCCGAATGTCGTTTCTGTGCAACAGCATGCGCCTGCTCTTGTGCAAGTTTAGCCTGCGCTTCGCGCAAGGCGGTGCTCTCTGGTGAAGTAGATATAGATTTCCCAGTCTTTTTTCTTCTAGAAAGGACTGTCTCATCATCGCGACGATGAGCTGCTTCTTTCGCCGACTGTTTTTCTTGGGTTTTAAGAATGTCCATCATCGACAGGAATTGGTCAAACATCTGTGACTGCGGCCAATTCCTGTCATCCAAAACCAGGTTTTTCGACATAAGAAGCTCGTCTCTCGACTCGTGGACTGAGGAAGATCTTTCTGGCTTTTTCCGCTTCGGTGTCGACGTAGTGTCCTCTAGCTCAAATGTATTTTCCTGTGTCTCAGGTGCAGCCGAATCTGTTCGTTCTTTTGTAGACCTGGCTACTTTTGGCGTCTGGGGGTGTGGCGTCGGGCGCAGGGCTGTTGCATGTCCCACGGCGGTCTGGATGGCGTCCGATTTCTACTCAGGTCGACGAACTCCACTGAAAACCTTCACGTAACCGTACGGAAAAGTATGCAAAACCATTTCGTGTTCTCTCCAACGCCAGTCGGCGATTTTGCAAACTCTCAGATAATCGCCGGGGACGTGCTTCTCAAATGCACTGGTCATCGCCGCATCTTCAGCGAGCTTGATGAACTCCCGGAATTCACGAGTGCGCAAGCAGGAAGCAAGTCCGTCCCACCAGAGAGTGAATACCACGCGAATCCATGTGCCGATGTTCTGAACGGCGTGTGAAATCTTGTGCATCTGTGATTGTGCAGGAGGAGAGTTACCAAACACTGCTGCTGCGCTTGCCCGAGCCACGAATAACCAATTCATCGCCATCATAGCCAAGCAACCCCATCTACGATCTTGAAGCTCAATGACAACGATCCCATCAGCCGTCTCCATGGTGCTGCGCAGTATCTCCGCTGCTGCGAGATCATCGAAATGGTGAAAGGAGAGGTTGAACAAGCGAAGGATACGACTGGAGCTTGTTTTAACAGACCTTTGAAAGGGTCAGTAGACTTTCATATAGGCTGTAATACTACTTACATTTCGTTATCGGGTGGGCATGAATAGTGGCTCAGGGCTACATTGGGCGGTTCAGCGGCATCGACGCTTTCTTCAATAAACCTCAGATTATCCGATTTTGTACTATGATGATTCCATGCTTCAAGGTTGGGGTATTTGTCGGATATGCTGAACTGGAGAGGTGCTTGATTGGAGTCTGCTCGGTTTTGGTTGATGAGCTTTTCGAACATGGGGGTGGGTCCGCCGCTGCCAGCACAGAACTCAAAGACCTGCGTGAGCGAACTGGTCAGTTGGACATCAAGCGAAGAGGTCAATATGCATAAAAGGAGCTTACCTCGAGTTCATGGTAATCAAGCTTGACTACTTCATCAATCACTGAAGCCAGCTGACCACAAGCGACTTCGGCCGGGGTAGCAGATTGTATCAATGGAAGTCTCCTTGTCCATTGTTTTGTCAGGATATCCTGGCAGATTGCACGAATCCGATCGGGGGTCGAGTCAAAGTCACACCACTCTGGGGCTCTGAAAGCTCTACTAGTGCAAACGAAGTCGACAAGGCTGAGGGTACGAGCAAGAAATTTAATGCAGCGTTGGAATGGAGTGAGCGAAGTTGGGAGAATCGGCGAAGCCGAGGTCTGGAAACGACTGCGGGTCTGTCCATGCTGTTGTATTGGAGACCGAAGCTCATCTTTTGGGCCCACATTGGACCCAAATCGAGATGTCCTCCTTCTAATGTGGTGATCCAGGTCATAGTCATGGGCAAAAGGATGATCGTCTTGTGGCGAGGAGCTAGCACTAGACGAGGTGCCGATTGAGAGTTTCGAGGACGATGCCTCACCGGAATGACTGTCTCGATGTGACATGGTAGCGGCGCTTTCTGGTGTTGTCTTTGATGAGGATGAGCTGGGACGAGAAAGCAAGAATGGTGTGATATCGAAACCGTCCGAGTCGCCAGGTTTTCTGTCAACGGCTCGTATGCGGAGCCCAGTGCCTGATGGATTGGAAGATGTCATTCTCGTCGACGATTTCGATGACGAATTATTCAGAGAAGTAACAATGAATGGGCATGTGACTGTATGGAATACCCCAGTGATAGAATATGGAGTCAAACGAATGCTCCCAGGCGATGAGCTGACGTGAAGAGATAAGCGGAGGCTTACAAGTGAGCGTCGAGAGAAACGAAGCCGTTTAGACCAGAGACGGGAGTTGTGAAGGAGATGGTGGCCTTTCCTCTCACAATCGTTGGGAAGTGACTTGGGAGGGCCCATGGTAGTGACGTTCGAGATGCCTCTAGCGTCGCCTATCCTGAAATGGCTAGCCTCGTCTGTGCTAAAACGAACTATCACGCCCGTTGCTGTCCTCTTTTTACTTTATTGTTTGTGTTAGGCTAGAAATTCAAAAACATGATTCGGATGGCGCAAATTTCAGGCAATGGTCTGTATAACGAAATAGGAATGTGGCATGATTGAAATGCGAATGAACCAGGAGAACGACCGTGGTATCCTTCCACGTCCAGTTCACAAATATCACGACTACACAATTTCAATAGTATAAAACTACAGCGAGAAGTTTGACTGTACAACCTGATGAGCAATCCACTATATACATGTTGCTTAATCTACTGTCTGCTCCCCAAATGAACTAAGCTGATGATACAAGTACGTCTATTGTGCACAAACCGCTCTAAGCGATGTAAAGCGGAAAACCTAAGACGAACCCGAAGGATACAGCGCCTGGTACATATATCCATATTTTCCAGGAGAGACGAGAACCGGACACGATTACGACGCGAGGGGACTCTTACGCTGCCCTCCTCAACATTCACATGAGGTTGCAATGCCTGAGCCCAGCAAAATGAGACCTCTCATTTCTTCGCCTTCGCCTTCCCTTTTGCTTTGGGTTTAACCTCCTCCTCACTTTCCTCGTCATCATCGTCGTTGGCTGCCTTCTTCCGTCCTCCTTTGCCCTTCGCTTTAGAGCCGGCGGCTGCAGCCCCCTTCTTCGGCGCTGCTTTTTTCTTCGGCTGCTTGACGTATTTGTCTTTCGATAAGTCGACGTCCTCTTCTTCGTCCTTCACTTCGTTGATTACCTCCTCTTCGTCCGACTCTTCGATGGCTTCTTCGAGATCTGGTTTCTCCTTCGCGGCTTTTTTGGGTGCCACCACGCTGGATGCTTTCATGAAGGGGAGAGGATGGGCTTGTTGATTGTAGCTGATTGCAGAAGTTAGCATAAGGAGTTTGTAAGTGGGCTCAACGAGGGTCGACCATATGGGGAAAGGTATACATACATTCTAGTGAATGCCGACTTCGCCGCCGTCTCGATTTTGATTTTCTCCTGCTGCATCGGACCTACACCAAGTTCCATGATGGCATCGAAATCCTCCTTGGTCAGGAAATAGCTATCCATGAGTTCGATCAGATCTGGTACAGAGTCTTTCCCTTCCTGCTCCAGCTTCTTGACGAGTTGCTGCCAGAAGATGGGAATGTATTGCTGGCGAACCTCGTGTCTGTCGCCTGACGATCGCAACCGCATATGAGCTTGGATCTCCTTAACCATACGAGTAAGCTTTTGCTGGTTGCTGTTCTTGCCGAGCCATGTCGTAAAACGAGTCTGATGTCCCGCTGTGCTCCCAGCGACGAAACTGGCTGGCCTGACGAAACTGAATACAGCATGCGTCGGCATCAGGCTCCAGTGTTGCTGAGAACCGTGAATCATTCGGTCAACCAAATCACCGTCGCTTATACTGTCTGCAGCGTTGGATGCCAACTCCAACATCTTTAACTTCCTCTCTGGGCCACTGGACTGCAGTGACAGTATGGGGTTCGTGCCCAGGTAGTTTTCCTGGATCATAAGCGGACTGAACTCGTGGTCATTGAAATACAATTCAATCTTGTCGTTGAGCGTAGCTTTGCTACTTGCTGCAAACATGCCACCTCCGAGGATCTTCTGCGTAATATCCCACGGCTTGAGAATGACATGCTTCTGCCAGGATTTGGACATCTCTTTGCCTTTGTCAAAATCCATGGCTGTTTGATCCAGCTTGGCGGTAGAAATCATGTTCACTACCTGTCGGATATCCGCGTGTGTACCCTCGATCAGCGCGTTCATGACAGGTACAGGAAGCTTCAGCTGTTCTCGGTATGCGATAGTCATCATGCGGGAACGAATCTGATCGGTGGTGGGTCTTCGGAATGGCAGATCATAGGTGACATAGTCGAAAGGTTTCATCTTCGGCAGTCGCCTGTCGTTGCAGATCAAGATCATGGGAATCTCTGTTTTCTTGCAGACCGCAGCGAGAGCACCTACTCCACCACGATCACCAGCGGACATACCGTCAACTTCATCCATGATAAGAACCATCTTCTTCTTTTTCGACTCCACAGACTGGCCATCTCCAGCGAAGTATCCGTGAAGGGAATTCGTACTGAGAACGCCGCGTAGTCCTTCCTCGATTAACTTCTTGCTTCGGGTGTCGCTGGCATTTCGCTCGACGATATCGTAGCCTTCGAGCTTAGCTACGAGATGTGCTGCCGTAGTTTTACCTATACCAGGGGGTCCATGAATGATAACAGCGCGGAAACTACCACTGCCATCCGGACCGGCCAGCTTGAAGTTTGTCTTTAGACTCTTTGGGAACTTTTGCAACCAGCGTTGAAGTTTGTCTACTGTGGCTTTGTTGCCGCAAATCTGACTCAGGGATGTCGGTGCGTACTTGGTAGTCCACAATCGAGAATCCACGCTTGGTTCTGACAATGTGTCATCGGAAGCAGAGGGGGCAGTAGCAGAAGAGTTGGGGGCTTTGGCGGCTTGTGCGGCCTTCAACGCTTTCAATCTTTCCTTTTCTTCCTTTTCCATCAGCGCCGCCTGCTCTTTGACCTTCTCTTCCTCTTTCTCCAGCTTCTGCTTGTGCGCAGCTTGGGCCTTTGAATTGCCCATGTTTCCAGCGGCTGTCAGTTTCTCAATGAGTGCACAGACACCATCCTCATCGATCGTCTTGATGTTCATAGCTTTGATCTTCCCCAGTTTGCTCGGCCCAGCATCCGATCCGAGAACAACGTAGTCGGTCTTCTTACTCGGCGCACCTGTGACTTTGCCACCGTGACGCTTGATCAGCTCTTGGGCCTCTGGCCGACCCCATTTTGAAAGCACGCCGGTGAAAACGAACGTCAAGCCAGCTAGACAAGTCTCGCTTCCAGAAGGCATCTCCTCCGAGCCCCCTCCGACAGGAGCCGCCGCTGCATTGCCACCTCCTGCTTTCGTTCTCCAGTCAAATTTCGCGTTTGGGTCCTTTGGCGGAGGTGTAGGCGCTCGCACTTGAGGAATGCTGTCGTAAATAGCCTGGATGTTCTTATCTTCCTTGGGTTCTTCTTCTTTCTTTGCCTTCTTTTTGGCGGGTTGCTTGGCCGGAGTATTCTTCTTTGCGCGGCCTTTCTTGGGCTTCTCATCCTCGTCTTCATCTTCCTCGTCGTCTACTTCGGGCGTTTTCCGTTTCCTGCCGACAGCCGAGGACTTCTTGGGCTTGCTTTTGACCGCTTGTTCTTCCTCTTCTGGCTCGACAAGATCGTCTTCAGCGTCCACGTCTTTCATGTCGACATCTTCATCCTCTGGGTCAAAGTCATCTTCGTCCTTGAGTGGTTTTTGCTTTTTCGCCGGCTGTCTCGGTGTGCCACGGTGGGGAAGTTCGACGGGCATATCGTCATCGCTAGATGCGGCTTCGACATAGTCATCGTTCTTTCCTCCCTTTTTGTAGTCCTCCTCGAATATGTCATCGGCCACATCAAGATCGTCGTCTGGAAACTCGTCGTCATCATCATGTGCGGCATATGAGGTGACTGGCTTCTTCGCTCTGGTAGATGTCCTCCCTTTTGAGGCGGGTGTGGAAGCTTTGGAAACCTTGCCCGCTGCTTTGGCCGGTGTTTTCTTGGGCGTAGTCTTCGGAGCTGGAACGGGTGCTTTCTTGACGGGCTCTGTTCGCTTGGGTTTGTTCCTGCTGGCAAAGAAATCGGATGTGGTGGTTTCTTCTAGCTCGGGTGTGGGCTCTTTCTTTGCTTTCTTGGGAGCGGGTTTCTTGGGCGTCACCTTTTTAGGCCTGTCCATGTCAGCATACTGGTTCGAGCAACGGAAATGAGGCATGGCGTACTTTGTGTCCTCGTCGTCATCGGAGTCGTCAACTACGCGACTGGCGCGCGACGTTTTCTTTGGTGCTGGTTTCTGTAGTTTTCGTAAGCACTGCACATTGTTCAAGATAATAGCTTCGACTGCAGAAAATACAACATACCTCTTCTTTCTTCTGTGCAGGCGCCTTCGGAGCGCCGCCGAAGAAGCTGCGAATATCCGCTGGCATGATGGCTGTGGCCGGGAGCAATTCTGGCGATGATTGCTTCTCCAATTAACTGTCTAGCGAGCTGTAGTCTATCGTTCCATTCAATGAATGTGGTGAAGTGGAGAATTGAATGAACAGACAGGAAAATGAAGGGTGGAGGCGCTTTGTACTGTTTGTTCAGCAAGCAACAGGCAACGACGCGTCGGATGGAGCAATGACGGGCACGAAACCACTTTAGTGATCACGACGCGCGACAGCCTAAAAGAATGCACCAGCCACACATCCTGCGCCACGGTGATATGCCGAGGATACGCCGCCTGACTTTCGACATCCATCTGAATGGCCATGAAGACATCGTGAAAGCATCAATTCGACGCCTTCCCGTAGAAATTGTGCGCCCACCATGCCTCCGCCTAGGATATCCCCGAGCCTGACCGCTCAATTGAGTCGTCTATCCATCGCACCCGCCGCCCATCATCGCCCTCAGAGTAATAGCTCCGGCCCTCATACCTCCATCTGAAAGGGTATTTCTAACATCACTTAGTCCTCATCCCCAGATATTCGATACCTTCTGCCCCCAACTCTGCCTCCAATGTCCGCGCTTTTTCCAGCACTCCCTTCCGCCTAAGCTGGCTGATCCCCAGGACCGGCGAGTCGCGCAAATCCCGCAAAGGTCGATGCCGCGTCCCCACAGGCGGTAGCATGCGCGGCACCACCGTTGAATGGGGTGACTACGGCCTCCGCATGCGCGACCACGACCGCCGAATCGCTGCTTCACAGCTCAAGATCGCCGAAGATACCATCAGGAAGCGCCTTCGTGGTATGAAGTTCCGTCTGTTCCACCGCGTCGCCGCCGATATTGGTGTTTATACGAGTGGTAACGAGAGCCGTATGGGTAAAGGAAAGGGAAGTTTCGATCACTGGACTAGCAGGGTACACGTGAGCAAGGTGGTGTTTGAGATCAAGGGAGACTTGCACGAGCAGGTTGTGAGGGACGCTTTCCGTTTGGCGGGGAACAAGTTGCCTGGTAAGATATGCCACCCTTTGGGAGCCGGATGAAGGACAATGGCTTTGATTCATGGACTTGTGATTGACCTCTCTTTTTCTAGGCCTCTGGGAGACTATCAAAAAAGGTGACCCACCAAAGATGGGTATCACAAAGGTTGGTGTCAATGGCGTCACAGAAGCAGACCTACGCCGCCCGCGCCAGAAGCTACCCCTCGAGCGAACCGCCGCCAGGATACCCGCTGCGCCTTAGATTCTCACAATTACCTGTATCATAAGAGTTGAGAACGCCAAAGTTGAAGAAAGACGTTGGAGGAGGAAGATGGACAAGTATGCGGACTCGGGGGAGAGAAGAGCAGAGGGGAGACGTGTACTATATCCCATGTGTCTATAACCATGTGTAAACCAAACAAAATACCAAGACAACCTGCAAAAACAAGCAATCCACTATCTCTCATCCTTTCGTCTCCGCTGTGATATCCGCGGCTCAGCGTGCAGTATGATGACCAGCATCGGTGTCAAGCACGACAGTCACTCCACGAGACCATACTCCATAGTCCATACATCCATTAATAAACAAAAAGGAGAAAAAGAAGAAAAAGCTAAAATCACAGGCTCGATCAACATGTAGAAACCCACCAGATCCATCCAAGCCAGATACTCACCCAAATCCCATTCCCACACTTATCCCCCCATCTTTCTGTTCGTCAGCCCATCAATTTTCTCCTAAGAAAAGACGCGCCGACATATACATATATATATATATATATATATATATATATATATATATAATTTAGAAAAACAAAATACTTTACCACGACTTCACAAACAGCACGGGAGAAGGACTAAAAGGGCCACAACACACACACACACACACATATATATACATTTATCTTGTACGTTACAAGAGTAGTACGTAACGCAACCCAACACAAACGCACATTCTCTTCCTCAAACGTAACATTAACACCGCTACCCTGCTCCCTTTCCCCCCTTTTTTTTTTCTTAATGGGGAGAGAGAGGTCTAGACTTCGTGATCCCTGGTAGCGATGAAACAGCCCGGCGAGTAGGGTATCTACATCATTTGCAATTCTATCTCTCTTCTACTGTTTATCTACTGTGTGGGCGGAGAAGATATTTGAGACGCTGAGAAAGAAAGAAAGGAAATGGAGGGATGTGTTCGTCATGGTAATAATACGATCGAGAAATGGAATTGTGGTATGGAAGGGGAGGGGGGATGCAGTGATTGTGGAGACATTTATGATGTGAGAGGAGAGAAATATAGAGGTAAGGGTATATCCATCTAAAAAAAAAATCTCCAGTTTACTAATGTGAGTTGATTAAATTATCTGACAAAACGAGGAACAATACAGTAGTCCCGGTGAACTACTTTTGGATGATAGCTTGCCCAGCAGCTGTTGGTTGGCCACCCACAGCATCTTGTCATGCGTCCATGATTACGTTATATAGAAGAACGAAAAGCGAACAGTGAGTGTGTGAGAGAGATCTTCCTTCGATGTAGGTTTTCGCTAAGACTATCCACAAAAAAAAAGGAAAGGGTTCGTTATAATGATGCTCGTGTACCGACTTCCTCAAGAAGCGCGCAGGGAGAAGGGAACCTGCGAATCTAGCGCTGCTCCCAATTAATCTTTTTAAATTCGTGTCGAGGCTCCGCCCCGATGGCATAGCATACAGAATGAGAAAGAAAAGAGGGGAAGATTCTATACGAAGAGGGCGGCGGCAACAGCAGCGGCCACGCCGGCAAAGACGCCATAGTTGCCGCGGGAGAGCGACGAGGCGCCGGAAACTGTCTGGAGAGCGGGACTGGAGCCTGTTCCAGACGGTGTAGAAGGGGTGGTAGGAGCAGCGGAAGGACGTTGAGCAGGTGGAGCAGCCTCTTCCGATGGTGGAGCAGCTGGAGCATCTGGCGAAGCTGGTGCGTCGGGGGTTCCAGGCGCAGCGGTGGCATCGGCAGGCGGTGCTTGCGCTGACGTCTGGAGGGTCGATGCAGGCTGCTGGGAGCTCTGACCTGCGGGAGCTTCGGGTTCAGGCTGCGAGCCAGGGCGGTTGGTGGGGGATGGGGGTGATGGGGCTGCGGGTTCAGACGAGGGACGGGCCTCTGAACTGGATGTTGGTGCTGGTGCAGGTGCTGCTGGGCCTGTTGGGCGCTGAGGTGAGGCAGCGGAGGAGGAGGCGGCGGCAGAAGAGGGTGCGGAAGGAGGGTTGGCTGCACTGGTACGCTCGCCTCCTGCAGCAGAAGATGAAGACGAAGGTGAGTCGCCTGCACCTGAGCCTTCGCCGCTGCCACCACCCAGATTCACTGTCATTCCGAGTCCAGCGCCGGGATCCGGGAGACCGTTGTCCGTCTGGAACTTCTTGATGTCGAATGGCTTGCCCTCCTCTGGCAGGTCGAGGCTGGTGATGCGTTGTCGCTGAGGGTTTTTGTATAGAAGGAATGTGTACTTGCGGGCGTCACCCGTCTCGCCAAACGCGCCGGGCGCCTTGTAGGCTAGCAGTGGGTCATCTTGCGACTCGATGTTGACTATGGAGCTGACTTTGAAATTGGCACGCGCATAATGTAGTATACGGGCGTTGTCTTGTGTAGTGTCAACCTTTACGTCAAGTTAGCCAAGTCTTGAACGTAGACAGAACGATTTGAGCGGATTTAAGCACGATTCTTGAGATCTCTAGCTGGAGAGAGATGTGGCCATGGTGCATGAGTGGAGACTTACCATCAGAACGGTATAGAGTGTTGTGGTTGAGATTCCACTGGAGTCTCCGAGCGCAAATGCGGGCACCTTTCCTACTTCTGTTGCCGAGTTAGCGTGAGTTTGAGTCCGACAAAGGAAGGTATGTCGTACGGTCTTTGGTGAAGGTGCTGCCATCTTTGAAGCCCTCAGTTGCTGAACCCGTGAAAGAGGCCTGAAGTTCGACACCGCTGTCTTCGAATCCGGCGCTCAAGTCTTTGGGCACTGAGGCTTGTGCTGCTGTCACACTCAATATCGACGCCGCCAGAGCTGCTCGAACCAAACGTATGGAGACCATCTTCTTATTCAAAAAGAAATTAAGATTAGGCAACGATAAGTGACTGCCGAGAGGAATTATTGTGAAAAGAAAATGGAGAGAAGAAATGAAATGTTACGACAAGGAAAAGTGTGTTTCTTTCACGGTTTGAAGATCGCTGAGAGGAAATGTTTACAACGCTACCTGAACACCTCGAGTCTTATATCCTGTTGCTAGTGCTTGGATTCCAGGAATATCTGCCAACATGTTGACGGATGTCTGTCACGGGGTGTCGCAAGGTGCACAGCCTCGGAAAGAGTTGTCAAACGTCAAGCCCAACAGCCACGTTGGACGATAGGCTGGCAGGGCTGCGAGGTCGTTGAACTGCTGTATTTAGCGATGTTGTAGACAGAAATCGTTTCAGATGTAAGCTGGGGCTGCTACCCTTCCAAGCCGGATGAACGTGTACCGAGCGCATGTCAACGTTTTTCATGACTCGGCAGAGCCGGAACAGCGCGTGCACAACTATTAATGTTCTCATACCTCTCAAGGTGAGGTCCCTGTGGCTAGGATCATAGTGCAAATGTTGGTCCATGACAAAAATCCGACACGGGTGCATGTTTGCACGGGCTAAAGCTGGAGTTGTGGTCGACATTGAAATGAACTAGAAGCAAGCGGCTACACCCAAAGCGGCTAGCCCGTACCAATAAACCAGACAGGCGGCAGATCGTCCGACTGTGAAACTCGAACTGCTGCAACGGGACAAATCGGTCCGGGGGATCGCTGAGGATCATCTTCTCACACTACTGTCTGTAACTAGCCAAGAGATTCACTGTACTTCCCGCGTCACTCTTTTGACAGTGTCAACGTGTGTCGCTTGGAATGGGCCGCCGAGCCCTCGAAGTTTCTGGATTCATTACATCAAGAGCCCGAGGTCATCTACGTGGCGAGAGAATCACTGACAGACGGAGGGAGTGTGTTTCAACAGTGATTGCTAAGATCAACAAGCAACTACTAGTCGAGCTATGCAAGTTTCGGGGCCTACTTATTGCACTGGCGATGCTTCCAGGATTGAAAGGTCGTAGTTCTAGTGCATAACCTATTGTTGAGAGTGGAGGTGAGCTGCTCTATTTATGTTTCTCCAGGTCTGTCGCTCCTCGAACCCAGACGGCAGCAAGGACGGTGAACGTGGTGAAAATTGTGGGGAACATCTATCGTATTGGTGTACACAGTAACGACAGTGGATAGGCCGTGCAAGGTGAGGCTTCCGAAGGGTGACGCGGCAATGAATGAGGGCGATCGTCTATCAAGCAAGCGCACTGCGAGAAGATCGTGCAAGATGGAGACAGGTTAGTCGGCATGCAGAGCAGTCGGCGCGTTGCTCCGAGAGGGAATAGTCGAGTTACCCTGGGTCTTGAACGCTCGAGCTTGGCATCAGCTCAATAGACGATCTGAGCTGTACGGCCAATGTGTTTTCTCCTCGCGGAGACGCGATTCGAACTGGACTAGATTGCGGGAGCAATGGTGTCGGGGTGGTTGATAGTGGACCCTGAGGCTTGAAGTTGTCGTAAGCAAAGCTCGGGCCACCCTGCATTGCCTCGCATCGCATCGCCTCTCAACCCGCGACTTGTGTACGATCCATCATCATTACACGGCATCATCGCAGCATGTCTTGCACAACACCCCGTGCGGAAACTCTTGTTTCACCTTCTCCCCTCCGAACTGCGGTATCGAGCGGCTGTTGGATCGGGATCGTTCATCACGCGCAGACAGCTTGACCGCCACCGTAGTCCTACACGGTACACCACTCCAACGTAGCGCCTGTGATATTCGACAGCTACCTGCGCAGGAATCTGCAGTAAACTTTTAGCAGCTCGACCGCCTTAACATTTCTCAGCCAAAAATGCAAAGGCAGTACTGCTTCTCCTCATCACATGTGGACGCTACTCCACACAGAACCTGCTACGCGACACGAATACCGTGGTACTTGCGCCCCCATGACTGTGATCTTCGTGTTGAACCATACTGTCTGGCGTGCTTTGCAGTGGTATTCCCGTAAACTGCCCGCATGTTTGAGGTTGAGGGGAGCCGACCATACTCTGAGCAGAACCCGTGTACACCCCGATGCCCCGTGATTGGATACGATATGCCCTCCAGTAGCATCCCCACACTCAAAATATACCGACTAATCGGAGCGTCAGCTTCGACCTTTTTTGCTTTATCAAAACCGTGCAGTCTACCCAGCGCTACTGGATACAGTCAATTTTTTGCCTGGCCCCTGACTGCAGGATGGCGACATTCACGAATACTGGCGGCTCAGACCCGCTCATCTCCTCTTCTCAAGACCTATGCCAACCGACTATTCATTTCGAGCGTCTGGCAATATATTCCCACTCCGTGTTTGCTTTTTCTTGTCCCGGACACGCGTTCGAAGCGCTTGAATGTGCATCATGCAGTGCACAGCCTGGCTTTAACTATCAACCGAAGTCGAGGTCTCGAGTCGGTCCTTGCCTCAATCTTCTAGACACGAGCCCGGAGGAAACCGACTCAGCGGTAAGACTATCTAGGAAGTCGATCGGGCGGTTTTGGGGTGCCTCATCTGCAAGGACGGTAGCACCACCGTCTAGCTTCGAGATCCCGACCATCTCGAATAATGGGACCCGGATTTCCAGAGTCTTGTATGTCAGATCCCGCTTCGCCACTGTCCCCGCTCTGCTTCTCATCTTGAGCACATGTTCTTTTTTGTAGTCCTCTTTTCATCTCTGTTCATCTGTTCTTCAGCCAATTCGTAACATTGTCTTTTAGACACGCGGGACCTGGAGGCTAGTTGTATCAATGCCATTGAAGAAGACTCCATCATCATCTTTGCTTCATTCTGACAGCCCCAATCCTGTAGGCCAGGAGTCCACTCGCAACCGACGCAGGACATTACAGTCCATCAGGGAACTCTCTTCTCAAAATGGATCTTTGGCTGGCTGGCGGGCCCTATCATTCGAATCGTCCACCGCATATCAGGCAAGTTTTGAACGTGTTGTATGACAAACACAAGCATTTTAATGATCAATCGACAGCAACCTGAAGCCCCAACTGAGGATGAACCCAAGGGGCAACTAGAGCAAAGCCGAGTTCACCAAATTCGCAGAAAGAGTCTTCCTAGTCAAGGGCAAGGGTATTACCAACAATACCAATACAGGCCTCGGCCTTTGGTTTATCTGAGCCCGGATGATACACCATCTCTATACCGGTCGAACACGGACCCGGCAGGTGGGAAACAAGTGCGATTCCAGGATCCAGCGCAGAGCCCTAGGGGTCTTCCCGGTGGTCATAGTAGACAGCACTCTTTGAACTCGTCCGTTCGCGCTCGGCACTCTCAAGGCTCTCCGTTATCGACTGTAACGGAAGGACAGCAGATTCACGCGCAAAGACCACTTCCTAGAGAATTGGCCCTCAATTATCCTATGAAGTATGCACAGCAACCCGTTTCTATTGGCCAGATTTCAGTGCGACCTCCAGAGGGCTGGAACGCCCAGAGAGAGAGGGAGCGTATGAGACGAGAGCAAGAGACTTTGACAGCCAGACTTTCACAAGCTCGAGAAAGGGAGAGGAATGCTGCTGGCGTGAATGGAAACCATATGGTGGCCCAACCAGCATCGTCAATCCCTTTGGCAACTACCAATCCGGTCTTCGCACAGAGACACATTGGCTATGCGCAGCCTCTATCGCGCAGCGCCTCGGTGCGATCATCTCAGTCTGTTCAAGATCCACGTGATTATGATTTCCGCTACCGAGACGAAAACCAAAACACTGGCTGGGAATATCCTATTGTAAGGAGGCATTCGCAGGCATCTGCACGCCACCGTCGTACCTCTTCTACGCCTTCTCGTTACCCTAGCATAACGACTACCACACCCAATGCTCAGCCAACAGGGTCCTCTGCCACCCACAAGAGTTTTATTCCCCGCCTTTCCACCAACAACACGCAGAACAACGAACTGGCACCTAGCAAAGGGCGTCTTGAAGTATTTCCCACTCTGGCGAACATGTCAGGTGAGGCTCCGCAGACACCAGCCACATCGGCTTCTCAGCAGCCACCACCGCCATCGCAGATACCCAGGCGCTATTCAACGCCTACGCAGCGAACCAGGGTCCGCTCGCAGTCTCAGCCCCAAGTTGTGCCAGCTGCCAGACCTACATCTCTACTTGTGCGTGAAAATCCCGACGTGGCGAGACGCCAGCGGCAGCAGCACGAAGTCAAGCCAAGCCAAGCCACGGTGCCTTCGGGCTTCGACACGATGGCTATATGGCAGGCGGAGATGGCGCGACAAGAAGATGATAAGCAGGAAGTACAGGTGACGAGCAGTGAAAAGGGGCGTCAGCCGCAGAGAGCAGCCGCCGCAGTGGCAAAGAGCGGGGACGTGGCGCTGGAGAAGGAGACGACGAATTCGACTTCGACGTGGTCTTCGTCTTCGTCGGCGGCTTCGCCTTCCAAGAAGAAGTGGGCTCGGAGGTCTCTGAGCTTCTCGCGCGGAATTGTGTGCAGGATCTTTGGGAGCGGCAGCAGCACCAGCAGTGGGTCAGAGTGATGGACGGGTAGAATCAATGCGGATGGATATAATGGGATTGTTTCGAGGATGTTGAGCTTGGGGGAAATGTAATTTGCACCCGAGGTTTTTTTTTTGTTTTGGGCATGGGTAGAGATTGGGAAGCGAGTGTTTGGTGTTTCCAAGGGTAGCTAAGCAAAAGTAGGTGAAGTTGGTGTATTGGTGGCGGGGGTAGGAAGCATGCAGTCGAGATGTCGGGTAGTTGGCGTAGATAGATTTTAGCTAGGATGATGAATTGCTCGATAGCTATGTGGCTATGTATGTATCAATACCATTGATGGCAGACGTGGTTCCGAGTACTAAGTAGTCATAGTTGCACATGTGGTAAGGGAATGAGTGAATAAATACACTACTAAACCAAGGCGGACTAAAATAGTGCAAATGTTCATGACGACGGCCAAACTACCATGGACGCTCCGTACAAAGAATAGGCACCTGCAATCTCTCGTATCCCCATGACATCCATGACTTGATTCCATCGGGAGGCAGTACTTGAGCTCGCCACAAGGAGACACCAACTCTTCATCTTCCTCCTCCTCATCTTCTTCTTCTTCTTCATCATCATCATCACTGCCTTGACCCACACGGCCCGCCTTGCGTATCTCGTCTCCACCCCACGAACCCCCCCGCGCTCATCTCGTTCTGTCTCGTCTCGTCCCGTCTTCGCCTCTTCGCCCGCCAGCCCGCGTCGGATTCCGCCTCCCAATGTCTGATAGCAGAGGCTCGCTTGCAATTGCGCCCAGCGACTCGCTGTCCCACGCTCCCCCGTCACACCTCGACTGAATCAAGCCAGCCCGCTATCTGTTAACCGCGGAAGAAGCAAAAAAAAGAACAAAAAATAAGAAGAAATAGAACCAAGCAGCAGCAGCAGCAGCGGCAGCAGCGGCAGCCATCGTCGTCTCGCCTCGCAGCCCAGCCAGCCTGGCAGCTCGTGGTAGGCCACGGCCGTATACTACTTAGCAATACATGCAATACTACATACAGACATCGATCCGTTCATGCACTCATACATACACCCATCCACTATAGCCACCCACTATAAACACACCCACACATGCCTCCGCCGCCCCGGGATCCCACGGCGCGGGCTGCCACACCCGCTCGTAGGGAGACGACCGCCCACATCCAGCCCCCAAAGTCGACGGCTTTGCGCCCTCCCCAACTCCAGCATCGCACCCAGTCAGCGCCCACGGTGCCCAAGAACCCCAGCCACACATCTGACGACAATGAGGACGACGACGATACGCAAAGCGACACGGCAGACGAGCACGACGACGACCAAGACGACGACGACGATAGCGACTCGGCACCCCCGCGCGCCCGCCGTGACACATCCGATGCAGACGACGAGATTACTGGCGACGACTTCTTCCAGCGTTATCATTTCCCCCAGTCCTCGTCGTCGTCAACCACCAACACCGCCAAACACAGGAACAAGAACAACATGCACAGCGACACGATTCACGAGGGCGATTCTGCGCAATCGTCGTCGGACGAGACCGAGGGGCCCATTTCACCCACCAACATCAGGACCAAAGCTCGTCTTTCCGATGCACCCTCGGATAGTGCTGCCCCGCCGCGGTCTCCTGTGGCATCCATAGCGGTAAGTCGCCTGCCAGATGCCCACGTGCTCTTAGGCTACATGTCCACCCATTCTCATTCCTGCTCCGTTCCCATGCCCTCCCTCTTCGCGAGCCATGGCTGATCTATTGCTACTCACAGTCGGGAGCCACCGATGCCACATCGGTCACACAGGACATCAATGTCGCCGTCATGGGCAACCCATCGACGGGCAAGTCCACCTTCATACGTCGCGCGCTGAACATACCCGACACGGGCTCGTCATCCGTGTGCACCCGCCAGATGACCATTGACGGCGGATACTACCTGGTGCGCTTCGTCGAGATAGCCTTTGACCGCATACACATTGGAAACAGCAACACCATCAAATGGCCAGATACCGTCGACGGCCTGCCCACGCCGCGCATCGACGGTGCCGTGACCCTGTACGACGTGACCAACAAGGCGAGCCTGCAACTTGTGCCTGAAATGCTGCGTCAGTATTCGCGTACCCATCCATCGAATCGGTGGCGGTGCTGTGCTTGTTTTTACTGATCGAGCCGAGCAGACGTCCTCTCCAAGTCTGGGCTCCCTTTTATCTTAGTGGCGGCTAAATGCGACAAGCACCCCGCACTCCGCGAGATTGACCCTGCCCGCGTCGAGGAGCGCGCAAAGAAGTTCCCCGGCGACGTCAATGCCTTTCAGACGTCCACCGAGCAGCCCGAGACGCAGCGCGGCTGCTTGTCCGTCATCACGCGCGCCGTCATTGCTGCCAAACGACGTGAGTTGTCGTCCTTGCTGTGCTTCTTCCTTGCATGCTTGTCCACATATCTTTCCCCACCCCACTCCCTGCCCGCAACCCTGCCCATTCTTTATCGCGCTGCCCCGTGCGAGCGCGAACGAGGGCTGCCAACCACCAACAAATCCCTATACCCTTTCCTGCACTCCTGTCTTGCATGCTCTTGACCATAACGCCCTTTCCGCTTCTTTTTTTGCATCATGGACACTGATCAACATGACTCGTCAGCCATATCCCAAACATCCATGGCCCGCCGCCGCGCAAACTCCTCGGCAGTCCGATCGAGCATAGCCAAAGACCCATGGGGCCGTCGACACGAGCGCGCCAGCTCCGAATTCTCCGCCAGATATCGACCGCGATCCTCGGAAACCGTCAAAAGCCATCTCCACAAATCCAGCGAAGCAAACAAAACCTTTTTCCACTTTGAAGAAGAGACTCCGGCCCACGAGGCAAATGACACCGATGTCTCGGACGCGGAAAGCGGGGAGCTCCCCTCGGACGAGAATGGTTACACCTTCGACCAGCTGGTGGATCGGTTATTGGCACAACCCATGTCCAAGAACGATACAAGATTTGTAGCCATCTTTCTGGCCCTCTATCGAAAGTTTGCGACACCGGGACAGCTACTCGAAGCGATACTGAAGCGATTCGATTCGCTGCGACGACTCCAGACTCCACCCATCACGCGCATCATAGCCCAACTGCGATGTCTCGCCATCTTACAGCAGTGGGTGAGCTACTATCCCGGCGACTTTGCATACCCTACGACGCGGCGGACTCTGCGCAAGTTCGCATCAGCCATGTCCTCGAACCGAGAATTCGCGGCCGCTGCAAAAGAGATCATGAGTGCCATTCATGCTGTCACCGAAGATGACGATACAGATTGGGCTTGCAGCGATCGGCAGCGGATCCAAAGTGACAGCGTGGTCAACTTTCATACGGCACTGGATGAAGATACCGATGATGACGACGATTTCACTAGGGCATTGGGCTCCATGTCCATGTCGTCGTCTGAGCGTTTGTCGGCGTCACGGACTAACACAACAGGAACCTCGCGAATCACGCAGTCCTCGACCTCGTCCTCCACACTGAGCTTGCTCCACCAAGTCGACCAAAACGAGAGACAGGCCAGACTCCTCGTGCCGAACCCGATAAAACCCCTCACCAAGATACAATGGCATCAGCTGATTGCCGAGTCGGAGCAGGTGATTGCGCGGGAACTGACAAGAATGGATTGGATCATGTTTTCGTCTATACGGCCGCGAGATTTTGTGCGCCATGTCAGTGCAGGCACCGAGGAGAGGAAGAAATACAAAAACCTGGAAAGCGTGAACCGCATGAGCGACCATTTCAACCACGTCGCCTACCTGGTCGCAAACTACATCCTCCTTCGCGACAAGGCCAAGCATCGGGCCACGATGATGGAGAAGTGGATGAAGGTCGCACGCCAACTGCGCATCATGAACAACTACAACACGCTCGGGGCCATCATTGCAGGCATCAAGAACGTATCCGTGTTTCGCCTCAAGGAAACTACGAGCTTGCTGTCTTCGCAGGTAGGCCACGACTTTACGCGATTGGAAATGCTCATGAGCACACAACAAAGCTCCGCAAAGTACCGGCTGGCGTGGCAGAACAGCTTCAACGAGCGTATCCCTTTCATTCCGCTGCACCGCGGCGATCTGGTGTCAGCTTCAGAAGGCAACTCTACCTTTGTCGGTGACAAGGCAAAGCCGGTCGAGCCTTCCGCGCCGCATCCGGGCACAAGCGTGTACCCAGGCTCCGCGTCGAACCGAAATTCTCGAGAAGCGCCCCCCGGAGGCGTCATGGGTAAGGAGCGGATCAACTGGAAGAAATTCGACATTATGGGCCAAGTGGTGGTGTCGCTGCAACGGGCCCAAGGTACGCCGTACGCCAACTGGCAAAAGAACGAAGAGATTCGCAATCTCGTCCTGGACGTCAAGATCTGCAAAGACGATGATGTGAGTGGTTTCCTTGTCATTTCTTGTTCTTCTGGAAATAGCTGCTAACTCGCGGATTCCACAATCCAGGTTCTCTACGACCGCAGTGTGCAACTCGAAGCCGCCGCCTCGGGCGAGAAAAAGAGGCTGTTCAACTGGATCAGAGAGCGTTAGTGGCCGCTTCTCCTTGTTAACCCTCACCACCCGTCCAGCCCCTATCCAGCCCATGCATCCATCCACCTATCCATGTGTGCTGCCCTCCTATGATACCCACCATCCACTGTGCGGACCCCAGCCCATCGTCGCTGCACAATCGCCATACGCATCGCACTCCCTCATCTATCCACCCCACCCCTCCACTCCACTCCACTCCATCCCATCTCCTTCCTCAGGACATCTAACCCACATCTGCACCTCACCTCCCCTCCCCCTAACCCAGCACACCGCCCAACCTCTCCGTCCATCTTCCCATCCATCCATCCTTTCTTCATCTTCGGGTCCCACCGCTCCACTTTCCATCCTATCCATCTCTATATACACACACAGTACAAACCCGAATTAATCGCGTTTTCTGATTTGAACCTGGATCCTTGGGTTACCGTAAACAGCGCGCCTCTCATTGCCGCATCTGCCCCCCGCGCAAAACTACCAAACGGAAGCGTCGGCGAGTAATTACATGAGGATCTGAGAAAGGAGAGAAGGAAAAAAAATATCGTTGGATACACGGGATTATACGGAATTATGGGGGAACAGAGAGGGGGGGGATGGAAGGAAGAAAAGAAGAAAGAAAAAAAGGGTTTGGGATCGGATTGGGTTGGATTGGGATGATATGGGGAAATCTTAACGAGTTTTTTTTTTATTGTTAAGGGGAGGAGGAGGCGGGGGAAGATTAATGACCACTTTTTCTAACGACTATTTACTTTTTTGAGGGGAGGAAAGGAATGACAGAGAAGGTGAAAGGACAGGAGGGAGAGTGGGAGGTGGGGGGGGGGGGGGGGGGGGGGGCGCCGAAGGAATAAAACATTTAATAAAGAGTTTTCTGGTCAACGTGAGAGGGAAAGGCAGACTATTAGGAATAAGGAAGAAGTAGAAGATGAGAAAGAAAACTAGAAAAGGAGTAATTTAAATGGATACTACATGTTTACGTATATGTGTGTGTGTATGTCAGGCAGCAAATAAACAAGTACAGATATAAGTAGAGATTTGTAGAGAGAGAGAGAGAGAGAGAGAGAGAGAATTACTGACCCTTTAATCTGAAATCTTTATAATACTATATCTTATCTTTTTCCCTCTCTTTCTTTTCTTTACTCCCTCCCTCTCTTCCTGCTTTCTCTCCTTCTTTCTTAATTCATTTACTGCCTTCTTTCTATTATAGTAAAAAAAAAATATTACTACTTTTTTATAATACTATTTTTTTTTTTTAGCTTTTATTTTTTTTAGTACTAAAAAGAAAGAACAATATGCTATAAAAGAAGAAGTAAATAGCAGAAATTTTAAGGTAGAGAGAGAGAGAGAGAGAGAGGGATTTGTAGAGTTAGTTATAGAGTGTAGGAAGATAAAGTTTAAAGGCTTGTTTTAAAGGGCGTTATTAAAATATACATGTATAAGTGTGTGTGTGTGTGTGTGTGTGTGTTCCTGCACAAGCTGTAGAGAAAGAAAAAGGAATCTAATTGCATTGTATTAAAGGAAAAAAAAAAGAGATCCACTAGAACACGGCTTCAACGGTGAGAGATTCGGGTCATGTTCAATCTTCTTCCTAAATCCTTCTCTGTAGAGCATTGAAGAGTATGATGAAGCTAAATAGATTTTCCTTTTGTAAATGTATTATAAACTTATTACTCTATCAACCCTGTCAGCGTCTGCAAATCTCAAAAGGTCTGTTAAATGACTGAGAATTGGAATCTCAGATGGATTATGCGGAAAGTAGAACGGCCATGGTTAAGAACTGGAAACGGCTTCTATTCGTGAAGTTTCTTCTGGGTTGTCTTGCTGTTCCATCTTTGATTTTCGGTACTGTCATCATCGTTAGGCTGAAACCCCAATTCTTTTCTTTCTTTGGCAAGTAATGGAATGGATCCACATACCGACCATTCATCATCCCTGGTTTGTGACCGGCTAGCCAACTGGCTCGGTTTCGCGCGTCGCACGGACTCGATGTAATCGTTGAACTCGACAAAAGTTTTCTTGGCCATGCGAAAATGTTCCATATGCAACTTCTCGCCTCTGGACCGTGCTATCTTTACTGCTGCTCGGAAACAGTGCTTGATCTGCATGCCATTGAGTTCATCTTTTGCGAGCTCACTGGCTCTATCTTCCAATTCAGAAGTACCCCCAAGATCATCTCTAGTATCTAGATCTTGGTCTTGGATGAAGTTACGCCATATCTCCTTACGACCGCTGCTATCCAGAGAAGGAAAATGTACAGAGAATTTGACGCGTGACATGAAAGCCTCATCGAACGTGCCGACCTGATTGGTGGTAAGGAATAGAATCCCACTGAAGTGATCGAGAAAATCGATTAATTGGGTGACGAATGTGTTGTGTACAGTATTTTCAAGTGTTCGTCGGGAAACTAACACGTCTGCATCCCGAAGAAGAGCTACGCAGTTCCAGCTATTTTCGAGACCGATTAAATCCCTAAGGCGAACCCGGACATCTTTCACGTCAGTACCGATATCACTGCAGGAGTATTGGTACAACGCTTTCTCAGCAACTTCAGCGAAGGCTTTTGCGGTAAAACTCTTTCCTGTTCCTGGACCTCCGTGGAAAAGTACGACCAGATTATCTTTTTCAACACCGTTTCGACTTTTGATATCACCGATGGTGGTAGTTGATGTCAATAGCATGGTTAAGAGATTTTTCTTGTCTTGATCCAAGACGAGACGGTCAAGTGCCTTCTTGTTCCAGACCACGGGAGCAGTCTTGGAGATCAACAACGCTTGCCATTGAAGTTTTTGAATATTCAAACCGGGGATTGTAGGTGGTAATAGAAGAAGAAAGTTGCCAGCGGGGGGTCGATCGGACACCATCGCCTCTCTGCCAAGATCGTCATCTAGGCGATGGCTGTTGGTAGATGCGTCATCATCAGAGGAGTATATGGCATGATACTGGGAAGCATTAATCATGAATCGTTCAGCCTGATCCAAAGGTCTTATTAGCCAAGAAATTATGAAGCAGTGAAAGGGAAACTCACAGCGAAATCTTCCAAGTCTGCAGTGGACTCGTTGTATGTTACATAACGCGTATGCCGATAGCTCCAGAACTTGCCCCTAAACGTGCGGGTAAAAGGTCAGTGCAAGATATTAAAGGTCGCCTCAATAGCTTATCATCGCGATAACCACCGCATTAGGCGGTTTCCCGACCATCATGGAACGTAATCTAAATATACGTACCCTCTGATTTCAAAGTATTCGCGGGAGCAGTGCTCGGCGTGTGTGAAAGGCACTACTGATAGAGATGAGATGGGCATGGGTGATCCAGATTCACCAAAATGCGATTGATGAATTTCCAATGTCGAGTTTAATCTCTGGAAATTGCCATCAAAGGCCCAAGAACGAACTTTTACCTGGAGACGAGTCGAATTTTCGTCGGCGTCATTTACAGTAGGCATATCTATCATCTCATGTGCTTGCCAGTAGTCTTTGCTTTTGTTCTGTGTGTGAATGACCAATTCTTCGCTTGCCTAAGTATACACTGTCAAAGGGTTATTCATCAATGGGCAAACCATCCGACAACTTACAAACAGATAAGGCAAAAATTTCCAAGAGATCATCTTTGTTGATAACAGCGACTCTACTGCGGTGTATTCATCACCCATGGAGTCCGAGATGAAGTCTAGCAACGTTTGGACATCGTGACTATGCCGTGATTGTGCGACTGTGCCTTTCAACTCGATTTCTAGCGACTCTCTTGAATGGTAATACCAGAGATAAGGGGCCCGAAGTTCTGCACCGGGGCAGAATTCCGGAAGTTTCGATATATCTGTGACTCTTTGGCACAACTCCCGTAGGGAAGTGCACATCTCCTCTGATGACAAGTAAACTGTCTGATCGAAGTTTGGACCGTCCGAGGCTTCGCATCGATCAAATTCATGCAGACACTTGTAATTTCTGAATACAACAAACGATAGCTGCCAGTTCTGAATCAAGTAGGCGTCCAGGTTGGGTACCGTCCTCCGACCGCAAAGATGTATTGCTGTAGGCTCGTGTGCAGGGTGTTCAGTATCCAGTGCTAACCACTGATTATAGCCACCATTCCAAATATTGTAGCTGGGAGGGTCCAGATAGATGGATGTCGCCTCATGCTGACAAAACACCCTATGCAGAACTTGGTAGCGTGTATCAGTAGCAATTTCAGGTCCGTTGTGGGTATCATCAGCCACGTCTTCCCATTCAGCTTCCAGTGAATGTATTGAGTTTTGGGAGGATTCACTCGGATGCCTGGGAGTGTTTGGTCGTTCGATCTCTAGGCGCTGATAGTCTCGGAGCTCCCATAGCCTGAGGCTTGCGGCATCAGAGACTGCGTCGATCCTCCCCAGCCGTGCTTCTTCCATACTCTCGAGTACGGAAACGTCTGAGATTGACTGCACCTCGCACTTCAGCATATTTCTCTGTCTTTCTGCCGTGTCTAGCCACTTCGTCAGACCTTCAAGATCGTCGATGAGGTCTTTGAGATGCTGGACTAGTTCTGTGAACTTTTGTTTATCTTCGATGGCCCATCGCATTGCGCTTGTGAACTTTGTACCCTTCTGAGTTCGAACGATTTTGTCTCTGAAGTCGTGAAGTTTCTGGCCCAGGATGGTGGTGGTGCTTGGAAGGCTCCTGCCGATCAGGGTATCCAGAGCTGATGACGCCACTGCAAGCACGTGATGCCCTGTCTGCTCCTGCTTGAGACCATATTTGTTCTTCAGCTCTTTACCGTTGTTTAGAAGACTGATCAGATGAAGAAGCGTTGCCTCGATGCAGGATCGAAGTTCTTCATCTTCTAGTCTGTTGTCGTATCTCTCTGGGTCCGCAAACCCGCATGCCCAACCCCATGTCAGCAAGCGCAGTCTTTGGTTGGTGAATTTCGTTTCCAAAATGGTGTATTCTTGACCAAGGTAGCGGCCGCGCTGAACGAGCTCAAAACACTCTATGCAGGACGAAAAGAGGCCTGCTAGACCGGCTACTCCAACACCAAGGCCGATGGCTTCCATTTGATAGTATGTTGAATATTGTCGCAGGTGTTCGAGAATTCGAGGATTCTTTAGGATTTATGTGTTGGGGCATCAGGCTTCACACTGAAGCAGCGCGGCGAAGCCTGCTGACATGCAGTAGAATCCAGTGGTGATGCTGCGCCACAGCATATACGATGCAGAACATGGTGTTGATTCGCTCCATCGACATGCAGGCTAATCTATCCACAAAGCCCACGCATGATGACAACTCAGTGTTCTCAGCCTGATGGTCGCCACTCCCGCAAACTTGAACAAAGCGAATTCACTCAGCATGTGGTTGCATCTGCTGTTGTTGTATAATTTTCTAGAGTCTGTTCTGGTGGATTGATTGGACAAAGCTCACCACTGTAACAAGCGACACTTATCACTCTGTGTGAAGGCAGACTTCTACTCGTCTTCTTGGTAGGAAAGCAGCCTGACCGAGTATGATTTCACAACAAGTGTTGTACTCGGTGTGCAGTCTTCTTCTTCTGGGGACATGAAGTGGATTGTGTGAGTGGTTCGTGGTGGGTTTTTGAACACCACTGTCGACGTATTATGGCCCGCTCTTTATATTGTATGAAATCAACTTATTTCAATCCATCCCAAGACCTACTAGTCATTCGGTTATTGTTCCTCTTCTTCATATGCAGGCAAGCAAAAGAGAAATCGGAGAACAAAGGAGAAAGATGTTTGACATTTGGATATACATTCGAACTACAGTGTGCCTGCCAGTCAATCTATCTGAGTAAAGAGAGCCGCACCTCGACGCCGTCTACTGGTTGAGGTTGACAGGGAAGTTACCGGCCTCACGCTGATCGTCCCATCGTGCAGTCCAGCCACCGGGGCAGAGGGAGCGGTAGGCGTGGTAGAACTGTTCAGCGGAAGAAAAGATGCTAAGTCAGCGCATCGGTTCACTAGGACATATCACGATAGACAGGGCGTACCTGGCGGCAGGGGGCAAAGTCCTCGCCCTTTGCGGTGATGCACTTGTGGTAGTCGACGTAGTTTTGCCAGCAGTGCTTGGTCTGGTTCTGGTTGGGGAAACGGGCGTCGAAGCCTGTGAGGTGGAAAAGGTCAGTATGGATGGCCCGGTATGGGTATGCGCAGTAGGCGGGTTATCAGCGTGTCACGCGAAGCTAAGGCGGCAGGATAGGAAGCGAGAGGGCCAATGGCAGAGCCGTAGGTCGGTGGGAGCATGCGGAGGCTGTTGGAGGTGTCGCAGGGGCGCATGAAGACATACCGGCTGTGAGGAAGATGTGTGTTAGCTTAGCTCTCGGATAGCTTGTGAAGAGCGAGGAATTGCCGGCAGAATGGCGGGGGAGAGCAACGTACCTGTGACGAACTTGAAGGGCTTGGTCTCGGTCTCGCCGTCAGACATGATTGCGGTGTTTTTCGGGTTTGCGTGGGAACGGCGGGGGTGGGCAAGTGGGTGATTTGGATATGGATGACGGAGAGGCGAGAGGTGAGGTTGGCGATGAATGATGGTCTGATTCGATGGGCAGCTGCGCTTTGTGCCGCTAGGGGCTAGCGGCTTGGCATTTGGGGAAGGGAGGGAAAGTGGTGCCAGGCGAAGCTCAACTTCAATGTGACGTGAGCTAACCAGCGACCTCTCTCTTTCTCTCCTTCAGACCCCCACACGCGCCCCCGACCACCCCCGCAGCCCAAAGAACAATCCACACCGACTTCACCATGTTCAAGGCCACCAGGATGCTGGCTATGCAGCCCACCCGAATGATGCTCATGCGTCAAACCGCTCCTCTGTCCATGCGCCAAACCGTTCCTCTGTACATCCGCCAGACGGCCCGCATGATGAAGCCTGTGCCCGTACGTATACATGCACGTCCACAATCAAAATTACACTCATTGACTCGGAGTAGAAGGAAGAACACGGTGGTAAGGCATTGGCTTGCTCCGTCCCGCAGTGCTCGCGATATATGCAACTGCGCTAGCACGAGTGACGAACCGAGAGTTGACCCTACCATTGCAGCTCACACCATCTCCCAACGCCTCCGCCAGCTCAAGAACATCCCCGTTGAGATTATTCCTCTCCGTGAGTGACCCTCTCCAACATTGATCTGCTGGCGGGTCGTAGACTAACCTCATGTCTGCGCACAGTTTTCGTCTTGGTGTAAGATACCCCATCTCTCCATCCCAATCCGGCTCGAAGCTGGACTTGGGGGCATTCATACATTTCTCTCGACATACACGTCGTGAACTTTTGATCTGACAATGTTCTTAAATGTAGGGTTGCCGTCGGTGCTGCCTTCTTCTCGCTGGGCAGGAAGCTCGTTGTCGACAAGACCCTCCGCCTCAAGAGGCAGCGCGGTTCTGAATAGACGCGCCCACAGAACCAAGGTCCGATTCCGCCTCGAGTCATCCGCAGTGAGAAACATTGTGTTAGGTAGACGGGAGGCCTCGGGGGCGGGGGTGAAAGGCAACTTGTATAAATTTGGCGAGAGTGGACTCATCCTTCACATCTACGCGTGGCCGGCCGGTTCGTTTGCATTTAGAAATCCGAAACATCAACTATTCTCTTTTGTTCTTTTGCTACATATATATACATGAATGCTCTGTTGGTGATGGTGGTGGTATCATTTCCCGCCCCATCGTTAAGTGCGACGCCCAACGCCTTTTGAGATTGTTTGATTGGAACATGATGAGAACATGATACTATGCTTGCTTTGGGCCAGCCTCGTCCAACCCCTCGAGACCTTGCATGGGATCCATGGGCCCGTCGCTGGGTGCTTGTTCTGTCTGCTGTTGGGTTGCCTGGCGATCCTCCTCGCTGACGGCATGCTTCGCTATCCAGCCCTCCTGCACAAATGTTAGGTCAGGTACAGGTCCGTAAAAATGGAAACAAGAAATAAGGGACGAAAGGAGGAGCTTTGAAAAAAAAAAGGAAAAAAGAAAACGGGCAGGGGGGAAACAAGATGATACATACCTGCTCCCAAACGGCCGTCTTACTCCCCAGTCCCTCACCATGCTCCTTTTGCGGCTTCGCAGGCGCAACCTTGATGACCTGACCATACAACTCGCTGCGATCCATGTTGTCGATGGCATCTGCAGCATCGCCGGCGCTCTCAAACTCGACATAGCCGAAACCCTTGTGCGCGCCATCCCCCTTCTTACCACCACCGCCGGAAGCGTTGCTGTTGCTGCTGTTGTTATTGCTAGAGTTGTTGTCGGTTTTGGGCAGGTTGACATCGACAATGTCGCCAAAGGGGAGAAAGGCGTGGTAGAGGGTTTGCTGGGTGACTGCGTTGTCGAGGCCGCCAACGAAGACGGTTGCTTTGAGACGTGAGGTAGAGGGGGGAGCGGGTGTGGATGTTGATGTTGATGTTGCCATAGTGTGTGTGTGTGTGTTCTTTTCCTCTTTCTCTTTCTGTCTTTCTCTCTTTTTATCTTTGCTAGAAGTGTGTGTTTGTTTTATTTTTTATTGCGCAAAGTTTGAATGTTGATGGCGGAAGCTACTGCGTGTGCAGGCAGGCAGTCTGGAATGAGTTGATATTCACGTGATGCGATGGATGCTGCACACATGTGCACGTGCAGAGGATCGGAGGCGGGCCCACACAAAATGCAGCCGGGTTATGTAATATGCGCCGCGCCAAGACAGCGGGCAAGCAAGCGAGCGAGCGATGAACGAGGGTCGGAGAGCATGGAAGGGGACATGTATGCTCCATTGCATTAGGCCAGGTGGATGCTTCCAGTCAGTGAGACAAGACTACACACCACTTACTTCTACCTCTCCCCCTCCATCTCGCCCCCCCGTACTATACCCTCGATAAATTAAATCGTTTCCGCCGGCCGATTGTTCCATTTCCTTCCTGTTGTTGCTGTTGTTGGTCCTGTTGTTCGTCGGCGACTTTCCTTCCTTCTTGCACCACCACTGCCGTCATCACTCTCGCTCGCAGTGTGAGAGAGACAGACCACCCTCCACCGCCGCCGCCATGGTCCGTCTACGAGAAATCCCCCGGACCGCCACTTTTGCATGGTCGCCGGGCCCAACCCAGCCATTGATTGCTACAGGCACCAAGGCCGGTGCTGTCGATGCCGACTTTTCCAATGATACCGCCTTGGAGCTGTGGGAGCTCAACTTGGACAGCACCGACCAGGGCGTCGAGTTGCAGCCCGTTGCTACCCTCAATGTGGAGTCGAGGCAAGCTCCCCTCCTCCTTGCCTTTGGTCTGTAGCCATTGCGAGACTAATTGTATACCCAGGTTCAACGACATCGCCTGGAGCGTGCCCTCGGAGCAGTACCCCCGCGGCATAATAGCAGGCGCATTGGACAGCGGCGCATTGGTCCTGTGGGATGCTGAAAAGCTGCGATCCGGCGCAGACGACGCCCAAATCGAGCAAATCGACAAGCACACCGGTCCCATCCAGGCCATCCAATTCAATCCCTTCCGGCCCAACATCCTCGCCTCCGCCGGCGCAAAGGGTGAGCTCTACATTCACGACCTCGACGACGAATCCAAATCCTTCCGCCTGGGCAAGGCTGGTGCCAACCCCGACGAATACACTTCCTTGGATTGGAACAAAAAGGTCTCGCACATCCTCGCGACCGGAAGCAGTGGTGGATTCGCTACCGTGTGGGACGTCAAGGGAAAGAAGGAGAACCTCACATTGAACAACTTTGGAAGGAAATCCATAAGCGCCGTCTCCTGGGACCCCGATGTCCCCACCAGACTTGTCACCGCTATCCCCACCGACCAGAACCCCCTCGTGTTGGTCTGGGATCTCCGAAACTCAAATGCCCCCGAGAAGACATTGCAAGCACACGACCAGGGCGTGCTTTCTATATCGTGGTGTGCTCAGGATAGCGATATCCTCCTTTCCTGCGGCAAAGATAACCGCACGATTGCCTGGAACCCGCACACCGGCGAAGTATTGGGCGAGTTTCCCGTCGTCACCAACTGGACTTTCCGCACCGCTTTCAACCCTTCAAACCCAAATATCCTCGCCACAGCCTCTTTCGACGGAAAGATCGCCGTGCAGACATTGCAAAACACCGGAAATACGACAGACCAGACCAAGTCGTCTTCGCAGGCCCTCGACGGCGAAGATTTCTTCTCCAAGACCCACGTGGAGCCCCAGGGCGCATCCTTCACTCTTAAGACCCCACCAAAATGGCTGCGACGACGTGCTGGTGTTTCTTTTGGATTCGGAGGCAAGTTGGTCAGATTCGGGATGGCGGAGAACAAGTCCAAGATCAGCATATCGACTTTTGTGGTCGACTCGGACATCGGCGCTGCTAGCGAAGAATTTGACAAGGCTTTGGAGAAAGGCGACCTCGCTGCGATCTGCGAGTCGAAGATCTCAAAGGCTTCCACCGATGAAGAAAAGGCGGATTGGACCGTCATCGAGACGCTCATCTCGGAAAGCCCTCGCAGCAAGCTGGTCGAATATCTTGGCTTGGCGGACAGCAAGGAGGAGGTGCCCGAGGAAAAGAAAGAGGCCGAGCCCACAACGGAAGACGGCGATGAAGGCGCCTCTTTCTTCGATCAATCTGGCGAGGGTGGAAGCTTCCTTTCCGATCTGGCCGCATCAAAGGGCGCGAAGACGAACAACCCGTTCCAGGTGTACACTGGCTCCGAGTCGGAGGCCGACAAGAAGATCACCCGCGCGCTTACCCAAGGCTCCTTCGAAAAGGCCGTCGATATCTGTCTTAAGGAGAACAGACTGTCTGACGCATTCATGATTGCCATCTGCGGCGGCGAGAAGTGTATCGCGAAGGCCCGGGCCGCGTATTTCAAGAACCAGACCGACGGTCCAAATTACACGCGGCTGCTGGCCTCCATTGTCGGAAACAACCTGTGGGATGTCGTCTACAATGCCGATCTTAAGGACTGGAAAGAAGTCATGGTCACACTGTGCACCTTTGCTGACGAAAACGATTTCCCTGATCTCTGCGAAGCGCTCGGCGATCGTCTCGAGGAAGCCATATCCGAAGACGATTCTTACCGTAAAGATGCATCTTTCTGCTACCTGGCAGGTTCCAAGCTGGAAAAGGTTGTGGTCAACTGGGCGCAAGAATTGCAGGAAAGCGAGGCCGAGGGCGTGGAAAACTCAAAGGACGACAACAGCTTCTCCATCCACGCGCGGTCACTCCAGGACTTGATCGAGAAGGTCACTGTTTTCCGACAGGTCACCAAGTTCAAAGACGCGGAGCAGACCAAAGAGTCGGACTGGAAGCTCGGCCCTCTTTACGCCAAATATGTCGAATACGCTGACATCGCCTCTTCTCATGGACAACTGTCCATTGCGGAGAAATATCTCGACCTTCTCCCTGAAAAGTATCCCGCCGCAGATGTGGCCAGGGACAGGATCAAGAAGGCCGTCAGGAAGACTGCTCCCCAAGCGTCCACGCAACGACAGGCACAGGCTCCCGCTGCTCAGCGAGCGTCTCGTGTCGTGCCGACCTACCAAGCTCAACAACCAGCTGCCATTCCGCCGCAGCAGACGAGCTCGCCGTACGCACCCATCAACCCGCTTTCTGCCCAAGCACAATCGCAGCCCGCTGCTCCCAGCGCAAGAGCCGCTTACACTCCTGCCGGCTACCAACCTCCTCAGAACTCCATGCCTCAACCGGGATATGGAGGCTACCAGCCGCCTCAGCAGCATCCTATTGCGCCTCCTCCGCGCAACAACTTCAGCGGCTCGCCAGCACCACCGCCAGCAGCAACTCGACGGGACATTCCCGCTTGGAACGATACTCCCGATTTTGGACCCCCGAAGCCTGCTTCTCGACGCAGCACGCCTCTCAACGCGGTAAACTCGCCCTACGGTGCACCACAGGGACAGTCACCGACGTTCCCTCCCAAGCCATCACTTCCGCCTCCACCAAAAGGACCTTTGGGCCCGCCGCGTGTCGCATCGCCCGCTACATCTTCGACTCCTCCCGCCAATCCTTATGCTCCTCCGCCACAGGCATCGAATGCGTACACTCCTCCTCAGCCGACCGGTTTCGCGCCACCACCGCAACCGCCTGTGCCTCGTGGTAACTCGCCCTATATGCCTCCACCGTCAGCCGCTCCCCCATCCAACCGGTATGCGCCCGCACCAGGGTCGACCCCATCAGCTCCACCGCAGGGAGGCATGCCGCCACCCCGACAAGTTGCTCCCCCGCCCACCCAATTCGGCGGTCCATCACCCTATGCTCCCGCCGCTGCGTCGTCACCGTATGCTCAAGCTCCTCCTCAAGTGCAAGCGCCACCGCAAGCAGCTCCCCCTCCGCCACGAGGCCCACCGCAGGGTCCCCCGCGAGCTGGCCCTCCTCCAGGCGGGCCTCCCAGGTCAGACTCACGCCCAGGAACGGCCAACTCGCAAAGGGCAGCTGCAGCTCCATCAGCTCCCAAGCACCGTAAGTACCATTCATTGACTTTACGCCCGCTCCCCTCACACTAACACTATTCCAGCTGCTGGCGATCGCTCGCACATCCCCGATGCATCGCGCCCTATCTACGAGATCCTCGATGCGGACCTTCAGCGCGTTAAGGGTAAAGCGCCTGCGCAGTACAAGCAGCACATCTTGGACACGGAAAAGCGACTCAACATTCTTTTCGACCACCTCAACAACGAGGACCTGCTCAAGCCTGGCACCATCCAGGAGATGAACGAGCTCGCGGGCTTCTTGCAGAACCGCCAGTACGACCAGGCGATTGCGGTGTTCTCGGATATTATGACGAACAAGACGGATGAGGGGAGCAACTGGATGGTAAGTTTATTCTTTTGCGTGTTACTGTGGCGGGTGAAATGAAAGAAGGAGTGCTAATTTTTGCGAATAGGTTGGTGTCAAGAGGTTGATTCAGTTCAGCAAGAGCACGCCTCACTAGTGGGTGGCAAAGGCAGAATCGGCATAGTGTTGGACTTGTTGTTACATGACGATGATGATGGGCTGGGTAGATAAACAGATATAGCGAGGTAGCGATGGTAGAATCCGTCGTATGATGGATTTAGGTGGTCTGTAGGCGGAGAATCGCAAGTGATGATGATGATGAATGAAAGAAAAGTTGGACGATTCTCTCTATTTCACAAAAATTCTTTATTGTGCATTCTTTGCCGTTTCTGCCGTCGACCTCTTGACTCTCTTCCCATCTGTATCTATAGCGACTATATGTGCACACCGCGGAGACCACACACTTTAAACGAAACACCTAGTCAAATTGGATGAAGATTGCTAGGCAAGTTGTTAGGTGATTTCTTGTGTTGTTATGCTATGCTGTGTCAGATCTCGTCAATCGCTACAGCCTCATGCGCATCTGAGCATGTAAGTTGTTGCATGCTAAGTGGCTATGCAGTACAATGTTTCGATCCACTGACGGGATATTATAGCATGTCTGGATATTTTATAATAAGTTTTGTATTCCGCTGCTTTTTACAACTGCTGAGAGGGGTAGATAAGAAAGTACATTGTGGACAGTCTACATTACCTCACTCTTACTCTCTCTCTACTATTATATCATAAAACACAACACACTACCCCCCCAAACCATCCCACCCCTCAAAAAACCTCAACCCCATCCTCCTCCCTACACCCCGCAAACCCAGCCTGCTGCCACATCCTAACCCTCCTAACCAGCATCTCGCCGCCCTCCTTCCACCCGCCCTCCCACTCCCCCCTCGCGCGCCAAAAATCCCGCTTCGCAGTCAAACTCGCATCGACCCACGGCTTCCCCGCCTTGCCGTCTTCAAACCACCCGTCGGTGCCGCCGACGCCGACGTTGAGCACGAGGTAGAAGGCGCGGTCGAAGGGGGCTTGGTTCTGGTTGCGGGCCGACGCCCACGGGTTGGTGAGGCGGGTGCCGTTTGTGGTTGTCAAGGGAAAATGCGAGGAGTCGTAGAAGGGGGTTGTCAGCGGGTGGTAGAGGATTTGGATGAGGCGGGAGTTTATGTATGTGAAGATGTAGTCTTGGGTCCACTATTCCTCAATTCGAATTTTTTAGTTTCAGTCAGGGCGATTTTTGTTTTGTTTTTTTTTTTCTGTGAAGGGGAAAGATGGGGGAAAGATGGGGTGGGATGGAAGGAGAGAACTCACCTCGACGCCAAACGTATTAAACTCGTCGCTGAACGTCGTATGTGCGGCTTTGCGCTTGACATTGTTCCTCCACCACGCGTCGTTGGCGCGGTTCGGCCCCAGATGCAGCGTGCTGCTGACAATGTTGTTGCCGCCCTGCGCATACGAGTAGTTGTTGCCCCTCGCCTTCGCAATGTCAATCTCCCCGGACCGCGGCCACGCCCCGTACGCCTCGTCCCGCGGAAGCATCCATATCGCGGGCCACAGCCAATCGCCCTTGGGCAGCTTCGCCTCGACCTCGACGCGCCCGAAGAGGATGGAGGCTGCGTGCCGGGTGTTGAGGCGGGCGGAGAGCACCGGCGGGACGATGGTGCCGTTTGTGGTGTTGGTCATGGCTACGCAGTCGTGGTGGTGTGGGGAGGTGCAGCCTTGGGTGCGGAGGTCGAGGAGAGTTCCGTGGGTTTCGACGAGAGACGCGTTTTGTAGGGTTGGTTTGATGTGCAGGATTCCGTTGTGGACGTATGCGTTTTCTGGGGAGGAGGTGGTTTGCTCGAATTGGCCGTTGCTATGTGTTATTCGCGCGGGTTAGATAGGTACGTGGTGCTAAGTGGATGGATACTTTGGGGCCATGGCGATTATGGCCATGGGCTGATATCTGCCACAAGACTGTACAGAAAGAGAAAAGAAAAAATGCGGGTGAATGGCCTAGGCAAACCTGGTTGAAAGCAAGGAAGGGAGGAATCTACGTACCCGTACCCTCCGAGCTCGATCTCGCGAGTCCAAATCTCGGGACGTAGGCCTTGGGAAAAATCTTCGTCTAGGACGCTGCAGTACTTGTAGTTTGTGACGCTGTGGTATCCATCCCAGACGAGAAACCCAGCGACCAGAAGTCCAATAACGATACCTACACCGAACAACAACAAACAAAAATCAGTAAGCGTGCAAACAATACGCCTCGTCTCAATAAGCCTAATATGCCGTGAAGGGAAAGAAGAAGGAAAGGAGAAAACTAACCCAACAATGGAATACTCAACAACCACTTCTCCTTAGGATCCCTCTTCTCAAGCCACGGCCGCTTCGCCTGCACCCCAGGCTTGATCCGCCTCGACGCGAACCACTTCTCCTCGCGCACAAACGCAGCACCACCAGGAGCAAACGCGATACTATCCGTCGGCGTGACGGCTCCGGAGTCGAACCCACCCAGCGGCTGCTGATGCTGTTGCTGCTGCTGCTGGTGGTGGCGGTAGAGAACCTCGTTCCAAGGGACCGAAGGCGTGGGGGGGATCGGCGGGTACTCTCGGACCAGATTCGCGACGTACGAGGATGAGAAGGAAGCTGCATCCAGGGACTTTGAGCGGGTTGAGTGAGGGGTTGGTGAGGTTGGTCGTTCGGTTTTGGCGGCGGCATCGTGGGTTGGGGGCAGAGCGTACTCGATTGGGGGGATGGGCATAATAGCGTCTACATCGTTGCCTTGCTTTGGTGGGGGATTTGTGGGCTCACTTTTGGGGGTGGCAGGGTCGTGTGGAGGTTTTGTGCTTTGGTCATTTGAAGACATGATGATAGCTCGTAGGTGGGTTCAATAGGGTTTCCGAGGAAAGGAGGGGTGGTGGCAGTTGGAACACGATATTGCAGGTACACATGAGGGAAAAGTCTTGATACATTTGTTGGGTCATGGGCAATCTTGCTGGCTTCAGGAAAATATAATGTTGAATAAAAGGCAGTGGATGGTTGGCTGCAGTCCTTAGCGAGCTCTACAAAGCTTCAGTCTATGATGATAATATCATAGATCTGGGCGTTCACTGGCCCGCTAGATCCCACAAAACGCCAATATGAGCATATAAAATGCAAAGGCCTTGTATGATTACTGCATCGTAGAAATTACTGCGGAAGTAAGCTTGGGAAAAGAGTAGCAAGATAGCAAAGTATACTGTGATGTTGTTGGCAATGTTTGAAAGATGAACTCAAAAAACCAAGTGGGTGACCTCGCGATGATTTGAACATCCCAAAAACAACCGTTGCCAAGTAGATCCCAACATACCAGCTATGACGCAGGTATCATCAATCATACTCTGCACAGGTTAAAGCAGTTTTGCAGGGTTTGTGCTTGCTTGTCTTCTGGTAGATTTAATTTATCTTATCACTGATGGACAAGACTGTGACACACTTATCCGCCTTCACCAATAACTTAATTGACTCTGAGTGATTAATGGGGAATTCTTCATCCACAATCGAAATGAATGGAGCACAGATTGTAGTTTGATAATACCAGATCTATGAGAAACTATCTTCGAATTGTTCCTTCGTCTTTGTGCGCAAAAGACTCGCCTTGGAAAAGCAGAGTTGATAATATTGGGAACGTCGGCATCATGCAAAGAGGAATGCGAAGAAGGGCCAAATTCCACGAGTTATTAGATCTAGATTTATTCCTTTGAGTTATAGTTCAATCGTACCGGTATTGGAGTTAAACTGAGCCTTGGGCGGTATGTCTATGTTATTAGCGAGACTTGAGAGTGGCGGAGTAACAATGATTCTACAAATGCACGGGCAATTATTTAAAGCACGTTTAAAAATCCTGCTTAACTGCGCATGCTTAGCCGCCGGCCAGTTGTCACGTTGGTCTACTAACTTGTCACAGCCTACTGTATGTGCCCTCCGTACATTAACCGCCCATGTCTTCTACGACAGTTCCTACAGATCGTTGAAATACAGTGAAGACGAGAAGTATCTTACAGCCACAACTATGAATCCTTCCTGAAATCTTGCTAATACCAGGTGAATTTCTGCCTTGCCTCTTGTCACACAGAGGTACAAGGCTTTCTTTAGCTTGCATTACAGTTAAGTAGTTTGCTTGCTATCTCGACTAATCAATTTATGTTGTAGCAACCCCAGATGTTCAGCAGCGCAATGTATGTACTAATACAGGAATTTCGCAGCTTTACGTAGTGCTAAGTTGAACCTCATCTTTCTCCATCACATCTAATAATCCCGACATCACACACGGTACAGCACGGCAGCTTTGTCGCACCAGTAACAACTCCGAGAACTGCGCCACATTGGAGTAGCGAATCGCCCAGCCGGCTTCGTATAGACATCAATGAGGATTGGAAAAGGCATAGGCTGTGCAGGGGCATTTACTGGGATGAGCATGGAGCACTCGTCAGCCACACCAAATCCCCGCATTCATCTGCAAGCAAGGTAGTAGTTTATGCTGCAGTACCTTCTCCCAAGTTTCGCGATTCATTCATATAAATTTCACCGCTTGTGCCTATCACACGTTCCATTCTTTCATGCGCAGTCAGCTCATCAACCAGCGCTCTACTCTGTCCCTGTCTCAGTCTCACTTGTGACCATGTCCGAGTGCACCTTCTCCTACGTCGAAAGTATTTCGAAATATTTCCTTGTCAAAGATGTTTTGTGGCTCATAGCCGTCCTTTGGGTTTTTGTTGCATGGATTGTTATTCGGTACCGGTTCCCGCATGCGCGCAGGATCGCGGGAAGTTTGTACGGGGCCGCGCTCAGTCTGCTGGTTGTGTAAGTTTCGATTTCAAGATTTCTACCGAGCTACATATAAACATTGCGTGTGATTCTGCAATTGAATTGGCGTTCTCAAAGAGGGACATAAATTACTAGGATAGATTGAACGGAACAGTGCTAACAATGACAGCTCCCGCATTTTGTATATGTCCGAAACAATTCTCGGTGAATGTGACGACCCGAGCAGACGTAGTCACGATATCTGGAAATGGCTGGTCGCTCTTCTTATTCTCATACGGCTATCCGAGTATATACTTCTCGTCGTCTTCCTATGGGCCTTCCCACGGGTCGTCAACAGCGTCACGCGACCCCATCGATCCCACGGCGTACAGAAGTCCTTCACGAGCATAGCGGCACATGCTATGTTGGCAATACTACTACCGCTGAGTATCGCCAGTACCGGCTATTCCAGCTACGTATACCTGATGCAGAGGCACCAACGTATGCGCATTTCCGAGGGCGAGAAACCGTTCCTCCAAGGGGTCGCCATTGGGGATCTCAGATCTGGAATAGATCCGCAAATCGAGGTGGACTTCATATTCAGGCTTGTATTTACCGGGATATCTTTAGTAGGAGTTATTGTGGGCTCCGTGATGGCGTGGAATGCTTCTTTATCCATGCCAGACCCGGAAAAGTATCAACCGGTAAGTGGCCTCCCTTCATGTGTCTCCTATGAGCCATACTCTATCAAAATAGGCTCTTTCTGACTAGACCACCCAGAACATCTCCAATTGGACACGAGTTCTTGTGATCTCTATGGTCTTGGCGGAAATCACTCGAGTCATCAGTGCAGGCGCCTTGACCGCAGGCTACTACTTTGACGAAGATGCTTACGCGGGAATCGACGTTTTTCAGGGAATTTTCACGGTGCTATCGTACGCATCGTTGCTTCGGATTGCCAAGTCCAACATCTGGAAAGGCGCAGCGGAGGGAAGTATAGTCGTGCTTCGCGATGTGCTAAGTATCGACGGCACTAGAGACCCGGAGGCACGAAGCGCTCGCGATCAACATGAGGTGTGATGACAATTCTGCGCCACAATTTTACATCATATAGGAACAGTGTTAACAGGGTAGATGAGGTTGGTTGCCTGTAATGTCTAATAAAGTAATAATTGTGCAGTTCTATTTATATATTCTGTACACGAGCCTACTCGCGTAGTAGCTCTTACATTGCGCCGGGTCCTACCCGAGCAAAGGCAGCGTTCGAGCATGTAAGCTGAGCTCTCTTTTTCTGTTTTAAATTGTTCTTTGCTTTTTACTAAATTGCTACTCACGCAAGGTTAGGGCTAATGCGGGTTAGCCATCTTGCTTATAACAGTGGCAACATAATGTACCGTCTCATTATAAACTGCGGGTTGCGCTAATTAGTCAGCAAAGTCTTGCATTCTTCCTTTGTCTTTTTTACTGTATCTAGCTTCCTGCTATAAAGTTGGTCACGTCACGCAGGACATACGTTTGACCTCTTGTAAGTCTTCCCCCTCTACTATTCTCCTGGATATAAGCCTGCATTACACCTATTCCTGCCCCGCAACTTGCCAGTGTGTCCCTCAAATATAGGCGCAGTCAGAATAATTGGCCCGGATTCTTTTAGCGGAGATTACCTACCCTACAACTATGTAATATATCGTTGGGACGTCAGATACGTCACTACGTCAAATGCGCAGTCAACTATCGAATATGATACTCAACAAATGTAGGCGCAATAAGAATGGTTGGTCCGGCTTCTTGTGATACGCACTATCTTTGATACAAGTCTAGTATGGGAAAGTAGATGTGGACCTTATGCTACGCAAAGGGCATTATATAAGATCTGGGAATACTACCACCAGTGCGAAGAAGGAACTTTTACTCTAGTTTATCTCCACAACCAAGTCTTCAAAATTATGGATAGAATACAGAGTGTTAATATTGGTATGTCATACAATCTTCATATCGTAAAAGGGCTAAATATTTCCAAGATCAGTTGAACTTAAGAGATCATGACACCGTTGTCTGGCCAGTCGAATATGCGTACGACTACATGCCGACGAGCGAACAACACTCGATCCCGCTTTCGATCGATCTCTCCAACTTTCCTGACCTTGAAGCTCAGTCGATCGATGTAAAGGCTAATCTCAGCCAAAACTATCCCGACGTCCACTTTCCCATCCAGATCAACGAGAAAATCAACTCAAATAGTATTCCCGTTTTCCCTGTTCATGCCAATCTTCCATGGCGCTCTTCAATCCATCACGTCCGCCAAAGCGTACACTGGAGAGCCAGCATTGAAGCAACACAAAAACTACTTCAGCTCTTTGCTTCTGATACAACTGCAAACCAGGTGTTTAAAGAGGGGGGTAAATCATATGCTGAAGTAGCGGCCATAGAGTTATCCAATCTGCATTGTAACTGGACTAGATTCAATGCATACTTGTGGCCAGCTTTGAATGAGAAGAGAATACGACTCATAGCAGAGACTATCGTTTACATTTTCATCTTCGATGGTAAGGTGTTCTCCGTACAAGCAGCTTGCGAATACTAATAGTTTTTGCCGTAGAAATTTGGGAAATGAGTAATGCGACCACCGTACGTACAACAATACTAGTTCCTTGACATGCACTTTACTCACACCCGAACTATAGATCCAGAGGATACAAAATGAATTTGTATCACGACTGAAGTCTCGTGATAGCCACCCAGATGATAGAGCAACGTCGGAGCTGCAAGAAGCTCTGTTTTCTACAATCCAAGGACTTCACGAAGAGGATCACATCGACGGGAACGGAGGAGCTGACGTAGCCGCAGCATTGCTACAGTTCATCAATCACCCTCCACCACCCACCAAGTTCAATAACTTACGAGAATTCTTAAATTACAGGATAATCGATGCAGCTGCGTTGTAAGTGATTTCAGGGCTATAGTCACTGGAATTTAAGCTAAACAAGAAAACTAGTTACACTATAACATGCGCAAAATTCTCACTTTGTTCGAGTGTCGAACTATCCAGCCTTAGAATTGCCAATTTCCTAAGGTTGCTCGAGGATCACGTAGCAATAGCAAACGATCTTTACTCATTCGCGAAGGAGAAAAAAGACTACTTACGACACAAAGTCCGCTATCTCATAAACACGGTTGAAGAGGTCCGGAAGACGTTTGCACTGGCTGATGATGAGAGTGCGATATTAGTCACATTAGCGATTCAAATCGAAGTGGAGAAAGCAATGGCAAAAGAGCTCTTACGACTGAATTCTAACAGCGAAGTGACGGAATCCGAAAAGGAGCTGGTTAACGCGCTGGTCTTCTTAGCAAGTGGGAATATTATGACGTCAATTACGATGTCTCATTATAGAGTTTAGGATTCCTTTTGTAGTGGCAACCGGCTTTCTTTTTCTTTTTTTTTCTTTCGTAGTTACCACTCATGGTAATTACCTTGTGAGTATCTTTTAGTTTCAGTACGTTTATGTAGTACACTATGAACTATGCAGCTGCTACACCAGCCTCTTACTCCCATTAAGTTTTTAGTCCTTAGATTGCACAGAAGTTCAGTTTTACGCCACTATCAGCTTTTATACTCACCTTGCCACCCAAAGGCTATCGAGCTCAACAACCATGCGCGTCACTCCCATTTAAGGTTTCAATGTATGTGACACTTGACAAATTTCCCTAGTAAATTGTGTGAAGTTAAAGAACTGATCAATAACTTAAGGCCATCGCTTGGACATTGACAACAGCCGATGTTATGCTCGTGGTCGGCCGATTCCGAATTCATTGGCGAAAAAATAGACGATTCGGATGGGACGACTATTTGAACGGTCTCGCATTGATATTCCTTTTTGGTTTCATCATCACTTATCAATTATTTGTACCCATCGAATACAATGCCCAGCTTTTAGCTTTGGGCATGGGTGGCACGCCTCCAACTGAACGTGATATAGTGCTGGATATGAAGTTGAATGTTACAAACGGCATAATGTTTTGGTGTATCATATACAGCGTCAAGGCTAGTTTTCTGTCACTCTATTGGCAGATATTCGAATTCTCAAACGGGTTTCGTGTGTGTTGGTGGCTCGTTACTGTGTATACTGTTCTCACTTTCTTGATCACAATACCATCATGGTTCTGGAACTGCGGCGCACCACAGGACTTCCTCAACATGGGTAACTCTGATCCCAACCAGCTTAAGGCGAGAACTGTATCTGACTGAGGTACAGAATTGTGCAACAATCGGTCTAGACAGCGGACTCTCAGTCTTCTTGTTATGTGGTGTGTGCTGAATGGACTTGGAGATCTGTTTTGTAAGTTCTCTCGAGGCACAAAATTTCTTGTATGCTAATGCAGAATAAGTGATGGCATTACCAATCGCCATGCTAAGAAGTATGATGATGAAGACGTCTCAGAAGATTGGTATTCATCTGGTTTTCGGTATCGTTCTGATCATCATTGCTTTCGTCATCTTGCGCACTGTGTTCACTCTTCAAATGAAACCGGAATTTCAAGATGAAAACGCGATTTGGGCGATACTCGAATCCACGATTGCAGTCATGGTCTGCGCACTACAATGTTACCGAGGCCTTCTATCTTGGAGTGCATCATCTTCCTCTATCAATTCTTTCATCTTCTCGTTCCGCGGGTTTTCGAACACATCAAAGAGGGATGTCTCAGATGGCCCGGTCAAAGTTTCTCCAATGAACAATATTTCAGAAGCTTCATCATAGAAGTCCTCGGTATTGGAAGAAGAGTACTTTGAAGTGCCTCCAAATGTTAAGCGCTAAGCGTTGGTAATCAAACACTGGCCATCTACGGTACTAAAACAGCAAATACCCTGCCAAACATAGCAGCCAACGTCTTTACGATAGATGCGGAGCATACTCTCATGGAAATGTATTATCATGCCCACATCAAGGCACAAGCCGCAACTCACGAGGAAAATGCACCGCGAAAAAACGTCGAAAGCGGGGGAGCTGTTGTTCAGACCTTGATGATTTGTTCCATGTGAACTCCAGACAGCACAACTCATTTCTTAGGTGATAGCACAGCAGAGGATACGCCTGAGGCTGGACTGGGAATCGGCTGGACAAGCAGACTGATAGGTCGTATTCTGATGCCGGCGGGATACGACATTATGCTGAAGCACCGTTCGATTGGAGATGAGCAGTGCAAAAAGTGATCAGCGAGGTATCAAGTCAAAGCAGTTCAGCTGTGGGTTTCGGGCTCAACCCTGGGGTAGCATAGCGATCTGAAGCTGTGAATACAATCTATCTGTATTGACATCGCATTCAACTTTATGTTATCGAACGCCGTGCAGGAGATACGAATCACTGGTAGCACCCTTCCAATCTAACAGCAAAAACGCGTTACCTACCCATCAATTCACGAAACTTAGCGCGCGAAGATGGCCATCCTGCGGGAGGACCCGCGTCAGTACGCATTTACAGATCTTACCTACATGCGCAGCATCGGGAATGCATTTATTGTCTGCCTACTTTTTAATATGTGATATGATTCGTATCGTCTCATTGCGCTGCCTGATTCCACAAAGCCAAGCCCACACCAAACAAACGGGTCCGGCCTTGATTATTGCATCACTGACTTGGTGAACACTTCACAAATATCTGCAATGCAAGGCTGTTCACCGGCTAATGATGTATTCGTATTAATATAAATATGTACGTATTTGTGTCACGGGTGGCGCAGTTTACTCCTTGACCTAATGCAGCTCGGTGCTTATGCCAGTCGTCTCAAGTGCTGCTGCCCCAACTGCCTCTGCTGCCTCTTTTCACTCTCCATCCTCCATCGGTGCCCAATCCACATATTGATAGCTTGCTCATTTTTTCTGAGATTATTCGTGTTCAGCAAACAAGAACGCGCATAATGGCAGCTATCACGTGGTTTACGGCTGCTTCGGTCTTGGCCGTCACCCTGTTAGGTTCATTTGTTCGTAAGGCGTACGCGCATCGCTTAAAAATGAATGAGCTACAAAAGCAAGGAGTTGTAATTTGATCATGGTCCGCGCTTGATGTATGTTGTGCTGGCTGGCTGATACCCGCATCAGGCAATGCCAGACGGATGGAGTTGGTTTACAGGCCATCTTCTCATCCTCCAAAAATATGTCGATAAGCTTCCTCCCGATGCCAACGTAAATCTCGCCATGGAAGATCTGGCTCGCGAGCACAGTGATACGAATATATTTCTGATGGACTTCTGGCCCGTCTACCCACCGCTTCTCATGGTCTACCTTGTGTAGAGAAGATACATGTTGTAGATGTCACTACAGTAACAGGACATGGCAAAACACGTTTTCTACCTCCCATTGCCGAATTGCCTGCCACTAGAGTTAATCAGACGAGTCCGAACACATTCTCTACCTTCCCTTCCTGGCTTAATAACCTAATTATATGCTGCTGGAGATACAGAGGACTCATATTACATATGGATGACTTCTGCCTGTCCTGTCTCCCTTAGCAATGTTGGCTTCAAGTCCGTCTTTCTCGACCACGCCCATTGCTCCAGCGAATCCCAATCCACACACCGACGTTCGGCATTCGACTTGGGCAGGGGACGATCGGGGTCGGAATCCCAGCGGAACGTGTAAACGCCTAGATTTGCCGTGCACATGAGAGAGACACGCAATGCCTCGAGACAGTGGTCTGGAATAATAATTAAATTGCATATACTAGGGCGATCATAAAGATGGGGGTACTGACCCATATGGTGGTGCAAATACTCGATATTTTTCTCAGTTAGATGGGGATAATAAGTCTCTTTGTAGACAAATAGTCTCAGCCTTCTCTATAAAAGACTCAGCCCTACAGAGTCTTCTACCGTGTCGTCGGACTTGAGAATTTCTTCATCAGCGATGGAGAAATACGTAGCTTATCTTAGCGTTAATCCAAATTCTATGTTTTACTACGTCAACTTACGCTGAATCAGATCTTCCCAGGCTTTGTTATTCTCAGCAGTTGGTGCACCCGAATATTTGCTGTACTCTGTATCGTTTGGCGAAATGCGGTGGTGCTGAAGGGTATATCGAACTGAATCTTGAGCCGGCGCTTTTGTATGTCAGTTTCAATTGTACAGATATACGCCTCTGAAATCTTGCAAACTCACAGTATGGACGGTAAACTTGGTCAGTTGCTTGGTCCGTCCAAGCGACTGCTGTGAGAGTCGAGAAGAACACTGCCACATTTATGAAAAGAAAAAGAGCTAGTGTGATTCGAGGCGACGGAACAAGCCTGATCAAAATGTCTAGCGTGCTTTTCTCGGAGTCTGCAGACTCTCTTGTCTGTCTGCTCTGGCATTGCTCATCGTATTCTAGCAACAGCTCTTTTTCCTCCATCATGTTAGTGGTTCTGATGATTGAATTGCAAGGCGGTTGGGGTTGGATCGCGGTATCACTTTGACAAAATGTAGGCGTGGAGGTTTTTGAGGGGAGAAGCAATGCTGGCACTTGGAAGAAAGAAACGAAAATTGCTTTGACCCTGAATATGTTCACTTATCAGGCTTCACTGTCACTATACAGGAACTCTGACATGCATCATGTACTATCATACTCGTGATTGCGAACAGTGGTAAAAACGGCAGGTCATCACTGAAGAATTACATGCTACCGCAGGTATAATCGTATATGCATGATACAGTGCCATACTCACTGTGAATATTCCAGGCAGTTGTCCGATAGTTTGGTAACAGGAGGGTATTGTTACGGCGCCCAATCCCACTCTTCGAAAGATGATGATAATGCAGGGTTGCAAGGTTATGAAGTCGCTAAATCAACAAAGGCAAGAACCGCGCAGGCAAAGGAAATGCCGAAATCAGAAAATGTTGACTCTGAGTAGGATCTCGGACCCCGGCTTCATTTGCCTTCTGCAGCTTACGTCCATATTGACTTGCCACAGTGACTGGGGGTGAGCGCTTCGAAGATGATTTGTGGATAACTCGTGAGAAGGTCCTTCCATACATGTAATGCAAGGTGCTGCAACCTCAGAGCTGCAACTACACCGCCTGATGAGTATGATACCTTGGTTCGTACCCGCCGTATCCCTCAGGCCTTTTTCAATTCACCGGTGAATACGTGTATAAATATGCCCAGTCTCTACACTCTAGAACACACAGGCTTCTTCATTCACAGCTCTCTTTCATGGCACACGTATCAGACTATCATTTCAAAGACAACGAACAAACCCACCATGCGGTCCTCGGTAATCACGGTTTTCCTGACAATGTTGTCCTACGCAACATTCGTCTTCGCTGTTCCTATCCCTGACTCTGGAGCAAGTAAGTATTTCACTTATCAATCTGGTATTGGCGCCAAGTGAAAAGGCCGTTGACTGACAATCCGAAGTGAAAGAGGAAGTTGCAGACAGCACTTGCCCGAATTGTAGGTGCAGTCGTGTTGAATGCCGATAACATGTTTAACAAGTCTTCCAGCCCCTGAGCCCGTTGGTACTATTGATGCCAGGGACGTGACGAAGAGATGTGTCTTTTGATGTAGTGGTATCCTTGGGTTCTTAGCAAAGCCCGCTAGCGTGGCTTAGAGTAGCTTAATCCAACATTTGAACCTTGGCAGCGTCCACCAAACAATGTATTTCGCGCAGATGCAAATGCCTTTCCTTCTTAGAATGAAGTTGTTTCTGCTATGCATCAATTGACTAGGTCGTGATCATCTCTGGTTTCCCACATTCATCGGCCGCGACGTTCTGAGTTCCAAAATGCCTACCAATTGAATGTAGAGCCAGGAAAATTGATCACGTCGTTCCAACCATCAATTAATGTATGTACACGCCAGCAGGTGTCGAAGCATATTTTTAGTCGATACAGACACCAAAAAACAAGGCATGACATCTCGAGTGAAGATGGCCATGGCTTGTCAAGAGCAAATTTCACCCTTTTCCGACGTTGAAAACGGCCCCATGCTTTCTGTTACATTACTCTCACCAATCGGTGCGTCTGCCCGAGAACGTCTTTAGGTAAGTACAATACCATGATTTCCAGTGGTCTAGGTATTTCCATTCGTGTCTCATGCAACGAGCGCTACGACACAGCCATTCTTGCTCTGGACGGTAAGGCAAAACTCTTCCTTCCATTCAAGCTCTGGATCGCGGTTAACAATCTCTTTATACTTCCTCAATAGCATAACAAGCACGTAAGCACTCTCTGTGAAGACGAGACGCATCCCAGGACAAGAACGGGGGCCACCACCGAAAGGCGTATACTGCCAACCTGGACGGGCTGATTCCCAGCGTTCAGGTCGAAAGAGATCTGCGTCATCGCCCCAGAAAGTTTTGTCCCGTCCCATGGCGCGATAATGTATTTCAACAATGTCGCCTTTCTGAATGTACATTGGAGAACGTCCATCTTGGCCGCCACCAAAGGGTACAACGGTGGACTTTACGCACAGTCGTTGGTTGGTCGTAGCGATGGTTGTCAAGCGATGGGCTTTTTCTTGTCAGTATGCAAAGCATTCCTTGTTGCGCGACGCGGAAACACTCACTTTCCTTTAGTACCCACTCTAGATACTGGTAAGAGTTCAGTAACTCATATGTAAGTATCTCTTCCTTTGTCGACTCAATTTCGGCTTTGAGTTTCCACCAAACGTCGGGGTGGCGAGCCAGATGAAAAATGACATTAGTCAAAGCAGTTGCTGCGCCATCATGAGCTGGGCTGAATACGCTGATGATGTGCGAACGCAGAGTAACTCGATCTTGAGTGTCACGCGCCATTTCGTCGACTAAACGCAAGCGTTCTTTCAGTTGGCTTGTCTTGCCTTGCGTCCTCTCCTCCTTGAGGCGTTTCAATGCTGTATTAACGTATCTGTCCGCATAGTCGGTCACCTGCTGACAGGCGCTCCACCATTTCTCATCACGATGAAGAAATTTTAGGCGACCAAGCACCGATCGGATTCCCGTTCCTCGTTGCGCGTATTCGAATGCATTCATGAAGTCGGTGAATTGCTTCGAGTCTTTCAAAGCTCCCATGGCTTCTCCAAAGATGAACTCGCTAGAAGTGTCCAAAATCTGCTTGCATCAGCTGCGTTCTGCTTTCGCAGACTCGTAACGTACCAGTCTCTTGAACAAGGGGGCGAGGTCAACCGTCAAGCCGTCTTCTGGCAGTAAAGCTAGGAACGTGCTGGTGTGCTTTCTGAGTCGTTCCATGTTCGCAAGGTGCACCACATCAAACGATGATTTTATGAGCGCTCTTCCATGTTTCCAGTGTGGACCGTCTACAACAATGATCCCGTTGCCCCACAAATGGACAGCCGTGTCATAACGAAGACCTTGCAGACCAAAGTTTTCGAAATAAGTGGCATGCACAGCTTTAGAAACTTCCTGGTCTCTGGTCTTGAAAACTTTTTTTCCGAAAGACTTGACAATGTAGGTATTTCCGAGTTTCTCGAACAGTTCGTGGCTGAACTGAAGAAGAAAACCCCCCTTGAATGCGTTCATAAAGCCAAGAAAATAGTCTAAGCCCATAAACGGCTCTTTGTGGTGATATCTGGGGGTCTCGACAGCCATAGCGGCGTAATGTAAACTTGTAAGAAATATACACCGGGGTCCGCCAACAACAGTAGATCAAGAATCCAGCTGCTACCATGAAGAAGCTGGTTTGAGCCATCGTAAGGTTGCTATTCTGCCAATTTGTGATTGCACGAAGGGTAAAAGATGATGCGAGGAGGGTAAATTGGGAGAGCCGTGGTGACCCCGAAAGTCTGAGTGTTAGACACTCTAACTGTGTAACTTGGTGTGCGCCTATCAGTACGCAGGTCCTAATCCTATCAAGAGGCAAACCTGATGCAATATAGTGGTGTAGCGTCTGCCTTATTTTATACAGCTGGTAGTGGAGGGGGGATGTAGTGAGATTCAGACAAACGTTTGCCTGGCTTTGTTTCCCCGCGCCGATGTTGCCATATCTAACCGACACAGCCAATGACCTGTTCGTGTAACTCATTCTCATTGCTTCCCGAGCCCAACACATGCCCTGATCCGCCCTCGAAACCCGAACCAACTGCCGTGCAAAAGATAAGCTATCCCCGAATCATGCACGAGCTTCCAGTCCAGACTAATCACCCTGGACTTGAGTTGAATCCGCAAAGAGGCAACCACCAGTCTCGAATCCCATCAATTCATCACCGACAAATAATCATCAAGCCGATACCCTCATATGCGATGCAGATTTTTCGGGGTCCGTCAGCATTGATTCGATACTGAAAGAGTTTTGCTATCGCCCATCGATGTGCTCCGATGGGCAGTGACGATTGTGTTATTTTCATAAATCCTAGATCCCCAGACGTAGTTCCTGTTGCATTCAGCCGGTGATCATAACCAAAAATCGCGTCAAGATGTTGATTTCAACCCAATCCCCGGGGACTGTCGTTGGTGTCACAGCCTTTCTCATCGCTTTGGACATTGCTGTCGTTGTTATGAGATATTATGCCAAAAGATTGAGACAACAACCTTTGAAGACAGAGGACTGGTTCTGTTTTGTGTCTTTGATCTTGGCTATGGGTCTAGCAGCGGTTTTGTTCATTGGTGAGTCAGATTTTCTGTTTAGAAATGTAGAAGACTGACTTATTCTCTAGGCGTTGGGAAAAAGGCTTTGGCGTATCCGACACCGCAGTTGGCCTCGAGAACCCCCCTTGCTGAGTCAAATGACAGGATAATTACTTCTTCGCGTGTAGGTTCTTCATCTTCTGACTTGATCTTTCTAACATTTCTCCAGTTACAATACATCTTTGTGGTAATATCGGTACCAACGCTGGGCTTGATTAATCTTAGTGTCTTGACGTTTTATCGACGCATATTCGTCATTGACAGAAGTAACTTGAAGGATTTCCGCAATGCTGTGTACTTCGGCATGATGGTAGCCATTACATTGTGGACTGGAGGCTTTTTCTTATCGTTCATGTTTGCCTGCAAAGGTCACTTTACCGCCTGGTGGACATCGGCTATCAGTTTGATAACAAATTGCGTCAATACCCTGGAACTTGTTTTCGCTTATGCGATCTCCGATTTTATTACAGATGTTTCCATAATGCTTCTACCCATACCTTCGGTGAGTAAGCCACTAGTACGGCTTGGATACAACATTAACCAACCCAGGTTATGAGTCTGCATCTACCTACCGCCCGAAAGATTGGCGTGATGTTTGTCTTCCTACTTGGAGCACTGTAAGAGAGCCCTTTTGGTTTATGAGCAACACTAATCTCAGCAGCGCTATTCTGGCTTCCACAATCAGAATGGTATCAATAATCTGGGCACGCCAATTAGGGTTCAACCCTTCAATTGACGAGGACCGTAAGTCCTGATCATTACGGACAAAATTCTATCTACATTTATTGATTGCAGCAGTTCTCATCACCGACATGATTTTCTGTTCTATGCTTGAAGTAGCTTTCGGCATCATTGCGACTTGTCTCCCTACTCTTCGCCCACTGGTACAGACCAAGTCCATCAATTATATTCTGTGAAGCATTAGAAGCAAGAGATCTCTCAAGCCAGCTCAAGCCCCGACAGCGACAATCCTATGAACTTTCTGTCGAAGGATGCTTCCAAGACTAGCCATGAAATTCCTCTTGTACCTGACAGCCAATACCAGTCATCTAAGGTAATGGAACCCGAGGGTGGGCAAAGTATCCGCGTCGACAGAGATTTCATGGTCAGAAGCAACAAGATGCCACAGAGCACAGTCTGATGCAGTAAGGAGATAGACGTAGCAAGCGATGCCTACAGTAAGTATGGAGACACGAGAAGGATGCTTAGTGGGAGGAGTATATGTCGTGGTCTTTCGGGTTTCGCCGCACGTAACTTGTATGAGTGGAAGAGTTCAAATTTGTTATTAGCCGAAGTTACATGGGTACTCTGTTCGCCTAATGTCATGTAATGTGAATACATGTGGTTGGTGCCCGACTGGACGAATACTATGTAGGAGCAGGTCGAGCCGGCGTATCCATCAGCGATCGCCACGGCAACATCTATCCAATGGACTACGTTGGTACTACGATTCTCCACCCCGCGGTCCACCGTAACTCGAGAATTTGGCCCCAACCAGACAAGTTTTTGCCTGAGCGCTTCCTTGCAGAGCCAGGGAACGAGCTCGCCCCCTATCCACCAACATTCCATCCATTCGAGCAAGGTCCGAGGGACTGTATTGGGCAGACGCTTGTATATAATGAGAACCAGATCGCGTTGGCTCTCACGATTCGCAAATACGATATCACGCCTGCTTACCAAGAGTGGGATGCGACACAAACTGCTGGATTTCTTGCACTGTTCAAAGCAAAGCTCATCGGGGGGCCGGTGAAGACAGTGAATGGGGATAGGGCGTATCAGACTGAAAAGGCTGGAACACATCCTGCTGATGGATATCCTTGCCATCTGTCAATGTCCCAGTGGGAGAATAGCTCAAAGTCCGGGTAAAAATCTCGTCGGGACATGGGGCATCGCAACTTGCTCTTCTATCAATGTACTGTCAGACATTTTAGTTCTGGCCCTTCCGATCCGCGCCGCCGCATAACACTAAACTTAAAGTTCAATTCTTTAAATAACAGAGACGTGTAATTGCAGGTTGCTTAATAGATGTATTACATTAGCACTGCAGTTTAGATGCTAAAGATATTTAGTTAAACTAAGAGCACTTTATTATAACTTTTATTTTAATCTAGTATAAGTAAGCAAAAATAAGCGCAAGTACACAGCTATAAAATTTAAAAACTACTAAAAATCTAAAAGAAACTATACTTTTAATTTAGTTTTTAAAAAAATAATTAGAAAAAGATAGTATATGTTTAAGCTTAGTATAACCTACTGCGCTTAAAAAATTGCATAAAAGTATTTGTAATACTTAAAATAGTAATAGGCTTATAGCGTTAGGCATAATAAAGATTATGTAATGTATTACTATCCTAAAACAGCCTAGTGTATAAATAATCTACTTTACATACAGATAGCAAAAGAAATATAAAAAATATATAATAGCAGGTATTTGCTAGTAGTTACTTACCTAACTACTAATCTGCTAGTATTATGCTTAAGTATAGCTAAGCAGACAAAAAGCTTTGTTTTCTCTTTACTATTTAACTTTGCAATAATGTTTTTAACTGTAAACACTTCTCTATTCCTAGAAAAGAAAATCTTAGCTATACCTGATATAGCATAGCGCGTATCCCCAATTAAGCATACAAACACACTAAATACAGAATACAGGCTGGAGCAGCATTTAACCGTAGTTAGATGTGGCCTTTTGGGGCGACCCTTAGTAGACGGCTTTATGTCTAGGACATTCTTAGTAGCATTGCTATTATTTTGGTCCTAATCGTCTTTGCACAACCTTTAATAGGGGCCACGTTGCTATTATTGCTACTATTCTTACCTTTAAGTAGGCACTATGTAACAGGGTAAGACAGGTAATATAAGTTTATAGCAGATTTTCTTCTTAAGCAAGACGTAACTTGCACTCTAAACCTTAAGCTAGTGCATTATGCAAGTCGTCTTTAATTATGTTTTTAAGTTAATTAAACTATGCTGTAATGGCACGCGTTATATAAGCAGCTTGCTAACTTTAAGGTATTGTAACTAATGCTTGTTAGGAGAGGGGCAATTAGTAGAGCAGCGTAAAGATAATATAATAATTATACACTAAAGAGCAACTACAATAATAGCTATATAGTAATAAATGCTACTAATATATATAAAATATATTACTAGTATAATTAAATATATAGTAAAATTATAATATATAGTTAGCTTTTTAGTATTATAGTATTTTACTTTTTAAAAAAATAATAAATAAGTAAGTTATAGTTTAGTATTACTTAAACTATAATATATATTTTTTAAAAATTATAAGTTTATACTATAATATACTATATATATTAATTATAGTTTTTTAAAAATTATTTTAAAAGTAGTAATATATTAACTATATATAAAAGTAAGTTAAGTAATAAGTGCTTAAAAGTTTTAGTTATAAAGTAAAAATTACTTATAAAAAAAGTTATAAATATAACTAATAATAGTTAAGTAATTAATACTATTAAAAAACTTTTTATACTTTAAATTAATACTTTTTTAGTTTAAATTATTAATATTTATAGTTTTTATTAATTAGTGCTTTATATATATAAGAAAAATTTATAATAATTATTTAGTAATATATTTGTTAAGATTATAATATAGACACTTAAAGTATTAGAAATAAGCTTCTTATAATACTAAGGTAAATTACTCTTACTTACTATAAGTATTTTAAAAGTTATAGAGCTATACTATATTAGCTATTATATAATAAAAAACTATATAATATAATTAGTAATTAGCTTAATTAGTAGTACTAATTAAACTAATTAAAGTAATTTACTATTTTAACTTTATATATATAATTAGTAGGTAAAAAGCTTTTATAGCTTTTTATATTTACTTTAAGTTATAACTTACTTTTTAAAAATATAATTTAGTTATAACTTTATACTTTTACTTTTATTACTTTAGTATTACTTGCTAGTTATTTATAAGATTTAACTAAAGTTTTCTAAAACCTTAATATTATAAATACTTGTTAAGATTACAACACAGACACCTTAGGTATTAATTACAAGCTTTTTATAATACTAAGGTAAATTACCCTTACTTACTGTAAGTGTTTTAGGAATTACAGGGCTATGCTGCATTAGCTATTATATAATAAAAAACTATATAATATAATTAGTAATTAGCTTAATTAGTAGTACTAATTAAACTAATTAAAGTAATTAACTATCTTAACCTTATGTATATAATTAGTAGGCAAGAAGCTCTTATAGCTTTTTATATTTACTCTAAGTTATAACCTACTTTTTAGAAATACAATCTAGTTGTTACTTTATACTTTTACTTTTATTACTTTAGTGTTACCTGCTAGTTATCTATAAAACTTAACTAGAGATCTCTAAGACCTTAATATTGTAAATACTCTTAAAATGTCTAGCTTTAGTACTACTAGCTAGTCTACCTTTACTATTAATATAAATAATAATACTTTTATTAGCATTAAAGCTAGATAACTTAACTTCTACTATAAGAAACGCGTTAAGCTAAAAGAATAGATCCTATAACTTAAACTACTTTTTAAGTTTAATAAGAAAATTAAAGATACTAATAAAGCTACTTACGTAGCTACCTTTATGCAAGGCAATGCTTATAAATAAATTATACTCTAACTTACTAAATATCTAGATAACAATAATAGCGACAACAACAACAATAATAAAAATAATAAAAATACAACCCTATTTAAAAACTAAAAAACATTTAAAACTAAACTTTATTAGGTTTTTAGAGTATTAAACAAGAAAAACAAAGTAGTGCATAAAATTTAATATATTAAATAGCTTAAGTCTGCTACTAACTATGCTGCGCAGTTTTAGTACTACGTAGTTTAAATAAACTAAAATAACAACGCGCTTATAGCACTTTACTACTAAAAGCTTAAACTTAAAGTTAAGAAAAAACTTATAAAATCTAAAGTTATACTTAACTTAATAAAAAGACTTTATAAAGAAACTATTTGCATTAATAATAACTTATTTAAGCTTACTAAAGAAATAAAAGAAATTTATAGTTATAAGTCTGCCTATAAAAAGATATAGAAAGCTATTTACTATTTTCTTTAAAAAAAAGGCTGCAGCATCTCTATTTAACTTAAAGTAAAATATACTAAAAAAATAAATTAGATACGCAACATTAATGCAACGTTTCTATTTAAAGCTAAAAATAATAATAGAAGAAAGAAGTATAATAAGAAGAGTAAAGACCTAAAAGAGATTACCTACTACAAATATAGTAAAACTAGCTATATATCTAGAAACTGTTAATTAAAAAAATAAGGTTACATAATTTATTAACGTAATAACTAAGTCTTTATACTCTAGAGAAAATAAAGATAAATTAAAATAGAAAATTCTAGAACCTACACTAAGTAAAGGACAACTTATAGTAGATAACCTAGATTTAGAAAGCAGTTCTAAGCATTACAAAGATGCACTACTATTTAAAAAATATTAAGTAAAATAAAATAACTAATAAGCTGCTACAAAAAGCAGAAATAATTAATAGAAAAAATAACGTCTACATCTAACACAACAGTTTTAAAACAAAAATCTTATATTAAGGACTTATGTACTACTAGAAGCAAAATAGATATATATTATAAAGAATTTACAAAAATTTAAATTAAACTTAAAAGAGAAGTACTTATTTCTTAAAAAACCTAATAGCCTAAAAAGATCTATTAAATATAATAATAACAAACTTACTAAATAAATTAAAAAACTAGATTTGCTAAACAAAATAGCAGATAACAATTAGAAAAAGAAACAACTTAAAAAAAAAGTTTTAAACTTATAGAGAGATAACTACGTAAAACATATCTTAAAATATTAGCAGAATTATTAGAAGTATAAAAAGAATAGTAAAAAAACTAAAAAACCTAAAC